ATTACCCCGGCAGAGGTGTAGTTCCTGGGGCAGGTCGAAATTCGAGTCAAGGAGGGGCAACTGGCAACAGGACAAGGGCAGGCAAATCCTGGCGTATTTTCTTGCAGTTTCATGACCGTCTCCCGCTGCTAGAGTCGGCGCCCGAGCCTAGAAGCGCAGCAAAATGGCGCTAATGCCTGACCGCCTTCCTGCTAGAACTAATTAACCGCCTGAAGGTAAGGCTTCCGCGACTCGCTGCGGCCCTTGCTGAAATTTTCGGACTGCAAGAAATATATCCCCCCCGCCGCCTCGACGAACTGCAGCTATCGGCACAAAGCCAATCTTTCAATCTTCAGCCTTCCCTCGTTTCCCGCCACGCTGAACAGATTGAAGATACTGCCCGTCATGGCGAGCGAATCCAAGATGGACATCGAAACGGCCGAGAGCCAGCTCAAGGCCATGGAGCACTCGGAGCAGCACTACTTCAACAGGTGAGTTGGGCTTCAAGCATCCTGAGACCTAGGCGCAAAGTTATAGTCTAACATCGTGATGCAGCTACAACCACCACGGTATGAAACCCCACGAATAGCTTGCGATCCATACATAATACAGAAACTTTGCTGACTCTACTTGCGCGATTTGAAGGTATCCACGAGGAAATGCTGGTATGTAATTGTTCCCCGGCGAGATCGCCTTGCCAGCGCAAGCCTTTCGTAGCTGACCGCTCTCTGCCTACAGAAGGATGAAGTGCGGACACGATCATACATGAATGCCATCGTGCAGAACAAGCATCTGTTTAAGGACAAGGTCGTTCTCGACGTCGGCTGTGGCACTGCGATCCTCTCCATGTAAGGCGCCGCCCAACACCACCGTGCCCCTCCATCGCCCCTCACAGCGACCGCCATGAGGACTACAAAAATATCTAATTAGGCGTTATCATTGCAGGTTCGCCGTCAAGGCCGGTGCTAAGCACGTAATCGGTGTCGACATGTCGACTATTATCTTCAAGGCGCGCGAGATCGTTGCCGCCAACGGCATGTCCGACAAGATCACTCTCATTCAAGGCAAGATGGAGGAGATTGACATGCCGTTCCCCAAGGTCGACATCATCATCTCAGAGTGGATGGGCTATTTCTTGCTCTATGAGAGCATGCTGGACACCGTGCTGTATGCGCGCGACAGGTATCTTGCGAAGGACGGCTTGATCTTCCCCGACAAGGCGACCATCTTTCTGGCTGGCATCGAGGACGGCGAGTACAAAGACGAAAAGATCGGCTGTGAGTCCACCCAATATAGGCGCTATGGTTCGTAAAAGCTTACTGACTTGAAATTGTTCAGTTTGGGACAATGTCTACGGTTTCGATTATACCCCCCTGAAGGAGACGGCTCTATCAGAGCCTCTCGTCGACACTGTGGAGATGAAGGCCGTTGTTACTGACCCAACCAACGTCCTCACCCTCGACCTTTACAAGTGCACAACCGCCGACCTGGCCTTCAGCATACCCTTCGAGCTGAGCTGCCGGCGCGACGACTTCGTGCATGCCCTGGTGGCCTGGTTCGATATCGACTTCACCGCCTGCCACAAGCCGATCCGCTTCTCCACCGGCCCGCACACCAAGTACACGCACTGGAAGCAGACCGTCTTCTACCTTAAGGACGTTCTGACCGTCCAGCAGGGCGAGGAAATCCAGTGCAGTCTGCACGTACGCCCCAACGAGAAGAACCGCCGCGACCTCGACATCAAGCTCGAGTACCGCTTGGAGACGCAGGACCCGACGCGAGCCGCAGAGGGCTCATGTCTGTACAAGATGTGCTAGTCGCCAACGTAATCGGCGGCGAGTCTACTGAGTTGTTATTGGATTCCTCCATCTGCGAGGCGTTTGAAAGCAAAACTCTACGTGCTAGAGGTAACGAAGGCAAATGTGGACAGGCGCGGACAGCTGGGGCTAGCAGAGGGACGGCGTTTTTTTATATTTAAATCATCTTCTTATTTTCCCTTGGGTCACTCAAAAAAGAAAGTCCGCTTTACGGGAAAGGCATTTGATGGGAGTGCGGACTTAGAAGGGGGCGGTTTGCGACTTGTGGCTCCACCCCTTTTCCTTTTTGTGTTCTGCATGCATTGCATAGAGAGAGACGTTACGTGACGGCGAAAAAAAGAGGGTGTGTGAGAAAGAAAGAGAGAGCAAAAAGGCATCATATGTGCGAGCCGTACTGCTGTATGGCATTGAGACGAGATACCACGAAATGCATCTTCCATGTCCACAACCGAAACCTCCAGTTTGGTCTGAAATTATGAATATGAGCAGGTTGCATGGAGAATTTCATGTCATATTTCTCATAATGGCTATCTCTATCTGCCTGTATCGAATCCTGGACTGTCAGTTTCGTTGCGGGTCGTCAGAAAAGAATGAGTATCTAAGGGCCGCTCCCGGTAAAGGAGCGTCCCCTTTCTCCGTATCTCCAAAGACTTTCATTACAAGATGATGGTTAAGCAAGTGCGCCCCCGAAACTTTTGGGTTCTGGATCCGCAATCCTGACATGTCTGGCCGCGCATATATCACACTCCGTGATTTGGCTCACAAAAGGGGATAAGCCGCCATCTGCGCCGCAACCTCGGCGGGTAGAAACCCCGGCCTGCCATTGGGCCTGCCCTACAGACCGCCACCGTAGTTTTTGACAATGCGTGCAACCTTGGATGCCAGCTCGTCAGCCTCAACGCGCGTGGCCGCCTCGGCGTACACACGGCAGGCGTTCTCTGTGCCGGACGCGCGTGCGAACGACCGGCCGTTTGTGTACTTGTTGACCAGCTGGTCGATCTCGTCCTGGGCGCCGGGAGGGTGCGATAGACGACGCTCGGCATCCGTGGTCTGGAATACATCTTTGTCTCCGACCTCGACACGGACGAGCCGGTTGGGTAGGTCGGTGTATGTCATGGCCCAGTCGCGCAGCGTCCAGCCCTTGTGCGCTAGGATCACCTCGACCATCAGCATGTCTGATATAGCGTCACCAACGGTCTGGTTGATCAAGTCGGCAACGGCCGAAAGGGTCTCGAGGGCATCTTTTTGTGCCGGTGATTGCGGCTCCTTCTTCTTGAAGGCCTGGACGGCGTCCTGGGAGAAGAGCACAGTGCCGTGTCCATTGGCCTCGAAATACACGCCTACATCGAAGTTGCAGGCGGCGTGATGTAGGTGCTTGACACCCGTTGGTGTACATACAACCGGAAGGCGCAGATGCTGCTGGATGTAGTTTGTGCTGGCACCGTTGGCATAGGCAGTTTGCACGACGCCAATCCGCACATCTTCCTCCAGACCAGCACCTCGAACAAGGTCCGCGATGAAGGAAGCAGCCAATGACGAGATGCGATCACCGTCGAGCATAAAGAAGCCCGATTCAGGGTCGTGCCAGTAATAGATCAGTCGGTCGGCATCGCCGTCAAGAGAGCAGCAACGAGCACCAGGAACAGGCTTCGGCGTGGGTGGAGCTCGCTGCTTAGTCTTGACGAAGTCGGCACCACACTGCGAAGAGTCAGTATTTCGAATATCGGCGCGTAAAAGGCTCTAGGCACTCACATCGAGGTTCAGGACCTCGGGCCGGAGGACATCATCATTGACAACCTTGACATCAAAGGACACCTTGTCTTTTGGAATATACTTGAGAAACTCGGACAGCTTCGGTCCACCTACACCATTGGCACAGTCCACGGTCAGGGGTCCGTCGACTTTCCTGCCCCGTAGGGCACGAACGAATGCATCTGCAAACTTCTCATAGTAGCCAACCTCGCTGACCTTTCCATATGACTCCGGTGTACCCTCGGTGTTGGTGGCTCGTGTGAGGTAGTGCAGTTGCGGTGTTGTAAGGATCTTGTAGTCGACGTACTCGGTACCCGTGGCCTCGAAGGCGTCGGCAAGAGCTCCGACGAGCTTGTGACCGGAAGGTCTAGTGTCCCGTCCATAGACAACTTTGCCGGCCGTGGTAACATCAATCTTTAACTGGGCTGCCAGAGCCTTATAGGTGTCGACCAGCTCCTGGTCGGTCGCACAGTTGACAAGCTTGGTAGCATAGCCTTCCCACTCCTGCTCCAACATCTCACCCATGGGGTCAACGATCTTGACCCCATTGTCGGCGGCGGGGTTGTGGCTGGCGGTGATCATGACACCAATCGTCTGACCGCCAAGCTTACGGCTCCGGAGAGCAGACAGCAGGCCGACCCGGAAGGCAACGCCCTCGAGGAGGTCGGCCTTCATCCGAAACCCCGCAGTGCCATACTTGTAGAGCTGCCCGGCCTGGAGGGGTACAATGGGGTGCTTCTGGGAAGCGGCGATGATATTCTCGTCTGACGCCATCGTTGCTTAGACTGGGAGGGGAATGGGTCGAAGTGGAAGAGTCAAAGCCAGGAAGGTTCAGACGGAGACGGCAGTACCAATTGGGCCCTTTTAAAGGCGCACGGGAGTTGATACGGACGGGGATGGAGGGATCAAGCTTCCAGGGACAGACGCCGTTGCCAGGTGCTCAAACGGCGGCCTCAGCCCCTCGTGTCACCCGTGCATTGCCCCGCGATGACCCAGTTAACCCACCCCACCAGCAGTGAATCAGTGATGCAAACAACCTGCAACTTACACTAATTAGCGCCCTTCAGAACGTTATTATTAGTACTGGAAATACGAAGACTACCTAGGCAGGACCCCAGCCATCACATGACTGATCACCTGCCGCCGCGACTCATTCGTGGCCCCCCTGCCAACACTCTGGACGCGATCAGCGCGTCATGGAACAAGACTACACCATACTCCCCTGCGTCTGAACCCTCATCTGCCGGAGCTCTGTCTCCCTGGTGCTGGCATCGAATTGCTTCGCGTCTCAATTTTGCTGTCTCAAACTTGCAACCTCGCCAGTCTAGCTTACAATGGCTGACGGCTCTGCGAATCCATTGCTTCTGGAATGGGTCAAGGAATGGTTGGACACGGCCCGAGAGCGGAACTCCAAAGGAGTTACAACATACCGGCATGCGTATAACTCGTTGAAGGCCTGCCCAATCACTTTCACTCATCCCTCAGAATTACAGCAGTTGAAAGGCTTTGGCCCTAAGCTCTGTGACCGACTGACGGACAAGTTGAAGAAGCATTGCGAGGAAAATGGCCTACCCATGCCGGAGCACCCTGGCCTCAGAAAAAGGACGAATTCCGGAGACAATGACGATGAGGCTTCCGGTTCTTCAAGGCCTGCGAAGAAGCCTCGGAAGGCGAAGCAATATGTGCCGGCCTTACGCTCGGGTGCATATGCGTTGGTCTTGGCCTTGTCGTTCATGGATGAGGATGCACCGATGGGAATGACAAAGGCAGATTTGATAGAAGCGGCCCAACCTCATTGCGACTCGTCCTTCTCGGCACCAAGTGATCCAACAAAGTTCTACACAGCTTGGAACTCGATGAAGACGCTCATACAAAAGGAGCTCGTCTATGAGAGAGGACGGCCGTTAAAGCGCTACGCGTTAACTGATGAAGGGTGGGAAGTCGCAAAGCGCATTCGACAAACAGCAGATACAACCCAGACCCGACTTGACGAACCCAGAGGAGATGTCCCAACAATCCGCATGCCCTTGGGACGCTCAAATTCTCCAGCGCAGCAGCCAGTGATCCTTGATGATGATGATGATGATGATGCTGATCCAATTCCGCCAGGCCCACAGCAGCAGCAAAGCGAATTTGAAGATGTCGTTTCTAATGGTCCCATGGTTTCTGACGACTCTGCTTTACCCACATTCACACCCATACGGCTCAATCCTGGCACATTCACTGTTCACTTGGTTCTGGATGTGCGAGAAGTCCGTGCGAAGACCGATCGCGACTATATGCAGGAGGAGCTTAACAAAAGAGGCGCCAAGCCCATAATGCGCAGTCTTGAGCTGGGAGATGTGTTGTGGGTGGCGAAGTGTCACGACCCCGATCATATGCGGCAATTCGGGGCCGAGGGCGACGAGGTAGTGCTCGACTGGATAGTCGAACGCAAGAGGCTGGACGATTTGATTGGAAGTATCAAAGATGGCCGCTTCCACGAGCAGAAATTCCGCCTCCGCAAATCAGGAGTCAAAAACGTTGTCTATCTCGTCGAAGAAATCTCCATGGATGCAGGCCACTCCCAGAAGTACGAGGAAGCTGTACAGTCTGCCATTGCGTCAACTCAGGTGGTTAACGGCTATTTTTTGAAGAAGACGCAAAAAATAGATGACAGCGTCCGATATCTCGCTAGGATGACTGCGATGCTGAAGAAAATATACGAGAGCAAGCCGCTGCATGTGATCCCTACCAAGGTTCTCACTGCGCAGAACTATTTGCCCTTACTTGCTCATCTCCGCGAGCAAGATCCGTCGACAAAATATTACATCACTTATCCCGCGTTTGCGTCGCTGGTTTCGAAATCAGACATGATGACATTGCGAGATGTCTACTTGAAGATGCTGATGTGTACGAAAGGGGTAACAGGTGAGAAGGCGTTGGAGATTCAAAAACGATGGAAGACGCCGTACGATTTTGTCAAGGCGTTTGAGCAGTGTGGCTCAGGAGAAGCCAGCAAGAAGAAGAAAGGAGAACTGGTATCGCAGCAGATGGGCAATCTTGTCGGAAGGAAGAAGATCGCAAAAGCGCTCAGCCAGAAGATTGCTGAGGTTTGGGGTGATGCATGATACCCGGGCAATTTGCTCCTTGTGAGCCACGGAATTATGGTATCCTTGCGCCTCTATTTTGAATGAGTATAGCCTATTTTAGATAAAGGAACATTATGAGTTATGACCGCCTAAACTCTGAGCCACGATATTTTGCACAATCTTCTCCAAAAACGGAATCGAACCGCCCTCAGTGCTCAAACCCTGTGAGCCAAGGTATCCAATCATGGACTTCTCTGCATACTTGGCCATCATATCAACCTCGACATTGACGGTGTCACCAACCTTCTTCTGGGCAATGACCACCCGCTCCTGAGTGTAGGAGATCAGCATCACCTCCCACCAGCCCTCACCATCATCAACCTTGGTGACAGTCAGGCTGGTGCCGTCGAGCGCGATGAAGCCCTTGTACACGACGTAGCGCAGCACATCCTTGCTCGAGGGCTTGAAGCGGATAGTGATGGCATTGCCGTCCGGCGTCATGGCGGCGATCTCGGCCGTCGTGTCCACGTGGCCCTGCACAAAGTGGCCGCCCATGCGTGTGTCGGCGCGCACGGCCCGCTCCAGGTTGACGTGCGAGTTCTTCTTCAGGCCGCCCAGGTTGGTGATGCGCAGCGTCTCGGGCGCCACGCCGACGGTGAAGCTCGGTGTCGGCTCGAGCTTGTACGTCGTCACCGTCAGGCAGACGCCGTTGACGGCGATGCTGTCGCCCAGCTGGACGTCCGACAGCAGCTGGGAAGTTCCCGGCAGCTGGATGGTCAGGGATGTGCCGCCCGTCTCATCGTGCGGGTTGAGCTCCGCGACGACTGGATCCATGTGAGTGAGTGAGCGCTTTCAAGCATAAGGAGCAGCAGCGAGCCTTACCTCCGATCTCTTCCACGATTCCCGTAAACATCTTCACGCTTGCTTGATCAGACGTGGATTGAAGTAAAAAAGAATAGGATCAATGAGGACAATCTTCAACCACCAAGAATAGAGCCCGGCTTTTTCCCTGATCAAGCAAGTTGGATGTAGCTCATCAACGGATCGGCAGGGTTGCGGGGCATGTCAGTATATGCCGGCTGACGTGCGTTGCGCTCCCGTAGTAGCATTATAGGGGCGGGTTCCGACCCGCTGGAAGCTTCCTCTATAGTAGCGCATTTTGCGTCATGTTTAATCAGCAGCACAACGACGAATTGTAAGCTTCGGCGTTTACACATTCGAGCATGCCCATCTAGATTTGGCGCGGGACTCGATCTAAAGGGAGCCCATTTGCATTATATACCCCGATGCATTAAGCTCTGCGGACGAAAGCAAAGAATTGGCATCTCGTAACCTGCCAGGATCCTCACATTCAGCTTCCTGTGGTAGGATCGAAGCACGTAAGTGAGTCACACCTTTCGTCAAAAAGACTAAGACGGAGGCGGAAGCTCGCATTCACCCACCGGCTTGTGAATTCTATGGCGGTATGTTCGTGATATCTTACTCTGTTTCCGATCTGTCGGATCTGGATAGAGTGCCGAAATTATAAGTAACCATGCCTCTCCGAGATTCTGTGACTATTGTCTGAATCAAGACATGAGTAACTACAAAGGCAAGACAAAGTTTCTACCCGCTTTAAGCCGTGCAAAATGTCACAAACCCAAGACAATTTCAGGCGGATCCGCCAGGCCGATCTCACGGACTTGGATGCCATCACGGATGTGCTCATTGCGGCTATGCAGGAGGATCGTGACTGGTGGAACTATCGCTTCCCTTACCGCCATGAGTTCCCGGAAGACCACCGGCGCTTCATGGGGCTACTCGTGAGAACATGGCTGGAGCCGGCCAACGATGACTGGGTTGTCTTCGTCTCGGAGACGCGTGCGGATGATCAGGGGCGACTAGACCCAGACTTACCCTTCAAAATCGTCTCTTATGCCGCTTTCGACATCTCTTATGTGAACTTCAGGAAGCATGGACCAAGGTACAAGCCGCAAAGTCGTAAGTATATGCGCACAACTGCATTTTATATAGTCGTGATTTATTCTTTTGTGTTAGCATAGCTGACCCGACAATCGCCACTGCTTAGCGAAAGACGTCTTGCAAGCTGCCGGGGTAGCGAACAGGAGAGATGCCAACCCAGCACATGGCACAGCTCTCAGTGAGAGTGCTCAAGCTGGCCAGAGACGCTACCTCGCAGCCTACACGACAGAGCATATTCATCTGCAAGCATTGGGAACACTCGCAAGGTTTCAGCGGCGCGGATATGGCTCCGTTCTTGTCCGCTGGGGCATGGAGCGTGCAACACGGGATGGCGTGGTAGCCACCCTCCTGGCAAGCCCAATGGGTCGGCTTGTGTACCCGCGGTTGGGCTGGGAGGAGCTGGCCGAAGTAAAGGTACAGGTCCCGGGAGAAGAGGAGCACACATTTCTGTATCCGATGGTCTATGATCCTAAAAAGCGTGCTGTCTAGAACATGTTTGGGAGGAATTACATCAAATCCATACTGCTCTATCCTAACAGCTTTCTCTATCCTAGCTTAGTGTCTAGGAGATAGGCTCATCCAGGTTCAGAAATATCATACACTTTCGGAGATCCTGCTCTAACACACGAGTGCTCCTTTGGGTAACAATCCCCAGTTTCCTCCACAAGAGCACTTGCGCTGCTGCGCCAACACGAATGTAAAGCCCGGCCGGGTTCCCCAAGCATCTTCCATGATTGAGGCACAGCGCACGCATCTTCTCCACTGCGGTGATTTAGTATTGGCGGCAGTGTTCTCCTCGAGACCATCAGCCTTGAGTGCTGTCAGCTCAACGCGCTTGAACACATCGATGTATTTTCCCTTGGCCTTCTTCGCAGCAAGGCTTCGACGTTCGTCCTCGACTTCAAGAAGCTCAAAGTTAGCGAAGAAGAGGCTTGCAGGGTCCGTATTGTTGCGGAAATTTTTAAGATCCGTCTCAAAGAACTTCTTGATGACAGGCAGGAAGCTGGGCTGGGGACTAGCAGCCAGCAGCAAGTTTAGCTCGCAGTGAATCTGGGCTCGCTTGACGGCGGCATCGTTTGCGCCAGGCTTCGCCCCTTGTGGTGGCTGCTTCTGCGCCAACCCTGCGAAAGAGGTTTGGTATGCGCCACGGATCTCGGCGCTCAGGCCCTGAAGGAGCTTGTCGAACTCTTGAACTTTGATGAGCGATGATGTGGTGTAGCGCTGCATCTTCAGGTAAGCGGTGTGTAAGGTCGACGTGGTTCTGATAGCGGCGTTGTTGGGGTCTGTTGCCGTCTGCATGGCGTGCTTGTTCTCGTAGTATTGGATTGCACGGTTAGACAATGACTCCAGATGTAGGAGTCGCCTACACGACGCCGAGAGGAAACCCCGGGTAGAGGAGCAGAGGATTAGATGTAAAGAGACGTCCTTCTTCGATTGTAGGTATGAGGTCATTTCAGAGAAATTTGCAGGATTTAGGAGAGCCATGAACTTTGGATCATCCAGAAGATTGAAAAGGGAGTCCGTAAGCCACGATAGAAGGTCAAGAGCCCATTTTGCGCAGCCAGCAAGGGCATCGACAACCTCTAATACAGACATTAGTAATGGATTTTGTTAAAAGAATACCTGAGAATCGTACATACCGGGCTCGTCCAGAGGGCTCAGCTTCTCCTTTAAATTGATCGGAGTGTTGCTCGCAATCGTTATGAGAATAACGATATTGCGGACGTTGAGAGCAAGCATTGCAAACTTGCCAGCAAAAGTCCTTGGCTGGAACTCTCCCTTGAAGCCAAGATGGTTCAAGACACTAAGGCAGAGCTGTAGGTGAGCATTTCTTACAAGTTGGTCATGATGTGCTTCTTCAGAGTAGTCCACATTGATTTTAAGCATGCGAACAATCTCCATGATCCAGTCATAGGAGAATCCTACTAACATTAGTGAGGGAGGTGTTTGCGGGAATTAAAAATACATACGAGGCTTGTCAGCAAATGTGCGAGCCACTGCCAGGATATCATCATAATGAATCTGCTGGAAAGCAGCTGTGGCAGCAGCGACTGTTAATCCCGCGACAATCGATGCATATGAAGCTGTAAGACGTTAAGAGGTGTTGATACTATTGATTGTCGAAAAAGTACTCACGATCTTGCATGGATGATCCGACTTCTTGCAGTGGATAGCGCATCCCAACCCATTTGACTTTGCCATCCTCGCAAATCTGAACAAATGAGCAATTGGTGGGCGAGAAAGCGACCTGAAGGCCTGCACAATCGCAATCAGTATACAACACATCTCGGGATATCTCAGCCGACACGTACATGGATTCTCTTCCGCGAATTGAAAGCCAACTTGGTGTAATGTCATGATCGAGTTTGTGTTGACTTCATTATAAATCTCGTTCATCGTCAAGCGATCTCGATACTGTACTGTCCCGTCGCTGAAAGCAAAGCATATGACCTTGCCCAACTGGATGGTATGAATCGATATGATCACTTTATTGATGACAATTGATTCCAGTTTACGTAAACGACTTAATTGCTAGGAATGCGTCAGCGAGCAGTATGACATCTCGTGGGAAAAGCTCATACCGGTGGTGTTGTGTTACTTCCTGTCCTCGAACCGAGCTGTTCAAATGCAGGATGGAGCGTTTGATTTTGATCGATGAGAATCTCCCATCGGTCCACGATACTCTGAAGCTCCTGATTGTATGGCGAACCAGGAGCCGGTACGTGTGATCTCACGCCTAAAACAACTGGAGGGGACCATGCCTGACCGGAGTCTAAGATAGAAGGTAGAACCTCTAAATGAGAGAGTTGGGGCATAGAACTATCAAGATGTGACTCGCTAGGATCATGTTGAAACCAGCTTGTGACCGCGGCATGCTTCTCTTTCAGAGAAGGGCTCAGCGGCATGCTCGCGGGCGGCATCTGCTTGTCAGACTGTGGTATACCCCAATTGATAGTGGCTCGAACTACGCGCAATTGTTTTGATGTTGTTGCCATCGCAATGAAGAGTGCGTCTGTAGTATGCCAGATTAGTATATCGTAGATAGCTAAAGCATGTTGTTGGTCTTACTTCTGTCTGAACATATCGCTGAATGTGAGATGAGATCATCCGAAGTTGTGACACTTTCTAATTCTAGCTGTGTCTCCTCAACCTTGTTGTTGTTCTGGGAATAGAAGAGTTTCAAGACGCCGTTCGTGGTGACACACAACAAGGCACTCTTGGCAGGATTGGGATGCCAAGGGCCAAAGGCGTGGATGAAGTTGCTCTCATATTTGTAGCTGTTTGGTTCTCGAACGGCCGGGCCGTGCAGTACATTATACTGTTTCGAATGAGCACAATTCTGCAAGACTTGGTGGGGATTTACCTACTTGTCTGCTTTGGGGCACAAGGGGTAGCCAATATGAGCCCACGATGGCGTGGAGGTCGTCTGCTGGATCCGAATCCCATTTGCGAGCAACATATGGCCGGTTCAAGGTGATCGAGAATGTCAGAATGCAAACTCTGCCAAAAGCATCGATCACGGCTAACTCAGGGCTTCCTGTGGCGGCCCAGGCGAGGTGAACAATTGGCCCACCTGGCAATGGTGGCGAGAACAGAGTGCACTGAGTGGGTTCACTCAGGTCCCAGGAAGCATTTTCAGGGTGAGTGCGTAGAAGACGAAGATCGATAGCGCGGCCGTCTTGCGAGATCGATGCTATTGTGCCTTGTCTGGACCAAGCAATGCTTCTGCAAACAGATTTAGCCTTGATCTTAACAGGACACACGGTGAAGAAAGAGGGCTAGGGCTTACTGGCAACAGCCACGACTTCTAAGCTCATCCATGCGCTGCTGTAGTTGTTTACTTGGAGGCCGGGTCGTGTGGATGGCCAGGACGGGGTCGCCGAACAAATCGACATCTTCGAGGTCGACGGCCATCTCATTGTTCATCGGGGCATCAAGGATAAGCGGCATCTTGTCGGATGTCATAGAAAACTTGAGATGAGGAAAGGACCCAGTTTCACCTCACGTATGGGCTAACTTAAGGCTGGTGAGGCAGCCTCAAAGTCCTGTTGATGCCAATACCGCCTTCGTTAATTGTAAGACAGGTCACAAAGAAAGTGAACAACGATGCGATGCGACACGCCCCGTTGAGCGTCACGGTTATAGGTTGTGACCATGCAAATTAATCCAATATGCCGCGATCAAGACTGACAATGAGTTAGGCGAGACTCATTGTTTCGTGGGGCTTGCTGTGTCTATTTAAGTCATTCGCTGTGAGAGATCAAATGAGGTTCCTCGATACGCTTGTATGAGTGAGCTTGTTCGGGGTGCAGAGACACACAGGCAGGCCGTGGCTCTCAAGCCACACATTTGGATCTGTGCTTGCTTGAGTGGCTTGTGAACGGATCTGCGTGGCTGAAACCGCGGCAATCGATAACATTACCTAGCTAGGTAGATAGAACTAATAATAAGATTCTTGAAGCCTTTTGACGCTGGTGCTGCACCCCGGCCAATTCTGACCGAACTACGCCGCTTGGCCCCAGCTGTTTCCCAGCAACGACCCGAGTCAGTGGGTCGTTGTCTACTAGAACAGTCGGACAATACCAGAAAAATGCAGCGCAATGGCGACATACAATAGAGATGTTTCCAATACTTGATCCTCTCTTTGCTTGTCCATTGAAAGGGAAAATTTGCCATTCATCTGATTAATTTCTATCATTATTTTATTATTTTATTTATAAAATAATATAAAAAATTTATCACTGTGGGAGGATCAACCAACGAAGACGCTCATTTGGGATATTGTTCCTCAGAAGTCGAGTGCTGAGAAGAAAAAGAAGAAGCCGGGCCAGAAAGAGCGGGGATTGTGTTTGGACTTGCCCAGGCTTTGCTGGCATGAAGGCAAAAGTGAAGAAGCACTGCGACGTCGGAAAATGGAATGCTTACCCTCCTTATCCAGCCATCCTCACTGAGGTCGGTGCTCATTTTGCTGCTTGCACACGTAATCAGCATAGAAATGTCGAGTATGTAGACAGCATTATCTTCCCCCTTGCCCTCTGAGATTGGCGAACCCTCAGTCAGCTGGCTCGCAACCTGCGAGCATTTGATTATCTGTATTTTGTGACTCGAGTTGTGTCCTGCACGAGTAAACTTTCTACAGTAATACATCGGTGAGCCTGATGCGGATTGATTGGCGGCGAGTGAAAAGAGATCAACAGGAGTAAACGGAACGCATTTGGCGGGAGAGTTTCCATCCAGGCCAGCCTTCTAGCCAGGGTCAAGTTAGCTGATACATTCCATAACAACACTGCGTTGTCCGGTGCTTGGCCCGAAGGGGCTCTTTGACGTACCTCGAGTTAGTGTGTGTATTCGGGGGAGGTTTCCTTTCCATTCATTCTGGTCGATGGTTGAATGCGCAAATAATTAAGCGACCCATCGATCAGCCGCCCTCCCGGTGCCAGCGTCTGCCGGTCCCCCGTCTATGTTGGTTTCCTCCTCTCCCGTCGTCGCTCACTGTATGTGCGGTCCATTGTGGCTTCCGCCAAAAACCACTACCAGAACCACCACCACTTGCTTCTTTCCCTTCTCCGCACTACCACCACCACAACCACAACCACAACCACAACTACAACCATTCTCCAGGGTCGCTCCTTCCCATTGTCTATAGAACAATTGTCTGCTGATCCGGCCCTTGCCTGGAGCGCATCATTTCGAGAAAGCACGGCCAAGGTTCCTTCCTACTTAAAGAAAGAAAGCCATGGTATAGATTGGCGGTACCCTTTTGTCACCCCAAACATCCGCCCTTCCCTCTTTCTTGAAAGGGCTTTCGCAACCCGCCAATTTGGGTGCTCCTGCCATCATGGAGTCTCCTGCGCGGCCCGTCTCCTCTCCTCCCTCCTCTCCGCTGTCTGTCCTCTCGAAATCTCCCTCGCTGCCTTCCTCTCCCATCCTCATGGACGCCTCAAACCGCTATCCATCTCCGAGTTCCACCAGCGACCAGTCTGGCAGCGCTTCGCCCATGAAACTCCCAGACGCCATCGGCGAGATTCAGGTTAGGACGGATGGCCCGCCGCCGGCCAAGAGGAGGAAGGTCGCCGAGCGCAAACCCCGCACTACCGAGTACATTGATCTCTCGGATCGCGACGAGGAGGACGAGGCGCAGTTAGACCGTCTCTTGTCAGTTCTGCGCAAGAAGAAGAAGATCGTCGTAATCGCTGGCGCTGGAATCTCTGTCTCTGCTGGAAGTATGTATCTTCGTGGCGCGGCTTGTTGCGCGCGTCCTCTTGCTAATATTGATATAGTTCCCGACTTCCGCTCTTCACATGGTCTCTTTCAGACCCTAAGGGCCAAGCACAAGATCAAGGGGGGAGGAAAGAGTCTTTTTGATGCCTCCGTGTACAGAGACGACAAGTCTACAGAGGAATTCCATAAGATGGTCCGAGATCTGTCGCGGCTTACACAGTCTGCAAAACCCACCCCATTTCACCATATGTTGGCGTCTCTCGCCGAGGAAGGCCGCTTGATGCGTCTCTATTCTCAAAACGTCGACTGTATCGATACATCTATGAAACCACTTGCCACTACTGTACCACTGAACGCGAAGGGGCCATGGCCTGCCACCATTCAGTTGCATGGCGGGTTGGAGAAAATGGTATGTACAAAGTGCGGCCAGATTGATGATTTTGAGGCGTCACTCTTCCAGGGGCCAGAGCCCCCACCGTGCAAGAAGTGCGAGGCCGATGATCATGTCAGAACCGCGTTTGCTGGGAAGCGAAGTCACGGCATCGGACGTCTGCGGCCACGCATGGTCCTGTATCAGGAGTATCATCCCGATTCGGAAGCCATTGGTGCTGTATCTAACAGCGATCTGAGAAGAGTTCCTGATGCTGTTATTGTTGTTGGCACAAGCTTGAAGGTGCCTGGGGTGCAGAGAATCGTGAAGCTGTTATGTCGAGCCACCCGGGCCAAGCGTGATGGGTTTACTGCATGGATTAATCTGGAATCCGAACCGCAGGGAGCCGGAATGAACGATCTATGGGATCTGGTGGTGAAGGGGAAATGCGATGACATTGCAGAGTTGCTCAACCTGCCGCACTGGGATGAGCAGGATGTTGGTGAGAAGGAAACCTACATGGTAACGGGCGACGAGCAAAAGGAAGAGCAGTACAAGAGAGGAGTGGGCCGTGACAGAATTGATGTGCTTCTACAGAAGAAGACGATCAATGAGTCTGACGAGGAGGACACTAAGCCTTCGGAAGCAAAATCCAAGGTTGTGGAGCAAATCCAAGCAGGCATTCCCACCCCAAGTGCTAGTCCAAGACACCAGAGTCCTGTTCCATCACGCAAGGCACTTCCAAAGGGAAAGACAAAGCAGAGCACGCTCAAATTTACTGGCAATTCGACTATGGGATCCAAGGAGGCTACAGCGGCAAAGATCACCAAACCTCGAAAGCCGAGACAACCAAAGCAGGATGCAAAGGCCAAGCCAAAGAATGCTCTCACAAAGTCTTTCAAAGCTACGAAGAACACTGTGTCTGTCTCTGTCAAGACGCCCATCAAACAGATAAAATCCGATCCCGAATCATCAGACTTCTCCTCTCCCCCTGTGGATGCCCAAGACGGCTTGAGCTTTGGCTTGCCCTCATTGCGACCATCCAATGGCCTAAAGAAGGATATTTCTACCATTAAGACAGAAGGGGAATCGTCGCCAAACGAAATCGATTCCCATCTTGTGTCCAACGAGCTTGATGTGGCTTCAAGGCGTGATACTATCTCGCCAAAGTCCAAGCCGCGTAGTATGGGTCACCTGATCGACTAGGCATCTTCTTTGGGCCTTCGCCCATGAGAGCAACACACTCTCACGAAGCCTTGCTACCACATTTGCATCACTCAAGCTTTGCTGCCTTTCTCAGCTCTTTGGAATCATCCGTTACCGCTACTAAACCATGGCTGGTGTTGTATCGGGAATTCTGCACGCATAATTGGGAGTACCATCTCCTTGTACATTTTTGTCCGTCTTGTGTATACTTTCGGCATTTTTTCTCTTCCAGGCCTTTTATTGTTCTTGTCGAGATCAGAGGCCACATATATCAACATGGCTGATTAGGCAGTCTGTGGCATTAAAAGGAGATACATCCTTTGGCGTTCGGTAGTAAATACCAGGCAGGGCAGTACATTGACTGCTGCTGTTTGCTGTCTTAACAGTGGCATTGGAGGCACAGAGCAGACCAGTCGCCGCCACACGGAAGACAACTAGTAATCGGATAGAGTTACGGACCTCGCTGTATTGGCGATGCGAATACAATTGATAACAGTACTGAACGTTCTGGCCATTTGTGAACGCTGTGATTGTGTAGTGGACGAAATAGTTATATGTGTCGAGACCTGGAAGTAATTACCTAGGTAAGCAAGCCTTGGCCGTTGACACCTGCCAGCCAGGTATCACTGGAAGGTAAGTAAGTGGTAGGATCACGAAATACACTGGGTGTTTGTCATAAGCATAGGCCATGGTTTAATCGCTGACCTCATGTTAAGGCACTATATGTTGTAGCAAGCTGCTAAGCTACTTGATTCTGGCTTCAAGATGATATAATACACTATCTATTCTTCTCATTGACCTTTTCCACCCCCAAAGTCAATCATGAACAGCTGCTATGGCCGCGAACAGGTAGAGGTATGCTGTAGCGACCTCGATCTTTCGCTGACGACAGCCTAGCCGTACTGGTATATAACAGAGCACAAACGTCCATCCGGGAGCCCGTTGTCATCAGGTCCAACTTTTCTTAGCTAAGGGTCATAGTGAATATCATCAGTTCTGCTCTCTGGGGACATATAAAGCCCCGTCATCCGTTTTCTCTCTGGGTAAAATGATCCTGTTATGCCCTACTTTACTGATTGGAAAACACCAAACCACACAATAATTCCGTTACCATGCAGTCACCGGGTATGTTGTAGTGTATGAATCCAGGTACAAAACACCAAAATGCCAAGTATCCGTTACGCCAGGCCTATGCAGCAAGTTGAGAGTCGACATGTCTGTATCTCAGACTCTGCTTCGTCGTCGAGCCATCATATCTAATACGGGCTGTGTCGGGGGTTGGGGCTGAGCCAAGTCTGCCTCCCACGATCACTTAAGCCCCTGTCCTTTCTAAAGCTCAGGCGGTCGCCGTTTTCGTAGGCTCGATGCTTGTAGTCATCGCGGCGATATTCTCGCCTTACATCCTCACTGATCTCTCGACGAGCGTCACGCCGTGCTTGACGACGCGCCTCCTCTTCATCATCGATTTCCCCGTCCTCTAGGTCATCGCGCTTCTTAGGCTTGTCTGCCTTCTCTCCAGCATCTTTCTTATCCTTCTCCGATAAATCACGATACATTCGCGAAAGGCGCTTCCCAGATACATCGAAATCACCAATAGGCCAAATCGTAGACAGAAAATCCCTGCGGTACGTTAGCATCGGTGTCAAAATAACACGCCGACGATTTCGACTCACCAGAATTTCGGCATAAGATCCTCAAGCTTGTCGGCAGGTATGCTTTTGTTCTTCTTGAGATCAGTGAGACACTTTCCGATGCAACGGAGCTCAGTGCCCATAATCTTCGCACGTTCCTTAGCTGACGGGATCTTATCTGCAGTGGTGTACATGATGCGCTCAAAGTTTGGTCTGACCGGCTTAAGGAGCGACCACATGAGCTGTTCACTGTCAAAGATATCCAACTTGTCATCGTCGAGCTTCATCAACTCGTTGAATCGCTCCACCGCTTTGTCACGGTTCTGCTTCAGTCGCTCCAACGTCTCAGGATCAAGTTTTTGACGCTTCTCCTTGTTCTTATCCTTATGATGGTGGTGATGTTTATCTTGAGAGCCATGGTGTTCGTGCTCATCGACTCGGCGATGCTTACCATGACGTTCATCATGTTCATCGGTATGCTTGCGTTTGTGCTCTGGGCGAGGAGTGCCACGATCGTCGGCGTTGCTTCGTGATCGATGATGATCGCCATGCGAGTGCGAGTGGCCACGCTCACGGTTGCGATCTCTATTTGCCGCTGACTTCTTCACCAATTGCGGGGCAGGCGATGCCGAGTGTGAGCCAGCATCGACTCGTCGGTGGCCATTGACAATGAGGTTCTTCTTGCTGCGGTGATGATTCTCGACAGCCCTCTGAGCGGCAGCGTCGTTGGAGTACTTGGCCAGCAGAACAGAAAGGAGATACTCCGCACGTCGGACAAGATGCACGGCTCCAGGAGACTGGATACTCTTGTCGTCCGCCTTCTTACGTTCTTCCTTCTTGTCAACGCGATGCTCCTCAAGGAAGAACTTGTCCTCCATCTGCAAGTCGGGATCATCCCTAATCTGCGTCCAAGCACCAAAACCATACTTATCGATACCAACAAGAAGCATCCCATCTTCACGAGCACCCCATTCACAGCTATAGTGAGCTGCTTTGGTAGCATCCGGTAAGCGGAAGGACTGATTGTTGCCATGTTCAGTGAGGACCTTTCGAAGAAGTCTGAGTTGTGGAGGACGGTCTACCACAGTTTCGGCGTTGACCTTCCTTACTTCTCCGAAATCGACAAGTACTGCCTTCTTGTCTTTCTTGGCAAGCACTTTGCCTGTCCTTTCCTCTTCATCGCGGAGCTTTGAGCTATTTGCATCCACGGCAACGCGACTGATACCAACAAGCTCATCAATGGTAGACCGAAGGAGATCACGATCACGGTCGGTCAATCGTGCCTCTTGGACAACCTCATCGCCACGGTCATCCAGCGAGCCATACCTGAAAAACGCTCTTATCAAATTTCGAGTTTCTTTCTCGTTCAAGGGCCGTTTGGGGTCCGAAAGCTGTGCTCGCTGTTCTTCAAGCTCTTCCTGCTCCTGGCGTTCACGCTGTCTCTTCTTTGCAAGGCGCTCAGCACGCTCGGAGTCTGCACCTCTCTTGGAGTTTTTCAGGGTTGCTCTTCTCGGTGCATTCTCCTCTAATGCTTTTGCAAGATACTCTTCATGCTTCTTCTTCTCTTCCTCGGCTTTGATAGTAGCGAGTTGATCAGAAGGAATGATCTGGTCCCAGTCCAGCGCCATTTCGTCAACCTTGACATCGGTGACTTGCATCCAATTATCCCAGTCAATACCTCCACTGCTGAGGTTGATCTTGTCATCGACGTTTGTCTTGGTGACTTCGGCATTCTCAAGAATGGAATCAATATCCAACTGCTCAAGCTTCTCTTGGTTGCCAGATTGCTCAAACAAATTCTGCGAACGCATTTTGAGAATCCATTGAATATCATCTGCAGTTTTGGCTTCATCCATTTTCAAGCCGCGCTCTTTGAATTGTTCTCGCAAGGCCTTGCCTTCATCGGTAACGCCAGCTTGGATGGTGAGATACTCTAGGAAGAGCTTGTTACGGGCACGCTTGACAACTTCCTCTTCGATGGTCTGCTTGGCTACAAGTCGATATACGCTGACCGGCCGCTTTTGGCCGATTCTATGTGCACGAGCCATAGCCTGGAGATCAGCCTGTGGGTTCCAGTCCGAATCATAAATGATGACCGTATCAGCAGTCATGAGATTGATGCCGAGACCACCGGCTCTTGTTGACAATAAAAAGCAGAAGTCCTCGCTGTTATCAGCATTGAAATGATTGATCGCCATTCGCCGTGGCCCAGCTGGGATAGTACCATCTAATCTTTGGAACTGATATCCGCGGATGCGAAGATAGTCTCCAAGAATATCAAGCATTTTCACCATCTGGCTGAAGATCAAAACACGATGATTGTCCTTCTTGAGTTTGGTCAGAAGCTGATCAAGCAACATCATCTTGCCACTGCTCGTGATGAGACCCTTGATTTGATCTTCTCGGCGAGTGCTACCGTTAAGGACTCTCTCCTCGGCACCATGGAACATGTACGGGTGGTTGCTGACTTTCTTCAACTCCATCATGATGTTCAGCAGCGATTGCTTGTGTCCATTGCTGGCATCACTCAAAGCAGCGTAATTTCGAGTGAGAATATTCTTGTAGTAATCAAGCTGGACATCGGAGAGCTCGACACGGATAATCTTCTCGGTTTTGGGGGGTAGATCGGATTCGACAATCTCCTTGGTTCGTCGCAAGATGAAAGGTGCAATAGCACGATGCAGGCCCGAAAGCTTCTCCTGGGTTGCACGACGCTTCTCCTCGTCTTTATCTGCATCTTCTTCCTTTTGCTCAGCCTGGCCCAGCTGCTCCAGTTCTTCGTCAATGAGGACCTTTCCAGGATTGAGGAAGTCAAGCAACGCTGACAGCTCTGCCAGGTTGTTCTGGATCGGTGTTCCTGTGATAAGAACCTTGCAGGGCACGCCAAAACCCATAAGCTTAGCGTATAGTTGGGATTCTCTGTTCTTGAGCCGATGAGCCTCATCGACAGCGAGAACTTGCCACTTAATCTGCTTCAGGAAATCGGCATCTAGGAGGATGTAGTCATACGATGTGACCAGGACGTTGAACTTGGGCTTCTTCGGGTTGTTATTGACAAGAAGTTCGTGCTCGCGAATAGTAGATCGAGCAGCTTCTGGCCCGAGATAGACAACATAGTTAATATCTGGTGCCCAGTGGTTAAAGGTGTCACACCATGCAGGTATGACACTAAGGGGTGCAACGACAAGGAAGGGGCCTTCCTGCTCCCGTTCATTGCGCAGCCAGCTGAGAAAAGCGACGGACTGGACGGTTTTACCGAGACCCATTTCATCAGCAAGGATGACGTTGTTGCTTCGAGTCCAGTTCAGGGCAAGGAAGTTCAAGCCCTTCATTTGAAACTCACGGAGCTCGCCTCCTTTGATATAGGACGGCTGCTTCTCCAACTTGGTCATTCTCGACCGCGTGTCAGGATTAGCCTCCTTGCGATCAGATTGCCATGACCGAGAAGACCGGTCTATAAACTGATCGATCTTATCTTGCGCATGAGAGCTGACGAGATCGGCAGCCTCCCATGTGCATTCATCATACTGGAGGCCTTTCCATTTAATCAGGTACTCATCACCTTCATCTCCGTCGCGGATGGCAACTACCCGCTCGACTTTGGTATAGTCTTCGTGGGCTTCTTCCTCACGCTCGCGATCCAAGAGCCACTGTTCCCGCTGCTCTGGTGTATACTCGTCTTCGTCGAATCTCATCCCCACTTCAAACTCGACGATTTTCTTATAGTAGTTTTCAAGACGGCGGAAACCCCGATATCCTGCGACAGTGGCGGTGGTCTCCCACGTATCGTGCAAATGAGACTTGCCTTGCCATTTGATGTAGTATTCGAAGTCGTGACGTGTGGCATCCGGAGTCAATTCGACACCTTCTTTAGGACGATGCCGGATGACCTTTTCGATATAAGGTGAATTGTCCTCCATTTCGGCGCCAACCCAATAAGCTGGCGTCAGATCTGAGTCATTTTCATCATCGACGTCGCTCTCATTGTATGCGCCGGCAGAAACTTGGGCAGCGCGTCTGCTTGTCCATCTCTTTTCAGCATACGCCAATGCTGGCTGAGATTCTTGTTGGCGACGCGCTTTTTTCTGGAAGCTGCGCGCTCGGGCACCGCCATATGTGTCAGAGTCGGAGTCATCTGCAGATGTTTGGCGGATTGGTGTATCTCTCTTAGAGGCTTGAAGGGAAGCTCAGTTAGCATGAGGACCGACAGGGATTGGTTAAAAGACGTTTACTTACAAGGTTGGGAACGCTCGACACGTCGTCTCTTGGCTGTTCTTCGATTGACAGGGACATCGTCTGATTCGGATTCATCATCGGAGTCGACCTATAAACACATTTAATTAGCTGATCGACCTCCAAACTACTGTTAGACGATGACATACAATCTTTCGGCGCTGCTGCGGACGAGTCTGTTTCGAGTTGGTCAGCAATGCGCATTGAGCGATTTAGAAAGCAGTCATACACTTCTTCTCAGCCCGTATAGCTCTGGGTTTTCTCTCATATAGTCATCTTCGTGAACTACCGCGGCTTTCCGTTTCGTGGCTCCCTGGGAATCATCGGAGACAACAATGTCGTTTTGACCGCCATTGCTGCGTGGGGAGATGGGGCTATCGGCCATATCGAAATCGGCGTCATCGGAAGCGTCATTATCGCTAGGTTCTGAAGAGTGATCTGACTCGTCACCTTGCTTGTCATTGTTCAAGGTATCCGGCATGTTGGGCGACTCGGAGGACTGGTGAGCATCGAAGGTGGCGGCCTGAACCTCAGACAAGTCGCTCTCGCTCTCGTGTAGTGGGAGAAAGCTGACTGCAACATTGTCCCCTACAGGAGTCGAGTGGCCATTGGCAGGGCCAAGTTCCGGTGAGGAAGACATGGTCTCTAAACGCGTCCAAGGCTGCCTGCTCTAAGACGACAATGTCAGTCAGAGTTTTCAATCCAGAAGCCCGAAGGCCGATGGAAGAGCGAGAACGATTGCAGGCGATTGCGGATGATAAACAAGCGACAGGAAAAGGGCCAGAATTGTCAAGCTATTGAGCTTGTCGCATCCGAGGCATGTAAGTGATGAAGACGAGGCTGATGGATGATGAAGAGCGATTGCGGCGGGCTCGCCGTCTGACAAGTCGAGAACAGATGATGTGCACGTGTAGACCGACTAGAGGGGACGGAATCGACTCGAATCAAGACAGGATATGGCTTCTAGGCATGTTGATGACCGGATATTGAAGAACATGTGCCTGGACTCGATGGCGGAAGTGAAGAGCGAGACAAGGCAAAGATGGGCGGCGGTACAAAGCAGAAGCGGCAGGAATTATCAGACAACTTACGAGTCATTAACAAAATGGCCCACAGGCAGCAAGAAGATGGCAATGTCTCTCTTGTCCGCTGCTAGAGAGGGGTGTTGGTGCTGGTGTTGAAGGCGGCCATGTGGTGGCAGGCCTGGGCTGGGATGGGGATGGATGAATTGCGAGTCTCGTGCAGAGTCGCCGAAGTCAGTCTCTCTTGGGAGGGCTGGAGGAGGTAAGGTAGGTGGGAAAGAAAATGCAGCAGCCGCCGGAGGTAGGTGCACAGGGTTTCCGCCGTTGCGGTACGTATCCTCTCGGAAACCAGCCACTTGATTGGCTCCTTCCCATCCTCTGGGCTGAAATCTGCCTCAAAGCGACGGGGCGCGCACAGACCATATTACCGTCGACCGCTACCACTTCAGTGCCATTTTTCGCTGTACCTACCTAGGTAGGTAGGCCATCAAGCGACCCAGCAAGACGCTGACCGACAATACCTATCAGCCACACACAGTACGGTCTGCCGCCTTCAACAGCCAGCCTCCTTCTTACCTTCCTGAGGTATCTATCTACTCGATATATGACTGACTGACCGACTGACCGATGTTGTTCGAGACTAGGCAGCCTTGCTCGTCATGTGAGGAGACTTGAGGACGGTTGCAATCCAACATCATCTCGTGGGGCCATATAGGCGTGCATTCATTCATCGTCAGTTTCGTGGTTGTTATCGGCGAAACCAAGGTTTTGCAGACGTTGCTGACTTTCGAGGGTGTACATGAACTTCTCGGCATCTTTAGCCTGTCTCGATCCTTTCCTGATCCTGAAGAGATAATTCGGGAGCCGCCTTGTTTTCAGATTACGCTCGTGTCTGTACACATCTCTTCTCGGCTTGGCACAGAAACCAACTACTACTCAAATATAAGAATTGAACAAAATTTGTTGCAAAAATGCGTTTTTCCCCCTTCTAATTCACCGATGCAGCGCCCAGTCTTTCATTAACATGAGCTTGATTTAATATCATACCTACATCCGGAAGGCGACGGAGCGTTTCTATGATCATCAAAATGACCAGCTGTAACCCAGAGAGATATCGATACATATGCGTAGAGCTCTCGTCAATGGGCGGCTAACATCGATGCCATTGCTGTTGTCTGTCGTTGGTATACAGTACCGATGTATAATCCCCCTCCCGTCTTTTGTCGGGAAGCATCAAGCGCCGAACTCAGTTCACGATTTGATGATTGAATACTCAATAATTTTGCTTCGAAGACTTTGCTTGAGTTGGCATACTATCGCCGTCCGAGAGTACACGGCTGTAGATCGTGACTTATGTAAGTCGCGTATGATTGATTTCATCTCATTCCGAGTACTCTGCTGTGTAATATTTGAGTCTCATGCAAAGTCCATCAAAGAGCCTTACACCTTATGAACGTACCATGATACTGCAACATGGCAAAAACACCGAGATCTACTCGATGTAATGCCAAAAAAAAAAAAGTCATCTTATTACTCCTTTGAGTCAATACAGCTGTGTAGTCTCAATATTGAATGAAGCCACTTTTCCGAGATGAGAGGGCAGCATACAAGCCATGTCTTGCAGCTGTTATTCCTTCTGCTGAGGAGGAAGCGACGGAGAGCAGCCGTGCGAGGGCAAGGCTGAATGCAGATCTGAGTAATCTGGCCCTAGTGGATTTGTACGGCCTATCGCCGCCAGTTTATTTTTCATTACGGCGCGCAAAAGTCGGAAACCCCACCCTACCGTACCTTTCCTTACCCTTTTGTGCCCCGCACACAAAATCTGGCACGTCGTCACAGTTCACTTTCCACCTGCCCACCCACCTTGCCTTGGTTTCCTATCCTTTCTTTTCTGCCCTGATCTTCTTCTCTTCTTCCTCTCCTGAAAGGGCCACTACATTTCAGCTCGTCTCGCGGGGCAACCCCTATCGTAGAGATCTGTCGCTCCCTCCAAATCCATAATCCATTCCATAATTAGACCACCCACCGACCTTTCAAAATGAGCGACAAACTCACCCGGTAAGCCTCAAGGACTCGAAGTCCCCCCATCGACATAGCAGAGATTATGCACAGACATCCGGGGCTGTTTATAGTCTCTTTTTGTTGACATCGACTGACGTGTTGCTTTTCAGTATTGCCATTGTCAACAGTGACAAGTGCAAACCGAAGAAATGTCGGCAAGAATGCAAGAAATCCTGCCCCGTCGTTCGTAGCGGCAAGCTGTGCATCGAAGTTACCCCCGACTCGAGACTCGCGTTCATCTCCGAATCGCTATGCATTGGTTGTGGTATCTGCCCCAAGAAGTGCCCATTCGCCGCCATCACAATCATCAACCTGCCCACGAACCTCGAGAGCCAAGTCACCCACCGTTATTCGGCCAACAGCTTCAAGCTTCACCGACTGCCTATGCCACGGCCCGGCAATGTATTGGGTCTTGTGGGAACAAACGGTATCGGCAAGAGTACGGCGCTCAAAATCCTCAGCGGTAAGCTCAAGCCAAACTTGGGCAAGTTCGACAACCCGCCGGACTGGGAGGATGTGATCAAGTATTTCCGTGGCTCGGAACTGCAAAATTACTTCACGAAGTTGCTGGAGGATGATCTCCAAGCTGTGGTTAAGCCACAATACGTCGATCAGCTTCCGAAGGCTATTCGAGGTCCCGACAAGTCTGTGAAGGCGCTTATCGAGAAGCAGGTGGCTCTGAACAACCTTGACGAGGTTCTCGACACCCTGGAGCTGAGGCACATTTACGATCGTGATGTCCCCCTGCTCTCCGGTGGAGAGTTGCAACGATTTGCCATTGGTATAACTTGCGTCCAGAAGAAGGATGTCTACATGTTTGACGAGCCTTCTTCCTATCTCGATGTCAAGCAACGTTTGAGCGCTGCTCGAATTATCCGGTCTCTCTCAACGCACAACAACTATATCATCGTTGTCGAGCACGATCTGTCCGTCCTGGATTATCTTTCTGATTACATCTGCGTTCTCTACGGACAGCCCGCTGTGTACGGTGTGGTGACACTGCCTCATTCCGTCCGTGAGGGTATCAACATCTTCCTCGATGGTCATATTCCAACGGAGAACCTTCGCTTCAGAGAGGAGTCTCTCACGTTCCGTATCGCGGAGGCGCAAGACGAATTTAACGCTGATAGGAGTCGTGCTTTCAAATACCCCGCAATGCAGAAGGCCCTCGGAAACTTCAGTCTTCGTATTGATTCTGGTGACTTCACCGACTCCGAAATTATCGTCATGATGGGTGAGAATGGAACTGGCAAAACTACTTTCTGTCGTCTCCTTGCTGGTGCTCTGAAGCCCGATAATGGCAAGAAGGTTCCAGAGATGAGAATTAGCATGAAGCCCCAGACTATTACGCCTAAGTTTGAGGGTACAGTCCGCCAGCTGTTCTTCAAGAAGATCCGCGCTGCATTCCTGTCTCCTCAATTCCAGACCGATGTTGTCAAGCCCCTGAAACTGGACGACTTTATCGACCAAGAAGTCAAGAATCTGTCTGGCGGTGAATTGCAACGAGTTGCCATTGTTCTTGCCCTAGGCATGCCGGCCGATATCTATTTGATCGACGAGCCTTCCGCCTACCTCGACTCCGAGCAGCGTATCATTGCTGCCCGTGTCATCAAGCGTTACATCATGCACGCCAAGAAGACAGCCTTTATCGTCGAGCACGACTTCATCATGGCCACCTACCTTGCTGACCGTGTCATTGTATTTGATGGCAAGCCGGGTATCGATGCCCATGCCAATGCTCCGGAGTCGCTCTTGACCGGCTGCAACAGCTTCCTGAAGAACCTTGATGTCACATTCCGTCGCGATCCTACCAACTACCGCCCTCGTATTAACAAGGGCGGCTCTCAGCTCGACCAGGAGCAGAAGATGAGCGGCAACTTCGTAAGTTCTTATTGCAGTAACATCTCTATAGTGATAGCGCAGCTAACAGTTCGACAGTTCTTCCTGGAAGAGGGTGACAAGAGCAGTTGAAAGGGCACCGCGAAGGACACCTTTCCACCTTTCACCCCACCACCTCCTCCGCGTCGCCACTTCCATAATGATGCATCTGATCCCGGCGTTCTAGGCGTTCAAAATGACCAGCATCGAGCCGGCGGCGGCCACTCGGCTGAACTTGGATTAGAGGAGGGCGGCATGGCTGATGATGATGATCCGGACATCTAGCCCTGGCGACGGCAGTCTATCCCCTGTTGCCTGGTCCTACGAAGACTTGAAGAGACGGTATTCCTCGTTGAACATTTGATTGAATTTTGCGCCGCTTTTCACTTCGCAACTTTCTGCCAATGACAGAAACCTGGTATTGAAGACTTGTTTTGTGGAGGAAGTAGAGGATACCATCTTCGTAGATTGAGGGGCAATGGATCAAGTGGATGACTGCCGTCAGCTTTCGTGCGTAAAGTACGAGGGCGATCGATACATGTAGCAAGATACCAACGCACAAGTGATGCAATATGAAAACAAACGTTGATTGCAACCAGCTTTTACTGTCTTATTAAGGCTATCTAGGATGGATAGAGAGAGGCATAGTCTGTGGTTATGATATTTGGCGACAAGAGTAATATGGGTTGATACACACCGACAAGTAATCCATCCCAAGCAAAGTGTCGCGCCGAGATGCGCCTATCAAATGTGAAGAAGGTCGATAGGGTTAGAATATAGACAACGAAGGCCGATAACGAGATATCGAGCTGCCGTGGAGTATGTGCCTCTGAGCGGTCCTGTATCCCGAGCGGTGTCATCTTGCCCACAGTAAGCCGCGATGGTGAATACCAATTACGTACTGAGCAGAACGACAACACCATAACCCCTGTACAGGCGACAAACGCCTCAAGTTCGTTGATGCACAGCTTAGTCTTCTTCAATCTCGCCCTCTTCACTTCCGGAGTGTACACCAGCTGGCTCTTCCTTTGGAGGAGCTGCTGGGAGTGGAGGAGGAGACCTAGTTTTATGACGAGCTTCACGACGGGGGGTGCGCTCACGGGGTGAAAATTCTCTCTTCATTCTCTGTGTTGAGATGTCAGCAACAAAATTTCGGCAACGATTTAGGCTGGTAGTCCCTACCTTCGAGTCTCTGGAATCTCCACGATCGCGATCGTCCTCCTCGGCGCGCCGTCTTCTGGAACCACTTGGCTTCTCGTCACCATATGGGAGATCGTCAATGTCCTTTTCAACAACGCGGCGTCGATAGAGTCTCTCACGCTCTTCTTCGCGATCACGGCGTTCGCGATCGTAATAGCTAGGGGGCTCATCGCGACGTGAGCGAGGCGGGCGGTCGTAGTCGCGGTCGCGTTCTCGATCTCGTTCTCGTTCTCGATCCCGATCCCGATCCCGTTCACGCTCTCTCTCGCGATCTCGGACTCGGTCACGGTCACGATCGCGCTCCCGGTCGCGATCCCGTTCTCTCTCGCGGTCGTGGCGTTCGAAATGTCCATCAGAAGACCTGCGGTCGGACAGGAGACCGTCCGCTATGCTGGTCTTGCGGTAATTGCGCTCTCTTTCAGCCATAGCTTTGCGCCGATCGGCCTCATACGGATCGATCTCGGGACTGCGACTGGACCTAGTACGTCCACTACGATGAGATCTCTCACCTCTGTCTCTTTCCCGATAGTCACGATCATCCCGAGCACCGCGATCGCGGCGCCTTTGACGATCTCTTTCAGCCTCATCTTCCTTCTCCCGCAGTCGTCGGATATGCTTGTCAAAAGCGCCACGACGATCATCTTCCGAAGCAACGGCTTGGAATTCCTCACTCTTCTGTAAACGGGGTTTGACCTCTTCGTACGTGTCATTCACAGTAATAGGAGGCTCTAGACGCTTTAGGAAGGATCGTAGGTCATCAATGGCCCGACGCTGCTTGCGCTCAGATTGCCGATCCTCCTCGGAAGGCTTTGTCTTCTTTTCTTGAAGCTACACATATGGATCAGTGTATGATAATCAAATTGCTAACTTTGAAACATACCCTTTCGAAAATCAACTTCAGGATATCTCGATCAATGTTAGCAGTGCGTCGGTCCTCTTTCACAATCGCAAGGAAATCTTGGAAGTCCGTTTTAGGGGTAACCTCAAAACGTTTGTCCTAAATCAAAGTCAGTATGGCTGGGGTCCCTATATTGAAATAAGGAAACGCCTACATAAAGAGCATCGATCACGTCATTTCTGGTGCCTCGCAAGGCACGCTCTTCTTCCTCGACGATGTCCCAGAACAACTCCTGAGGAGTGGAACCGCCAATGCCTATCATCGCGCGATAGCGGTCTTCTTTTTCGATGAGAGGGAAGACCTGGCTCCATTTCGTGCCAGCTTTGATCTTAGACGCTCGTCTCAATTCACGGAGGAGCGAAACGAATCCGTCGCGAGCCTGGCGTTCTTTTCGGTGTTTCTTGGCCTTTTCCTCCTGTCTAGAGTCGTTGAAAGTGCGTTCTACAGCCTTCATGTGATTTTGAAATACAGTCAGGACATCAAACTTGCTAAGGACTTTATACTTCTCATCATTTTGAAAAGGAGCGGTCGCCGAGATGACGCTTTGCGCCTCGGACCACCGCGTATATGGCTCCAGGTTGAGCTTCGGTAGAAGTTCGATCAGGCCGTCCATCGCGCTCTTACGAAGTGATGCTTGCTGCTCTCTATGCGCCTTCCTCAGGTCGAGAATATAATCCTCGAAGAGCTGCCGCCGCTCATTCTCGTTATTGGTTGACCGGAAGATGGTTTCGCCTTCAATTATGGGTCGAGCTGTCTTCCAACGCGTGTAATGTTTGATTTCAGGATGGCTCCTCAGCATGGTCGCGAAGTCAGTACGTAGCTTAGTCAGTCTTTCTTTTGCTCGTTCTTTGTCTTGGACAACGACATCGTAGCAGTACTTCTCGAATGCAGCCTTTCTGTCCTTCGGGTCTTTGATAGCACGATACTGCGGATCTTTGACAATTGCACGAAGAGTCTGCTCCCATGACCAGTCAGGCTGAACACCACTTCGACGAAGCAGCTTGATAAAAGCAGCCTCGGCTTCTTCAGCGGTAGCATATTCCGGTTCGTTACTCGCAGGGACGAACTGTTGGGCACGTAAATCGTTACCGTAAGTTAGTTGTCGAGACTCGCCGATGACTTCACGCTGTTCTCGTCCCGAATCGTATGATTCTCTTGCAGATCCGCTATTTCCACCAGGAGTGGGAAAGGAAGGTGTCCTAGACGAAAGTCAGATCAATGATCATTGCACTTCTTGTGAATAAAACTTACGCAGGGGTTGTTGGGGTTCCCGTCGATCCGAGCGCTCTTTTGTAAGCATCTGGCATCTCCCAGGAGCTTTGCTTCGTCTCGGTGTTGTACCAGTATTTTCGGCCTCCTTCTGCGGTGTATTCTTTCCAAGGCTGATTCGCGAGAGCGCGCTGAACGCAGGTTAGTATCGACGAGGCTACGACTGATAGCATCCAGCAATGGAGCAACATACCTCTGCCGGGGACATAAGCTCCTCTGGCTTTGTCCACTGAGTCGCCTTAGTGGCTGCATTGTAATAGTACACTCGTCCATCAGGACTGCGGAATTCCTGCCATGGTACTGCTGCAGCAGGTGGAGGAGGCCCTGGGGGGAAGTGGCCGTTCATCCCGTTCATGACAGCAGCGCAAATGGATCAGCACCGGTGGAGATGCTCGAGAGCTTTTGCGAGTAGATTGCCACCGCGTAGCAATAGGAAGCACAGCCTGGGAGACAGAGGACCAAGGAGTAGATGGGAAGTGAGGGACGATTAGGTGCTGGGACGAAATTTTGGAGTCGCGATTCATCTAGATGATGGGAATAATCGCGGCATGTGATTCGCTCGTAAAGACAGTTCCCCACTTATTGGACATTCAATTCCATGCAGGCAACCCCATGAAGCTACAGCATACTGAGCTCCCTAATAAGTTCGCGGCAGCAGCCGATCACCATCTCCCAAGGTCTCCCATTGTTCGGCCAGGCGCCACTCGGAATTTTGAAAAGCTGAAGTAGAGAGAACCGATCATTTCAATTAAGCAAGGCTATGACTCTTGTATGACCCGCGTCAACGACAATGCACAATGGCAGTATTTCCGCAACAGGAAGCCCTTGATACGGGCCTCGACTTCCTCGAGCATTCTTACCTTACATACACGATACCCTTTGCAACGAATTTCAACCCTGAGCAGGATCTCAAGCAGACACAGTCTTCCAGGAGCTCTCCGATAGACAGCATAGAGAAACGAGAGTCGCTCTTCTTTGGTAAGTCTAGTCTGTCCTGGTGTAATACTTTTGTCTTACGTTGCTCATTCGTAGACCACAGATGAAACTGTCGATGTCTATTTAATACTACGAACACGAGCCATAGAACGAGCGACCCTAAAATCATATCTTAAACGTCTTACAATACTCCTTGAGGCTCAAGTGGTTAACAGCCACGCCCCGGAGCGAGACAGCCCTCCTGCAAAAGAGACCATCTATAATGGCGCTATCGCGGACACGGTTGAGTCTGCCATAGTCGTCGACGATGAGAGTGAGGCGTCTGAGGATGATCAGAAGTACGTCTTTGTCATCTGGAAGCAGAGCGTATTTCTGGCAAGGCCGAGAATACGATTGCAAGCACCATCCGTTGTCTTCTCCAGTACAGCAACCCTGAAGCCTCAAACGGACCAGTCAGGGACCCGCAAGACTGAATATCTCGAAAATGGTGTGCCGTCGGGACTCAATCTCCTAGAATCATTCGGTAGTGATCCGGCCTTGAATGGGATCAAGCCTAGGCTTTCAGCCCTACGAGTATCCCGGGTTGCGCCAGTCACACAGTCCAAGGATATGTATCGTACGCTTAAGGGGCTGACGCATCTCACCCTCATCATATACCCTGTTGTGCACACACGAGTTCGCTTTGCGCGACCAAACGTGGTACCTCCAAGTCCTGCTATAATAGCCCACTTAGAGGTCGACTTCACCCCTTTCTTCGAGTGTGAGATCGTACTCGATAAGATCGAGCTTGCGATCCCGGAGGGGGTGGCGGAAGACCTGAACATGGTGCAAGGTCTCTCTTTACCCCTGAGTTGCGTTGCCCATGACCACGTTACCTTCCTCTACCGACTCTCCCCACAGGAAAGTGACGTTGTCTCCAAGAATCTAGCCAGAGACCTCGATATCACTATATCATGCACAGCTCTCGTGCGACCAGGGGAATGCACACCGTCGCTACGCATGGCATGGACCACAACAGTAGACTTCACCCTTCCCGTCAATCCAGGCTTCGGCACAGCCGTAACGCAGCCGATACAGCGTTCACATCGCCCGTCACAGCTGTCTATTGGCGACGGAGCCAGCCTCATCGCACCCTCGGTATCGCGGCCCGATGCATTGCCGAGTCTCGAAGCCGCCGCAGCACGCTCCACTGAGACCACCATCCCCGACTTTGGCATCACGATGTCCTTCACCGCTCCCGAGGGGCCCATCTACGCCGGCGACGAGTTCACATGGACCGTATTCGTCGTGAACCGCACATCACAGCAAGCCGGGCCCAACCGACCCGCGGATCCCCCGCCGGCACCGCGCAAGCTTGCCCTTCTGGCCATCCCACGGCGGCGGCGCAACGATGTGCGCGTCGTACGGCCGCCCTCGACCTCCGGGCACGCCAAGCGCAAGAGCGTGACCAACGCCGCCGCAGCAACAGGCGGAGACGACGCACAGCAGCAGCAGCAGCAGCAGCATGCGGTCGCGGATGCCGTGTTGGACGAAAACGTCGTCCACGCGATGCAGCGCTCCAGCCTAGTCGACAGCACGGATGTGGTGTGCCTAAGCGCAGACACGCGTGTCGGGCCCCTGGCGCCTAATGCGTGCCACGTGGTTGAGTTGCGCTTTGTGGCGCTGCACGAGGGGATTGTCGGCGTGGAGTGCATCAGGGTCGTCGACCTGGGCAGCCAGGAGCATGTCGACGTGCGCGAGCTGCCGATCATGGTCGTCGAGAAGAGGCGCGACGAACGGCCCATTGCGCCGAGGGCCGCGAGCGGGAGTAGGAGCCGCGCATCGAGCGTCCAGATTGAGGAGCGGAGAACTCGGTCGATAAGCCGTAGTTCCAGTGTACGTGTAATGTGAGATTGCATATAGCGCATGAGGACACAGCGGAAACCATGTTTCAAAACTTGTATTGAGCATCGATGATGCTGTCTATGATATGCCACGTAGCGCTCTATGATGATGATATTCTCTTCCATACCAGCTTTTGACAAATGCAAAACGCCAACCCAATGCGCATCATCACCTTACTGCGTCTTCATGTCCATTAACACGCCTATCCATGCACCCTGATCCCAGTATAGCCATACCAATATGCACAAAATCAATTGAACAAAGTTCAGTCATGCACAGCAGCCACTACGCTGTGACTTTACGCCAGATCATCAAAGTCGTCATCATCCCAGCCTAGTTGCTGGTAAATAGTCATTTTCTTGCCCTCGGGGGTAGCCTCCACCTGTTCGGGGATTGCCGCGAGGTTTGTAGGAGATGTGTGTCGCCTGATAGGCGGTGTTGACCTGAGTGTCTCTTCTGATAGCCCAGGCCTTCTTTTAATGGGGGTCTCGAATAGGCCGACCAAGCCTGGAGATGAGGGCTCAGGCAATGTTCTCGAGTTTCGGCTTGCAGTTCCTGGCACCTCGAGGAAGTTGTGTTCCGGTTTAGCCTTCCTTGCTTGCACAGGTGAGGATGGTGGTATGACAAACTCGTCTAAGTTCGGTTGAAATAGCCTATTAGGAACGGCGGATGATCGTATTGGAGTCGCCTTGACTTTGTTCGCGATAGGCGTACTTGCGACTTCATCGGGGTTGAGTAAGCTCGGTGCAAGTACCCTCCTCGGTGCTGAGGATGGAATGACCGAACTGGAAGATGGAATATCAGGATTTGCAAAGCTCTGCTGGAATATCAGATTCCCGGTGCCTTGGGTTTCGCCAGATAGTGCATCTCTGAAGCGGTTATTTGCCGGAGTGGCTTTGACTTGTATGTTACTGAAACCGGGAGTTCTTGTGGGTTTCTTTGCTTCTGCAATCCAAATTAGAATCGTTCTACCAACAATGCAATTGCAATACTCACTCTTGATTTGAGACATACTGAGCGATGTACGCTTTTCAGCTTCTTCAACGATAGCCTTACCCGCAAGTTGCCTATTCGGCTTTTTAAGCGCGGAGATAGCGTTCTGGAGCTCAGCGTCAACAAGTGCTTTCTTTTTCGCTTTGACATCGTCCACACTGCAGCTCGAGTTGCTCCTCGAGAGCATGTTATTGGACCTCTCTCTGAGAGAACCGGAATCTCTCTTGGGTATGTTTGCCAAAGCTGCCGGTTCACTTGCTTCCCGCTTGAAGCCAGGAATAGCTGCAGGTGTGGCTGACCTCATCCTAGCTAAAACGTCTGCCGGTCCGTGAGAGCCTCGGCGCTTCAGTCTATCATTGGATAGGACTCGGTCAAGGCTCCTAACAGACTTGGACGGCATTGGTCTCTTTGCAGCAGCTCCCGGTTTGGGCTGTGGTTTCGCGACAGAGGAAGATTTTGGTTTTCTGGGCTTAGGGGGAGACACAATGACCGGTCCACCCAGCTTGCGATTGAGCCCGTCACAAATCTCCGGAAGACGAGAAGAGAAGCTGGAATATGTAAGCCCGCGTTTAGATGGCAAAATTTGAATGAATGTACTTACAATGGTAGGATGATGTCGATGCAGAAATCTTTCAGCGGATCCGAGTTTGCTTTTGAAAGTTCCTGCGATTCTGTTGCGTCTCTCAAGGCTTGGGATTCGGCAACAACCTTAACCTCATCTAAAACAGTTGACTGCCAGATACAAAGTCGGTCTGCATGAATGTCAACGAGGACTGGGAAATTGTGCTTGTTTCTTTTCCTGGAAGGGGCTTCCAGGCTCATTTCCTTTTCTGGTGTGGCACCTGGGAGTTGACTGTCTGGCGCATCCACCACTGCCGGCAGTGCTTGCAGAGCCAGAATCTCCAGTATCAAGATGATCTGCAATTGCGTCTCTCGTGTGCGCAGACACGATATGTGATACCTCGTCTGCTGCTCATCAGGTCGGGTCTCGTCCTCATCGCGTACTTCTGGTCTGTGAATGGTCCACCATCGTTTGACGTGTTCTTCTTCAGTCGGGTATAGTCCATCTTTCCCTAGCTTCATCTTCTTGGTCTTTCTCTTCTTAGCTTTCTGTTCGCCGTCGTCCGAGCTATCAACGAGTGTCTTCATCTTGGATAATATCTCGGGCACCGTTTCACGGTACTTTTTGTCGATTATGATGGTTGTCATGACAAGACTTTTCAGAAACTCCACGAGATCTTTCATCTCTAAATTGGCGTCGCAGTCAAGATGAAAAGCTGCGCGAGCCCGAGACAGTGGCCCCTTTGCAAAATACGCGAGAGATCCCTATGCATGTAAGAATTCGCAGGGGGTAATATATATCAAGTATGCCTACCTTTGAGTGATACAGAGCCTCGAAATACTGGCTTCTAATATTCTGAAATATGCCATCCGCCGTTGGTTGAGCAAGAGTTTCGTCATTTGGTTGCGAGGTCGAGTGCTGTGATGGGAACACAGGGCGTGTAGGCTCTGAAGTTGATTGCTCCTGAAAATCCTCTTCAACAAGAGTTTGTGATGTGAGATGTGTATCTACAACCAGTGTCTCTTGACTTTGAGGCGCTGACCCGTCCAAAGGCGATATGGATTGAGATCTAGGCTTCTTCCGGATCAACGATTGTAGTTCCTCAATTGCGATTCGCTTCCTTTTGTTATCTTTGTGCAATTGGGGTGTCGTCAATGGTGGTTCCTGGGCAGTTGTCTCCTTGGTTGATACCGCGGGGCGAAGACGCTGCCGACAGCAGACCGTTGCATGCTGGCCCATTTTTCCCACGTCAACCCAGGCGCCAAGTTTGCATACGACATATAATCCATTTTCATGCCACTCGATTGCATACAAATTGCGGGTCGTCTCGGAGCGAGCGAGGAGCATATTACACCCTAACCGGCCTTCCAGATCGAGAATTCGTATTTGCGACGCATAGAACCGGCCTGGAGAGACAGGGAGCTCGCCTGTGGGCATGGAGAGATCTAGAGCTGACAATGGGAGGTGTTCCCGGGGTAGAAGCATGAGTGGCTGTAAAATTTGAGGCTTCACGGTCAGGTTGGACGGATGGGGCTGCAAGTGGTCAGTTTCAACTGGTTGACAGCCTGAGAACTGCTGGCTGACCTTGATGACGATGGAGGGCTTTAATAGATCCTCCATAGGGAGAGATGATGCATCACGTTTCCGTTTCTGATTCTCCGGGAGTATGCCATCACGGCCAGAGCTGTCCGAGGTTGGAGTCAAGATGCCCGACGTCGACTTGGGGCGCGACGCGCCGGAGGCGAGGGGTAGTTCGGAGGGCATGATGGCTCTTGTGGATGAGGGTTGGCCATCTAAGTGTTGTGTCGTGAGAGAGAAAGGTCAATTGGATACATATTGGGGTGCCACTCAGATGTGATATGAAGCTATCTTCAAGGTAGGCATATAGGTAGGCATATGTTACTTTGGTGGGTGGTGGAGGTAGTCGAGATGTGCTGGTTGTAGCAGGTAGGTAGGTACCTATGTACCGAAGCCGTGGCGTCACGCGTCAGGAAGACGCGACTTGGGGACGGGCGAGCGAGAATTCTGGGAAGGTACCCCGCTGACGTTGACTGGTACAACCCATGGATGCTGGCGGGACCTGGGCAGCTGGCAGAGGTGACAGCGCAGGTGTGCAGGTGTCCAGCAAAAACTGGAGCTTGCCGAGGCACTCTAGTTCTAGCGCGGTAGCCGGTGCAAGCTGCCCAGGTGTGGCTGGTCACACTCGCTACACTGTACTATCGAACAGCACTGTAGAGTAGTGAGTGCATCGATAAGCAACATCGACATCGACATCAACATCGACATCAACATCAACGTTGAGAAAAGGTGATACGGGCCGATCCCTTCGGATCGCAATCCAAAGGGAGAAGGAGGCCCCTGGCCTCGCACGGATTGTCCACCGGGAGGAGAGCCTGAATCGCCAGCCGTTGACTATCAGACAACAACAAATCCATCGTTTTCCTGCGATACCTTAGCTATTTCTTAATACGCGTGCTATGCGATGCCGTTGTCTTCTGATCGAGAAAAAAAGATCGATCTCCTTAGCGGACGGCGATCCAGGCCCCAAATTGGAGGTACCGCGTGTCTTTTTCGCCCCGGCTCCAGCGTCCATCCATGCCTGTAAGTCCTGGATTTTTACTGGTGGCCGGAGGTCTCATCCGCCCTGGCCAGCACTTAAAGCATAAGCATCAAAGCACGGAGCTGCTTCCTTGCCCGTCAAGCAGCGTACCGGTAGGAGTGCAGCATGTCTGACAGTAAAACAAGGTCGCTGCACCGCCACGCCACGCCAGCGTCTGTGCTCCCCCCTCGGCAAGCCGCCGAAAGCTCTCTGGCCGCCCGCTGAAAGTGGCCAATCGCAACTGCAGCCCTCCCCTTCCACCGCCCTAGCTTTCCTGCTCGTCGCCACACTTCACCTCAATTTCCGGCCTCTGCTGGCCTAGTCTTCTCTAGCCTCAAAGCCTGGCTCAACGACCCAAACGGCCCAGGTGTTGAGCCCGTTGCTGTGATTCCTGTCCTTTGCGAAAACCCTCATGGATAACCCTCATTTCCTGTAATCATTGCTCCCTTCACCCTGGCAGAGTGTGTGCCGCTCATCAGTTCTTTCTGGGCTCTTAGGCTTGGGGAGCCCGCAAGCACATACCGCAGTGCTGCCAGAAAGCCGTCGACGAGGTCGAATTGATATCGCCCTTGCCCTCGGGGCCGAGTTCCCAGACGGCCATCTTTTTCCGACGACCAGAACCACGCAAAATGGCCACCGAGACATCCCCTCGGGCCGTACGGTTCTCCCAAGGCGAGGACGATCAGGTCCGACCCGACAAGGGCAAGTCCATCTACCGCCCGCACGCCATCACCATCGACTCGGGCGAGTCAGGGTCCTCCGGCGATTCGCATCCAGACCAGAACGGCATCGACGCTCTCGAACGCCAGGACGAGCTGGGCTCTTTGGTCAGATATGCCGACGCATCTAGTCACTCCAGTTCCATGTCTTCGTTGGTGCCCAACTCCCTCGTAAACGGCGCGGGAAGTCGTCACCGCGCGGCGACTGCAGAAGCCACGCCGGTCTATACCAACGGGGCGTCAACAAGACCTCAAAGACCGACCGGCCCGGCCAGAACACCATCGAATACCTATCAGCCGCAGCGCCGACCAGCGCAACAGGGACCATCCTATATCAATACCAACTCCGACCACCGATCCACCTCCAGGCCACGAGCCATAGGGACCTCGACCTTCGCACGCCAGGAACGGGCTTATGTTCAGAGGTTAAGGCAGACGGATGCACAACAACAAGACTACAACTTCCCGGATGGTTATTCGTACCCTGTAGATGACCGGGATCCTGACAGTGATTCGGAAGGTGAAACACCTAGCTCAGAAGCACCTTTTGGCAATGAGCAGGAGGACGACTCGAGGAATCTGTTTCAGCCTAATGAAGATGTCGAGCCAACCGATGAGGATGTCAGGGATCCCGACAGTCGAGAAAGGTTAGAGTGGCACGGCATGTTGGCAGCCGTGCTCACTGGAGATGTTGTCCGGCAGGAGAAGAAGCGACTGATTGGGTCATCTGAGCAAGAGATTGGCAAGACAGCACAAAAAGCGGAGCTCTGGCTCGGAATTCGCTCGAGAATATGCGGACGACATCTTGCCGTGCAGCGGCGGATGGTTGAAGAAGCCCGAGGTACTTTGGATCGCACAATCGACGACATTATCAACTTCACAATAGCTGGCGAGAGCGAAGCAGGCAAACCCCCAATCGATCAAGTGCGAGACGTTGTGCAGAAAATCGAAAAGGTCGAGACCCTCTACCCTTCTCGAGCCTCTCTGCTAGCGGCTCATAAATCAGCATCATCGGTACTATTCCAGGAGGCTTGCGACACAGTCCTCGCCTGGTACAATATCAACGAGTTGATCAGAACTGAACTCTTCGTGCTGAGGAGTTGGGTAGGAAATGACGAGCTTGACTTCTTACGGACGAAGGAACGTTCGCCAGTTGGTAATGGTATCAGCGACGAATCCTCTTTCTTGGACAAGCTTTTGAAGGAGGATGGATTGAAGTCTTTGCACGACCACATTGAAGAAGAATCTATGGGCAAGAGCTATCGTAAGAGTATGCTCAAAGCTATCACAACAACAATAGTAAAAGCCAAGGAGACCTTAATCATGAACCACGAGGCGTTCCAGAAGCGGCACCTTCCCCCGTACATGGAGGACCTTCTCACACTGATCAGTTTTCCATCTCGCCTGATCGAGGAAATTATCAAGGTCCGCCTGGCCTATGCGAAGAAGATGAAGGAGTCTGCACAGCAGAATCCAATGCTGCAGGACCAAATGATTTCTCAGTTTCAGGTTCTTTTGAACCTTGCCATCAGCATCAAGCTAGAATACCTGGAGATCTTTCAACCTGAACCAGGTTGGGAGCTACCCCCTTGCATTGATGAGGCCTTTGACCAGGTTGTACTCGATGCGCTGAAGTATTATTTCAAAATGCTAAATTGGAAATTGAATGGCAACAAGAATACTTTCAAGGAAGCCGAACTGCTATTCCAGGAGTGGGGTTTCATTAACTACATCGGCAGTCACCTACATCACGGTGATGTGGAGGTTGCTGAGCAATTTAGCAATCTGACATTCAAGGCCTTCAATCGGTTGAGTCTCACTTTCGAGAGGGAACTCCAGCGTCGACCGAAAGAGAGCGCCTTTGAAATGAGCAGGAGATACAAACAAATCTTGGACTCTGTCCGGGTGCGGCAGAGGATGCTCCAACGCTTCTCACGCCAGCTAAGTGAGAACTATGAGAATGCCACGGATTTCAGCGTAGCTTTTGGGCCTGAGAAGCTTGACGACTTATATGCCCGTCTCGCTGAATCTGGCCATTTTCAAGTCTACACGGGCAGCTTAGAACATGAAGGTGTCATTCTCGTGGCATCGCCTGCGCTGCAAGGCCGACCTGAGGAGATACAGTCGATCATCGGCACAGCCTCTTACGAGCACATCTCTGAAGATCCCACGGATCCTTACATTCTCATCATCAAGGCCGAGAATGCCCCAAGCTGGTACGGACCACAGATATCATTGACGGTCCGAGAGGAGCCTTTAGACCTCAAGCTCGGCCACATCCGACTAGTTGCAGGCGGCTCACAAGTCCGTCTGGTAAACGCCAAGAAGACATTCCTGGACCTTATCGACACGCAACTCGATGTTGTAGTTGAGCAGAGATCAAATTTAAAGAGAGTCAATCAGAGACTCATGGACATTCGAAAGGTCGCATACAGGCTGTCCAATACATTCATGGACAGTGTTGAAACTATTCGAAGTCAAACGCAAGGCCTGGCTGTTCAAGATCTGATTCAAACATGTTTCGTCTTCGCTACAGAATTTGGTCAGCGGTCGCTGTTGTACATGGACAGCAATCGACGGCAGATGAACAACATCAAGCTAACGAAATTGGCTCTTGATTGGGTAAGCTTCATTTGCGACGACTGCGTCTCGTCTGACCGCAAGACATTCCGTTGGGCAGTGCTCGCCTTGGAATTTGCCATGGGTATGACTAGGGGGAGACATATTCTTGCTTTAGGGGATGATGAATATGCTAAATTGCGAGCAAAGGTAGCGGGGTGTATGTCGCTGCTCATTTCTCATTTCGACATCATGGGTGCAAGGTCGAGTGTTGCCGCGCAAGCCGAACGCCAGCGAGTCGAGGCACTCATGGGACAATTCAAACGTCTGGATAAGGGCAAGATTGTGGATGACCACGAGGCGTCATTATTTGTTCTTGAACATAGGCTAGAAGAGCTTTCCAGGATCGACGATGCCAGGAAGCAGATTTTGGCTGAGAGGTCTGCTTTAGGCCGAGTGCTAGAAGCCTCGAACGAGGTTGACCGATCTCTTGCTTACCTCTCATCTACCGCCACAAACTTCACAATGAGATGGCAGCAGGGTCACTTTGTCGGTGGTGGCACATTTGGTAATGTGTATGCAGCGATGAACCTCGACACTGGTCACCTCATGGCTGTCAAGGAGATTCGTTTGCAGGATCCAAAGCTCATCCCCACGATTGCAACACAGATCAAAGACGAGATGCGAGTTTTGGAGTCCGTGGACCATCCAAATGTCGTTTCTTATTACGGCATTGAAGTCCACCGGGACAGAGTCTACATATTCATGGAGTTTTGCTCTGGAGGCTCTTTGGCAAATCTTTTGGAGCACGGGCGAATTGAGGACGAACAAGTCATTATGGTTTATGCACTACAACTCCTAGAAGGTCTTGCTTACCTTCATGAGGTCAAGATCTGCCATCGTGACATTAAACCAGAAAGTGAGTCTTCACCTTAATGACCAGTCAATCAGATCACTAATTGTATCAGATATCCTGCTCGACCACAATGGCATCATTAAATATGTCGACTTTGGTGCCGCCAAAGTCATTGCTCGTCAAGGCCGGACTTTAGTTCAAGACTTGACGTCTACGAAACCAAACAAGTCCATGACCGGCACACCGATGTACATGTCACCTGAAGTGATCAAGGGAGAGAACCCTGGTCACTTCGGTGCCGTGGACGTCTGGTCTCTCGGATGTGTCATCCTTGAGATGGCCACTGGCCGGCGACCGTGGGCTAATCTCGACAACGAGTGGGCCATCATGTACAACATTGCTCAAGGCAATCCCCCACAACTACCGACTACAGATCAGCTTAGTCCGGAAGGTATTGACTTCCTCAAGCGCTGCTTCGTCCGCGACTCTACAAAGCGAGCAACTGCTGTTGAGTTGCTTCAACATGAATGGATCATGACAATCCGTAACCGTGTTGTGGAGCCTTCGACACCTAGTGACACGAGCTCATCAGCACAGAATACACCCAATACGGCTTCTGCCTCAAGTAGGGGAAGCTTTGGGGTGGACGGCTTCTACTAGGAAGAGAAGATTTGACACGCGACACCCACTCAGACCGAATGTGCCTTCTTCACCCCTTAACTTTATTGTAAGACGGCGCAACCTCCTGCGATACACGATTATGCATTGGAGGCATTATCCTCAATTTTCCTAACTCACCTGTAACGAAATCATGTATGGTGGACTCATATACATCGACTATACCAAGTCAAGATTGCAATGAAGCGACGAGTTTGGAGTCCGGCCGGGTTTACTTGTATCGTCATTATTAGTATCCGGTCAGCACATGAGACCGAGTTTTTTTGGCAGTCCTAAGACACTGTCGAATCAGAAGAGTTGGCTTTCAACTCGACGGGTTCAATAGAAATCAATCAGAGCCCAATAGTGACTCTTGCACATAAAATTTAATAACATTGACTACAATCATCATTTCACATTAAATATTACCCAGCCCAATTTTCTTGAACAACAGCGGCCACATCAGTCCATAAATCTTTGTGCCGTGATCTCTATGGCGATGAGAGCACTCGTATAGCCAGGACCTCCTCCGAGTGCACGTGTTGTCAGACGGAGACGGCTTTCAATGCCAATCCTCCTTGACTCACGTGAATATCCCAAATTTGCCTGTCTTCTCGAACCTTTCGCACCATGCTTTCAAATCATCTGCAAGCCCTTCAATCACCTCTGCGTCGACGATGTCTTCCTGCCAGTCGAGACAGATTGTCACCGGACCACCATTTACACCCGAGACGTTTACTGAGAAGGCAGGGCCAACAACCGCCGCTGGTTGGATGAAAACGGATCGTTCGATGCGCCAATTTCCGACTTCGTCCTTGTCATCGACAGCCGAAGATGAGTTATAGCGAGTCGACCCTATGTTGGACAATCCCCAGGTATCGTCCCGCGACTGCCCCATCTTCCTCAGCCACCGCTGCCGCCAGTCGCTCACCCAGGCCATCAGGCCAGCTATGTCGTCGTTCGGTAGGCTCCCCAGCTTCTTTGTGATCTCAGCGCGTACTGTTGCGGCAAGTTGCCAGATTGTGTTCTCCGTTTCGTCATCCGAAGCCGGCGTGCTTGACGGAGCCGGACGAAGTTGCGCAAGAACCCGAGGCCCAAAGTCATGCGGAGTTGAAGTATTCATGGCAGTCATGACCTGTGACAAGTCGATTTCCTCACCCGGAGGGAATCTCGCGAATGGCGCGAGACTTATGGCAGTGAAAGACCTGAAAGCTTCCGCGGCCTCCGCAGGAACACGGCGGGACAGGGAGGCGAGGACAAGGACATGAAGCAACGACGTCAAAGTTGCTTTGTGCGCTCGGCATCCCGCGAGGAGAGAAGCTAGCGTTGATGGCGATATATTGACCAGTCGCAAATGCAAAGCATGCGGCTCCAGCGCAATGGGCTTTCCGGTCCAGGGCTTCACTGGAGGAGTTCCCTTCAGCCACGCCGGGCCGAACTCATTCCAAAGGCGGCGGAACAGAAAGGACCAGCTGATCTTGAATCTTACCAGCTCTTCTTGCGACGGTGCCAAAACCGGGACCTCTTTCAGGGTGAGGACATGATCCCTCAGCTCCGATGGTGGGGCCGAAGCTCTGTTCAGCTCCTCGAGGAGAATCGTATGGACAAGCGCAGTGCTTTTGCCGTCTGCAATCGAATGATGGGTTGCGAAAATCACTTCAAAGACGACCGAATCATCATCCTGGGTTGACTTTTGAATTGGTTGGACTACAATGACTTTCCAAGGTGGTCGTATGGTCATTTCCGTCCAGACTTGATCGAGGCGGTCCTCAATGATCCCCAGGAGGCCCAGGTCAAATGTGGGATCTTCGAAGGGAATCTGAGGCAGCCTCTTCCACTCTAACATCTCCTGGATGTTGATCTTAGGGATGTGGATAAAGTGTGGCTCATCGGTGTCATCGTGGATGATACCAACTCGTAGCGAAGAGAGCCGAAGGATCGTCCTGGCCAGAGCATCTTCAAAAAGTTGCCGAGTCGGGGAAGCCCTGAAAACTACTTTGGGGACAACATAGCGGCAGCAATTGGCGATGCCGCGATAGAGGCCTAATGCGTGGCGAGATGTTGAGTACACCTCGCTGGAATGAATGGTTAGCGGGAGCAACAGCTTTTGTTTGGTTGAATTCATCTTACAGATGCCCAAGCGGACGGACAAGCTCGATGCCTTTTACGCTGTCAATTGCCATTGAGCGGTGGTCTGAACTAAGCTCAGGGCTTTGTCAAGCAATTGGGAAAGCCGGGGTGGCTTTTCAGATATTTCAAGGGCATGACCTGGACTGATTCCAAAGGTCAGCTGGTTGTTTACCACCTCGTCTCGGCTTCTGTATTGCCCGGCTAGCCTACAGTAGTTGAGCGCCCATGTTTTCGTTGGGTTTCTTTTACATCAATTCCCAAAGTGCCTTACAGCTCTCGGTTATTTTATTGACATCAGTATTTTATGTTTCAACCTATAAATCGTATTACAATTCCTATATCTATACTACGAGATCTCCTCGTCTTTGACTTCTCTGAAGGCATGCTAGGCTAGCTACTGACTATTCTGGGTAGGTCAGGGGCTACCCCCGTTCGTAGTGGGGGTCCCACGTGACTAGAAGCTGAGGCTCTACTCCCTGCGATAAGACTAGCGTCTGGATAAGGCCCCGAGAGAGCGGTCCGTGCTCCACCCTTCTGTTGTTGACGAGATCCCAAGCTTGATCCAAACAAGACCTCTTCAGCTTTCCGGCGGACTGGTTCTTGTCGTCAACCAGGTGCGCGATCATTCAACTTCCTTTCTTAACCAAATGAGATGTCACTTGGCACGACGCGACGCGACCAAAGAGCTTTTGTCATCAAGAATGCAGCTACCCGCTTCTTAATCGCCCTTCGATCCATCCACTCCGCCCGCGCAAGATGACGGAGCGTGAGAGTCGGGAGTCAAAAGATATTCTTAGGACGCGATCTAATGGCCATAGCGCATCACCGCAATTTGTGAGCCGGAGAACTCAGCCAAAGAACTATCACCCGCGGAGGGAATCAAAAGAGAATGTCATAGTGGAAATGGCGGGGAACGACGCGCAGGGCCGCCCTACGAGTTCGGACTCTTCGTCTGACCAGAAGATCACATCGCCACAGACTACTCGGATACCAAGACCATTGCAGCACTCGAATTCGAGAATGCGCCGGCAGATGTCTTTTGCGGATGAATACAAACTAGCGGAAGAGAAGCTGGCTGAGGAGCAGTTAGCAGCACGTGGATCGCCAAGTCCTGCACCGAGATCATGGCGCACCAAAGAAGATGCCGAGAAAAAGAGCATGCAGGCACTCTTCTCCCAGAGACCCCTTGATTTTGGGCACCAAAGAAGAGCGGCGCGGCGCTCAGGGGATCTCGGTCGCGAGGACACACTCAATTCCATTGGGAGTTCTGGTTTAGGGAGAGAGGAGTCTGTCAGCGATATCGACCGCAAGTTGAAGCAATATCAGGAGGATAGAAACGCTGTGGAGGGCATGAGTGGTGGCAAAAATGGGTTGTTCTCAAAAACGAAGCTTGGGCCCAAGGTAGCCGAGACTGGTCACGAACTCGCGCGAAAGACAAGCAATAACAGTCTCAACAACGAATCAACACCACGAAGGACGTGGGGCAGCCTGGCCAAGCCTGACCCTGACTGGTTGAAGCGAGTTATAACTTCATCCGAGAAGGGCGTCGGTTCTAAAACGAGTTCGGGAGCGCAGATCGACCGTGACAGAAGAGCCACCGATGATCTTATCCCTTCTATCGAGCATGACCGCATGCCATTTGGAGCGGGCTCGCCGAAGGTACGACCAGGAACCGTTCCGCCAACGCGTTCCCCAAACAAGAGCTTCGCCTGGCAGGCGGAAGAGGATTTCACCGCTGGCGACCTTCAAATTTCCAACAGCCCACCTGTGAAACCTAGGAGGAGTAGCACAAAGTTGGACGATCTGAAGCGCCTGGAAATTGGAACGGACAGGCGGCCTTCTGACGGCATCCGATTTCCCGCCCGCACAAACACAAAACTCGACGAGCTTCGACAACTAGAAATCGAAGCAGCTTCACGATTTCCGAATAGTCCTCCTCAAGAGGTTGGAGCAGATTCGGAGAATGGCAAATCGGCAAATGAGGGGAGTGGCCAGACGTTCAATCAACTACGACGAACGAATACCAAACTCGACGAGATCCGTGCCCGCGAAATCGAGAGTCTCTCTAGGAAAGCTCTTGCTACAGCACGTTTGGACGAGCTTCGAGAACGAAATTCAAAATCTCCATCTCTTTCGCCCGAGATAAGTCGGAAACCCAGCCGAGAGGTGTTGCGAGAACCCAGCCCAAGCGGTGGCCTTGGAACAAGACGTCAGTCTTACAAGGACACAATTCCAGAGAAAGAAGGCAAGCTTGTGCCAAATACACCAGTGACAATTTTCCGCAGCTCTAGTAAAGAAAAGGGCGAAAAGGACGTTAATACTGCTATTGAGCTCCCAGAGGCAGACAAAAGAGGCGGCCAAGGTGTAACTTTATCCAGTAGGGGGAGCTCCCAGTCCCGGGATGACTCTCGAGATCTACTACGCAGGCTGTCGCGGGTGGCAAGCAACAGTCCTGGGCCGGATGATCAAGTAAAACGAAAGGATGAAAAATCTACGGTGGGGTCCGGGGTTTCCGCGAAGCAGGTGCAGAGTGTAAACAACGGTAGCACAAAGACAGACAAGAAGGAAGGCGCTCCTGAGGTCAAGCCAGCAGAACACCTTAGACCCACAGTGGGCTTTGCTGGTCTGCGACGTGACCCTTCTGCGGAATCTCTCTCAGACAAGCGATCGAGCATGGCGCATTCAGATTCTGACCCGATAGAACGCATCGAGGGGGAGATGAAATTATTTGCCCCTCTCGACAACCACTCAGAGCGAGGATCCATCAGAGCTCCATCACCCGAATCAGAGGAGGAAGAAGAAGAGGTCGAGGCAACACCCCGCCCCCAAAAACAAGATCCCCTCAGTCTTCCTACGCCCAAAGTCACCGGCGCGTACGTTGAAACCCCAGCAACCTTAAAAATAGAGAAGGTCGAAAGCATTTTACCACCCTCGGACACGGTTCAGAGTACGCGAAACTCAACATCGCCACTGGGGAAGCCTCCATCGCGTCCTTCTAGTATATCACCTCGCGCCAGCAGGGAACAAGTGAGCGACCAAAGGCAACAAGCTCGCACCCGCTCAGCCCCATCAAGAAGATCTCGATCTCTTCCGAGAAATCGCTCACGTCTGATCAATTCCGCTAAACCTCCATCCGTGAAAGACGACTTGCAAGCAATCCACCGCGAAAATCAGATAGAAGATTCCACTCTTGATGATCTAGCCGAGCTTCTCGTTGCTCACGATATCAAACCTACAGACATCGACGAGGTTTTGAAGCCAGAATTGATCAAGACTGAGGAAGACATTAAGTCAAAAGTAGCTTCTGATCGCGACGAAGAGCTCGAGACTTACGAGCGAATGACACAGTCTCTCAAGACTGGCCTTGTCAGTATTCACACCGCCAAACAGGGCATCGAGCGCTTGGAGCACAAGGTCTCTCATTCCGACCTCAAACTTACTTCCAAATTATCCGCCACCCCGGATCATCACCACGTTACCACTTGTTCACAGTGTCTAGCTACTCCTCCCAGCAGCATGATGTATATACACGTTCCCATCCCTCGACTCTACCACACGAAGCCAAAGTTCAAGTTTACAGTCCTGGGCCTGCTGCTGTTTCTCTGCTCGATCTGGTACGCCGCCGAGTCTGTGATGTGGTCCTTCTATGGCTATAGAGATATATGTTATGGACCTTGTACTACACCTCACAATGCTCCCAAGTTTGGCTATGTCATTCCTGTCAAGCTTGATGAATGGGTTACAGGCGGCACCCTGCGTCCAATTGCGAAGCTCTGGAGGGATGAGCTGAGTGACATGTACGCAGACGCTTGGGATTGGTGTACCGACACGGACATACGCCAAGTCGACCGGATTGACAGGCCATGGATGAATGCCGAGCAACGGATTCAGCTCAACAGAAGGCTTGCTAGGAGGGGATTGTTGCCACCTTTCAGGCCCGACCCACAAATGCTACCGAAAATTGAGGCTCTGGCCAGGGCGAGAGAACAGCGAGAAAGAGCAGAGGAGGCAAGGGAGATGGGCTACGATATTCCAGATGGACTTGGCAACGAGAGCATGGACAAGGATGAGCCACTTTTCGAGGAAGAGAAGTCATCTCGTTGGTGGTAACGTTGCACTGCTTCTTGTCCAAAGTCGCTGCGTCCTCAGCGTGTCACGATTGGAGTTCATGGATTGTGTAAAGGGGCGGCTCTTGGCGGTTTCTCAAAAGTCTGCATCAAGAGGTCAAAAAGGTGTACCAATGCGAGGGCATGATGAACGATTATGACTTTATATCACAAATTTGTGTACATTTTGTGTCATGTACTACTCGGCGAAGGAGGCTTGTTCTGTGTCGCTGTTTCTGGTTGTCGGCGTTTGAGTAGGGTACATTGACCTGGATGTGTGTAGGTCAGAGGCAGCAAATAATACACTATGATGAACCTCACATTGATCTGTGCCGACAGTCTTGGCACATCACAGATGGGATCTCTTCAAGCATATCTGCCTCGCATGGGCATTGGCAAGCGCTTTGAAGGATGCAACAGAATCAGAATTCGTGAACGATTATTGTCCCTAGATCAACGCTACCATGGTCCCAAACACCGCGCTTATAAGCAAATACTGACAAGTCTCCTGAGAATACACGAAGACATGATGTATAGTGAAGGCCAAGAGTCTGTAAAGCGCGCTCATACTTCGCCCTTGTCGGCCTTCTCTTTTTTCGCTTGTTTTAGGGCCATTCCTTCCCGAGCCCGCTCGATCTGCTTCTGCCAGGCTATCTCATAAACCCCCTGCCAGTTCTCGGTAATCCAGTTGCGGATATCTTCAATGAGATACATACCACCAGGAGTCTTCAACGGTCGTTCGGGAAGGATGCCAAAGCTTTCGTCATCCATGAGGATGATTTTTTTGAGTGCTGTAATCAAATTGCCACGCCTCTGAGGGTCGAGATCATGCGGAACAGTGTCCTTGATGATCGATATTGCGTTGTTCTTGGACTTCTCCTCCATCCACACTGTCAACCGGTTCATATATTCCTCCTCAACTCCCGGGAAGCATGCGAAGGCGTCGCCGCGGACGTGTACACGCACTCGCTCCCTAGTCATCTCCGGATCGGAGGGCAGGAATCGTCCCTTTTCACGGCACTGCGGGATAAATTCCTCAATCCATCCTCGAAACACAGGTCGCTGGTTCATTCGTCGTCTGTCGTTGGACTTGAGCTGCATCTTGGCGTCCTCAACCGTTCCTTGCCCTATAACCACTGTGAGCCTCGTAGTCCCTGGGCCATTTTCATGCACTCCATCCCCATGCTCACCGTCCTTGACCTCGGGGTCGATCCAGAAAAATTTGGAGCTCGCAGCGTATTCGTAAAGATCATCAGCGGTAGCAAATGGCTTATCCCAATAGCTGTCAATTTCGAGGCCCAGGAACCGTAAGACCTCCTTTGGCTCATCCGTTAGGAAGACCTTGGCCAGCTTGCGGTTGTTGTCCTCGATCTCAGGAATGCGAATGTAGAGGCCGATTTCGTCTGCAGTCAGGCCAAAGGGTCGAATCGTACTACCCATGATACTCCAAAAGTCGCCGTGTGCATGCTTGAAGAGAATCCACAGCATTTGCCCTGTAGAAGCACAGATGCGGACATCGACTTGAATGAAGCGGGGTTGTAAGCTGTCGACGTCGAGCAGGCTCTCATCGCCAATGGCCTGAGTTGTTTCGGCGGCGCCATCTATAGTAGAGGCAATCTCGGCTGGCCAGGGAATGGTCAGGTTGACAGAAGCTTCTGCACCGTTGAAGATAGCCCTCTCCGCTTGCAAGGCTTGTTGAATGGTAGCTAGAAGCTGTTTGGGCGATGACCCTCGAGTACCATCATTGGTCTCGACTGGCTGCTTTTCGGTTGCAACAAGGATGTCAATATCGCCAAAGTCTCTCTTGCCTGGACCTTCGATTGGAGTTGCAACATGAACAAAGACCTCTCGGAGTATTGTGTGGACTTTGTCCCTCATGTGGTGGTAGACCAAGGCTGGCAAGCGTGGGGTGTGAAGCGCCTCCACACCTGAAGAGAAAGCAAGACCACCCATATTAGTTCCATAAAAAAGGAAAGAGTGAAATAGAAACAACCAAAGAGAAGCAGCACACTGGGATGTAAATGGCGTGGCCCTTGTTCAGGATTTAAAAGCGATTTTTTTTACTGTTGCGGGATGGTCTCGTGGCCAAGAAGAGAGAGTCATTCAGTGCTGACTTCGGACGACCCGAGCCCCTTAGTGACACACCCTTAGCTCCATCGTCGAACCGTCCCGGCTCCATTCTCATGGCCTCACCAAGCAAAGATTTATTAGTGGCAAGAGACATTTATGGCAAAGAGTTTATAGAACTTGAGACTTTGTTCTAGTAATGTATTTATTGTTTAGCCAATGCAAGTTATCTCGGCATGATCGTCGCAGCTCGAGGTCCAGCTGGTTCATACGTGAAATCCCTCTCCGCGAAGCTCAGCATTACTGTGCCTCGAGTAAAATGCAGTCCTACGATGTTGAAACTCATCCATCGTCTCGATAGTATATAGCAAATCTAGCTGCTCAAGCATTTGTGGTGCTTCTGAACTCGGGGCCCATCCCCAATGCTTAGCCAATAATACACAGCTTATCATATGTGACCGGTATCTTGATCTCTCAGTCCAGGTGTATCACTGTATCATCACCCAGAGACAAGTTACCATCTTCTGTGGGTGTCATCGAACTTGAACGCTTGATAGATTCTTGTAGATCTGGGTCAGCGAACCGCATTGTGATTTTCTTCGAGAGCTCCATCGCAAACTCTGGCAGGAGCTTGTCTGCGTGTTTCTCATAGATCTGAGGCGGCATGTTACCGCATGCCTGAATGATCTCGTCCTGAAATGGTAGCTGCTCCACCTCACATTTCAGAGCCGCCTTCTCGAATGACTTCAAAGTCGCCAACATCTCCGCAGCTGTCTTTTTCCCCCACATTCTCTTCCACCAAGCAGTGCTGTAATTGGATAGTTGAAATCTGATAGACTCAGAAGCGATGGAGGTGATTTTGGAATTGTCGAATCTGTTCGCGATCTTCCATAATGTGAGCGTGCCGACCAGGGGCTCCCACTTTCGTAAGTGCTGTTTGCGCAGCTTGAAATCGTTGACGAAGTAGGAGCGATACAAGGTATCTACGTAGACACCAAAATGCCAGCTTTTGAACTCTGTTCCGAGATCAATCTCCTGGACCTCGACGTCATTTTCTGATTCGTTTAGGGCGTCTCTGAAAACGCTAGAATCCTGCGCCAGAAGTTCCTTGTAGACCTTGAACTCCTTCTTCTGAGCTTTGTTCCCAACTGTGACGATAACAATCTCTTGTGGTGCCCTGAAAAGGTAAGCGCTATTACAGTCTGGCTTTGCGAAGATAAATCCCTTACCAAAAGAGAAGCTGAGGCATCTCGCCATCAACGTCTTGTGCTGCCATCGTCATACGGAAGATACGAAGGTTGGCTTCACGCAGGTAGAGTGAAGCGTAAAAATGATGCGCGACAAGATTGGGTTGAACGTCCGTGTGCGAAAAGGTTGAAGGAAAGAAAGAGACACGAGTTGAGAGGAAGTTAAGGGAGTGGTAAGATCACGGGATGGTACCAGGGGTGAGCTTGGGTTTTCTCAGGTTCCTTAGGAAGACCGAGCTTTTCAGAGGGCCACGACGGTCAGGCGAATTTATCAGGTCTGCCAAAAATAAATGGACCATAACTTGCTTGATAAGGTGATAAAATCCATATAAAATTTAAATGGTGTGATGGCAGCATCACCCAAAGGTGTATGCTACTGCGGTGAGAGTTGATAGAGCTGACAGAGATAGAATTTTGTGAGAGGTACCAAGCCCAGTGAGAAAGAGCGCCTCAGGGTGACTTTCTTTTCTAAAAAGGTAGATAGTGCTTTAGGTGAGGAAAATGGTCAGGGCGTAAGTAGTGAAATCCAAGCGTTGTGAGTTACTTGAGAAAAATGAAGATATGCGTTGGGGAAAGGAAGCTAGCTCCATTCTAGAACCCGAGAAAGCCTTAGGTATTTCAAGTTCTACCTATTTTATCTATAATAAGCCATGATAGCTTTGCCTCTGTCCCATATTGATCTCGTCGTGCACGAGTCGTCCATCGCTACACTACTTAACATCGCCTAGGCATTGGGCTTGCTCTCCTGTCCTGCCATCACCTTCATGGTCTATCAAGAATCATCAAGATTTTCTTTTTCTCTTCTTGCTCGCCACCTTATCCACCTTCTTAACGACATTCGACGAAGGCGAGATATCTTCCGGCGAGGACGCTGCATTTGCCCGACGATTCGCGGATTTTGACGAGACCAGATTGCAGAAAGAAATCTCCTTAAGGTATGTGACCTGCTGGGCGAAGACCTTGTCGGGCATATTCGCATATGCTTCGGCGAACTGATCGTAGTAATGGGAAAGACCTTCCGCCATGCACATCAGTGCAAGCTTCTCCAAGACACAGGCTCTATTGCGAGTATACTCTTCTTTGTTTTGCTTGCACGAGGCCTCCCATTCTCCAGGCGTGAATCGTGACAGGTAGAGAGCTATAGAGTCGTCGCGATGGCTAGCAGTTTCTTGTTCTCGAACCGAGCGGAGCATTTCAACAAGCGTAACATGTCCTCCGTGTACTTATAGTTCGCTGCGTGGTGTGGGCGATGCAGGCCCATACCAGTATAACCGCGATAAACAAAGTCGAGGTAAACGCCGAACTCCTTGCTTTTCATTCCCTCGATCTTAATGATTTGTGTTTCACTTTTGTTCAACGGCGTGCTCAGTAACTCCTTGAAAGATTCTGAGTCTTTGATGAGCAAGGCCTTGTGAATATAGAAGATGTCGTTCTCGACCTTGACTTGGATCTCCTGTGGCTTGCTATTCAAGATTAGCACATGTTTTTCATTGCGATATACTGTGGGCTCAAACCGAAACAGGTAGGATGCACCCTGGAGCTCCTCCATGTCATGTTCCTCGATTGCAGTCATGCTGAAGACGTGGATTTGGATGAAATGAATATATGGCGGGCGAATGAGGAAGGGAAGTCTTTCTAAGGTGCCCAGTTGTTCTTGGCGAACACGGGCGTCCTCGGTATAACTGTCCGTGATATCTCTAAGAATTACTTTGCCAAGTTTAAACCTTCGAAGGAAAGTCAAAGCGAAATTCTTTTATGAAAGGAGAATCCCGACAAAAAAGCTTAAAGAGAAGGTGTTGGCTCCAGAGTGGAAGAAACTCGCAAATACGAATGAGTTGACGCTCGAATTGAAAGATATCGAAAAGAGAGTCAGCCACTTTCAGCGGAAAGGAGAGACAGCCAACGTCTCATGTTGTTTCGGTCACTTCCAAAAGGGCCACAAAACGCATAGATCGAACTCCTGGGCTGGATTTTTACGGATGTATTCCTTTACACCCGATATGCTAGTAGCCTTCATAGCCCTTTGAGGTAGACGGAGATCATGATAATATGATGGTGTAATCAGTAAGCGATGCTAGTAAGTTACAATATCAACATTAATAGATTATTGCATTGTACAGTGGCAGAAAGAAGCCGGATATGAAGCTTGATATTCTCGTTTCTCACGAGCACGGCTTCCCAGCACACCGAATACCGGTATACGCTCTGCCAAGAATTTTAACATCGAAGAAACACGCACTTAGAAGTGACGATCAAAAGGAAGTCCACGAAAATGGTGGAATCTCTGTGCTCTGTAATGACATAGAATCATTGTGCCATTCCCTCGGCGTCCGTCAACAAAAAAACTAGCTTGATTGAAAGACTCCAAAGTGCTTACCATGCCTAGAGAAGCTGACACCGCATTTACAGGAAAGACATTGTATAAGTCTCTTGCTCCGTAGACGTAGCCCGCCATAGCCTTGAGAACTTTTGTGGGAAACAAGGGGAATCTTAGTTTGTGCCTGCAATTGTAGCCAACTTGATCCTATCAGAGCCACACTCGCCAAACCGGTCACGCACTTGGTTCTTTGCGCCGATCGCAACGCTCGCGATGATGAATAACTCCATGATCAGAGCCTCGTCCCGGTTCCACGTTTCTCCCACTGGGATGAAGGCGGGGTCGCGCAGCCGACTTGCAAGAATATGGCAATCGATTCATCATCGGCACTCGAAGACAAGAATAGAACACTAGTCAACCAACATCGCCAACTTGTCAACTCGACCTATCGAGGCTGCACTTGTCAGCAAGACGCATGCAATCTGATTCCGAAAGTCTATCACTTTTCATTATGGTGTTGACTGTGGCAAATTGTCTCGACGGGTACTGGATGCCAATATCCCTGGCAAATCGCTAGGTGGAAGCACATGACTAGAATTGATGCGGTAAGCGGTGGGATCGGCGTGCAATCGTTCGCCTCCTTATCATACATGCATGACTTGTGCAGATAGACTCGTTATCGAAAGGGAGGGTTTGGTGTGCTTTTTCCATCATTCATCGTGGAGTTTGCCTTCGGCGCCCAACAACCTGCTTGCTTGTTTCCTGCATCATGGATGTTGACTAGCCCCTTATCGTCCTGTTATCGGCCGCAATCAGACCGACAAGATCACATTCGAGCTCTCGAAGGGGGAAAAGGGGGTAATGTATAAGGAATGGCCACTCGACGAGGCGTGTAGAGCTCCAGCTGATTCGCCCATCTGCAAGTCCAACAGTCAGCAGAGAACACAACACTGGCCTGTTAGCGGCCGCCGCCAGGTTCTGAGTCTTGGCAGTCAATTCCACGGTGATGGACGTCAAGAAGGCGGCATGTCTTGACTCTGCCACGCCAATGCCTGACAGGACGGCGTAGGCGAGCAGAGGTCGAGGCTCAAACTGAGTGTCCACACAACGTTCATTCTCCACAGAGAACCTGGGGTTTAGGGCCCTTTAGTGTCGAATTGGGGGCTATCTCTCGGTCTTTTTATAGACAAAGTTTGGGTTCGGTGATCAGCAAGCCTGATATGCGCCAAAACTCAGGGTTACTACGGTGCCCTTGTCAAGCCGTAAACGCACCAATGGACACTAACACTGCACAGTAAGATCCGCCTGGGCACCCGCTCCCAACCCTCATTGCTGGCGGGGGGTGACTTGACACCTCCAAGGGTCTCTGCTAGCCCAATACTCCGCCTTATAGGGCTATCACGCTCCATTGGAGGCTGTCTCACAAAAACGCCGGTGATAATATTGTGTTTGTCAGTGACTACAATGAGCATTGAAACAGACGATTGGAAATTTAGGCCACTTTCCCCTTTCAAAACAAGATGGAGCTCACTCATCGTTAGAGATGAGCGGGCTTCTCCTCGTTAGCAGGAGAGCTTGGCATCAAGGATAGACAGGCAATGCGTACAACACTAACATGCACGTCCCGTATTCGATGCGGCGGAATCCCGGAGCGAGCTGAACTTCCGCCGAGCACCGGGGCAGCGGCCGTCTCACACAACTGAAATATGTCCCATATCCGTACTGACTAACCATGGCAAGACGTTACGGGAATTGCAAGAAACCACAAGGCTTGCCAGTATGTCCGCGTCCGCGTCGTCTACGTCTCCGATCCCCGAAGTTGAGCGCGAGCCACTTGCGAAGAGAAAGCTACGCAAGGGGACTCGTAGCTGCTGGGAGTGTAAACCAGTCCCGACCGGTTGATATAAAAAGAGTATGTATAGCTAATTGCAACTTACAGGCAAGAGACGCAAGATACGATGTTTCTATGCGTCAAACAACGATCCTATATGCGTCTCGTGTGTGAGAAGGGGGACCTCCTGCATAAGCCAGGAGTTCTCCTACGAGCCTCCCATAGGCGACGAGGATGCCAACATGAGAGGCAGACTCCTGAGAGTCGAGGCCCTATTAGGTAGACTCATTGAGAAGGTTATGCCAGATGGCGCAGAACCGCATGAGAACAGCAACGGCCTTGCCGAGGCTCTCACGGACACTCCGATGGAAGAGTACTCGAGTCACCCCTCCGCTACGGCGGAAGGCATTCTACCTGGGAACTACACAACCATGGTTCGTATTCGTACATTATTCTCTGCAACTGTGCTCCAAGAGACTATAGAACCATAATTAACGGAGTGCGAGTAGCCCAATCGATCTGGCGGTTCATGGGAATGTGCTAGAAACAAGACCCCTTTCGCAACGCCTCAATATCAGGAGGTCCCAAAGGCACAATTCTCCTATTCCGCACCGGGTTTTGAGCCCAGTGTGTTGGCTGGCGGTGATAGACGATATGACAAGATCCGAAAGGCCATCCACGCTGCGTTTCCGTCCCAGCAAACCGCAGATTGGCTTGTCGAAGCTGGTTACACCTACCTCTGGTTCCACCTTGTCACCAATAGCTATAGCGGTGTGTATAGCACGAATGTTCTGCCTGCTGCAGTTCAATCTGCACTACCAAGCGTCACGAGCCACCCGGCTCTACTTGCTCGCGCCCTCCTACAACTGGCATTATGCCTCCAACGGATTGATCCGGACGAGGACATTAGTGGGCTTGACCTGGTTGAGCCCATTAAGCAGCTGAGAGCAAGATATTTGGACTTAGCTACCAGTCTAGTTACTACCAACGAGAAACTACTTGACTCGGTTGAGGGACTTCAGTGCCTCTTACTAGAAGGAATATATCTCATCAACGACGGTAATTTACGTCGAGCGTGGCTTTGCATTAGGCGCGCGACAAGCCTCGCCCAGTTCATGGGTTTCCACCGCGCACATCCTCGAGCCGTGAGGGTACTGGATCCTCGTACAACCCGTGTGTCCGTTCCGGCTATCTGGTTTCGACTCGCCTATACTGATCGCTATCTATCACTGCTTCTTAGCTTACCAAGCTCAATCTCAAGCAATGCCTTCGCTTCTGAAGAGGCCATGATGGGTAGCACGTCAACAGAGAAGATGGACAGAGTACATGCAGTCATTGCCTTGAGAATCATTGAGCGCAATGAGGCGGATAACTATCAAGAGTTCGCCACTACGCAAGCCATCGACTATGATCTTCAAAGGGCTGCAAAGACCGTACCGCCGGCATGGTGGAAAATACCCGAACTTCATGCTGGCCTCGATGGGCCTACAATGACATCGGATGTCCTGAGGGGCCAGACCCAAATCATTCATTACAACCTCCTGACTATTGTTCATTTGCCATTTATGCTTCGCAATGGAATGGAGAGGAGGTACGACTATAGTAAGATCACATCAATCTATGCAAGTCGGGAGGTCCTTACAAGGTTTATCCCCTTCCGTGCATTCGTCAAAGTGGCGTATTGCTGTCGACTCGTCGATTTCTGTGCGTTTACTGCATCCTTCGCTCTTCTTCTAGCACATCTAGACAGCCATCGGAATAGCTATGGAGATATTCTGTCGCACCAAAGACTGAACGATCGAGCATTAATTGAGAAGGCTATGGAGACTATGGATGCACTGAACCGCGTAAGCGGCGACACACTCTCTATGCAGACAGGGGAAGTAATTCGAAAGCTTCTTGCCGTCGAAGCAGATGCCGCAGATGGCAACAACTCGTACTCGACCAGCAACGTCAGCGAAGAAGATACTACTGATGGACAAGACCCATCCTTCCGCCTCAAGATCCCATACCTCGGTACCGTGAAGATCGCCCGCGACACATTGATCAAACTACAAGCGCAGACACTGACCAGCACCTCCTTGTCAAACACTTCGATGGCCTCGCAGGCACTGACGCCTGAATCACCTGTGGCAAACGGCCAAGCTCTCACGCAGACAGTGGTTGATCCCTCACAGATTCACAACTGGCAAAGTGCTCTGCACCCTTTCGGTCCTGCGGAGCACCACCAACCGCATCATCAGCCAGCGCACGACTCGTCGAACCTACCGCTCATAAGTTTCCAAGATGATGGAAACGGTCAGCTTGTTACCGTGCCGAATCTGACGGCTGATGCAGAGGATTGGGCTTTCCAAGGTGTCGATGTGACTTTCTTTGATAGCGTGTTGAAAGGGGACATGGCAGAGCAAATGGTCTGGGATCCAGAAGGAGGTAGCTGGAGCTTCCTTCAGTGAGTGTAAGTGATGGAAGGGCCAGCACGCATACGGCCATTTGTTAAGGGTTAATGATGTTATGACTATGGGCGGTGATAGAACGCCTTCACCAAGGTATGGCATGGCGTTCAGGTAGAAGGGGGCTTGCGAGCTCGAGCTCTGCTAAGAAGCTGGGAAACCAATAGTTCCAATTGTACTGCCTTATAAGAACCCCATCATTGTCGAATTCATCGTGTAGGAAATATATTTCTCAACTAATATGAATTAAAGAAATCTATTTGTTACTAAGAAATTCGATATCTACTTAGCAAATCACAGAAGAAAGTAGAATAGTCAAGCGCAGTGGAGCGTGGTAAGCAGTGTTGACCTTTAGTAGTAAAGTGAGGAATTCTAGTACCGTAAAATCAGAAGGTTCCTCCTAATGAGAATAGCTCACTGCCCTCTGACTTGGTAATGTCAACACCTTATGTACACTTTCGTAGGAATCGCTTCCACGTCGAATTTTTTAAAGCCGACTTGATCAAGTTCAGGGGCTAAAAGGGGGCAATGCCATACCTGCATACTGGTGTACTTGCTTAGTGTGAGTGACCTATGCACTCGTGGAGAAAAAGCAAAAAAGTGGGGCTGTGTCGCTAGCACATCAAATCACTTCAATCTGCCCGTCGCCCACTCAACGACACTTCCAGCCTCACTCATAGCACGAGATCATACATTCGCATCATCCTCACGAAGCTTGAGCCCGTGATTTCCGATTAGCAGACAAGGAGCCAGCATGGAGAACGGCGCATCAGCAAATGACGGCAAGGACCCGTCCAGCTTCTTGGGCCAGATCATCGGCAATCCGGTCACTGTCAAACTCAACTCCGGCGTTGTCTACAAAGGTAAACCACAACAATCCCGCTCCCCTCGTCGTATGAGACATCTAATGAGTTGGTTTCATATAGGAGAGCTTCAGTCTGTGGATGGCTACATGAACATTGCGCTGGAGAAGACTGAGGAGTATGTCAATGGTACGAAGCGAAGAACGTACGGTGATGCATTCGTGAGAGGGAACAACGGTAGGTGTCGTGAGTGAAATCGCGAGAGAATGAGTTCTGATGATAGCTACAGTCATGTACATCTCCGCTGATTGAGAGAGGACGGAGCTTTGGGGTCCTCCATGAATCATCGGATGATGGGGACAGTCAGGTTACAGAGCTATCAGATACAGCCTGCGTCCAAGCCTACCTCTGAAATCGAGGTGACGTGGTGCAATTTACACGTCAAATACATGCGCGAGATCTGAAAGGTTGATCTCGGTCAAGTGGATTAAGCCATAGCCGCTCAGTCTAAGCTTCCGTTCTGCAAAACGGATGAAATAGCCAGGGTTGCCCTGGCCAATACAATAACGCTTACAAATGCTTGCGCCCTGAACATGGAACCATCTTCTCCATGCTTTCTACATTCTATCCGTCCAGGCAAAGTATGTGACTCCATGAACCGCTACCTCGCCTTTCTCGTTTCTCTCCACGTCATCCATCGTCAAAGCCTCCTTGAACCATGCCTGTGCAGCCACCTTCTTCTCGCCCTCTAGCACTGCGATCTGGCTCAGCGTGTTGAAGCGATTCCATAATGCGTCCTCGGTAAGCCATACGGTCCATGACACGCTGTCCTGACCTAGAGGCACCGAGAATTTGGGCAGCCTGTCTATCAATGTGTCGCGAATTACCTGCAGTGGGTTTGACTTCAACTGTTTCTGAAACACTTCTTGCCAGGCTTGATCACGGAAACGAGGGCGCCCATCCGTCGAAGTTGAGAATATTAGATTATTGAGCTTCTGCTCCCATGCCGTTGTAGCCTTCCACGATGATGGCTTATTGTCTGGATGGTGTTAGTTTCCATGCATCGAGCGCAAGAACAGACGACACAATCTTACAGTCTTCAACATTCCAGATCATGCCAAACACCGCCTTCTCCTTCAGTACCCTGTGAATCTCGTTCACCGCCTCATCTGTCGCAAACCTAGATTCTCATGAGCAATTCTGCTCCATATGATCCACAAAGCCAGCAGCATGCTGTTGAAAGCGGCCCCTTTGAGCTTACCAATGAAAGGACTGTGCTGCAATGCACGCATCTCCCCATTCATCCCCAACTGGCATCTTAGCAGCATGGCCGTCGACAACCTTGACATCTCGGAGTGCCTTTCGTTCTAGTTCGGCGCGCATGCCGGCATGTGGTTCTATTGCAATGACATTGTAATTCTCGGGTCGGGCGGCCAGTTGCTCTGTAAACTTGCCCGTTCCGCTGGCAATCTCCACCACGTTTGCATGCGCTTGGCCGGCAATGTGCAGCTGTTTCAGAAGCGCTTCAACTGCCTCCGGCGGATACGATGGCCTATATGCATCGTAGGCCGAGGCGTTGGCGAAGCCCTTCGCCGCCTCCTTGGCGAGAGGCTCGTATGGCGCTGCCGCAGACATCGTGTTGCTGGCTACTGGTAGAAGAGATGTTCAGACCAAAATCCCATGAAAAGTATCACTGGGAGAACTGCAAGGGACTTTGCTACAATCTGTCGACGAGACTCAGGCATGAGTGTAAGTAAATAAAGTTATATCAAAGCACAATTCGTATAATCCTCCGGGCCAGGACCCCGAATGCGCCGACCCACTTCGGCACATTGCGTCAGAGGCAGCGCCGATTTGCGGTGCCTCTTCCCCGCATGCGGGATACCGTAGGGATTCACACCATACCAGGGCTCTCAAGCTTTGGTAGGACAATGTCTTCCAACTACAATTGCGACAAGGTTCAAATACTTCATTACACAATGAATTGTAATTGTCAGGAGTCACGAGAATCACATCAAGAGAAGTAGAGGCAGAGTTAGTAAGATTTTGTTTTGATTATTGTATTGTAGCTATGTTAAGCTATAGTTGTTCAATAGAAGAGTGCTAATGAAAGACTCTTAACTACCTAATCAACCTTGACCATTATTATGCGATTCCATCCAACGATGTGAGACGCCGCCGCTATGCAAAAGCCCAAGCAAAGGAGTGCCAACGAATCAAAAGCTTCATGAACCATGATTATGAATCCCGTTCCATAACACCGTTACGCGCGAGTGATGTGTTGTTTGTGTGTGAAGAGAAGTGAGCGGATTAAGAGTGTGTTGTGTTGACGCCAGGAATGATTGAAAGATTCATTTAGTTGATGTTGATGCGGCGGGACTCGTGCTTCTTCGCCTTGGGAACAGTGACGTTCAGGATGCCGTTGGTCAGGCTGGCGCTGACGGCGTCCTGGTCGACGCGAGTGGGGAATGAGAAGGTGCGTGAGAACTCGCCAATGCTGCGCTCGCTGACCCAGTACTTCTCAGCTGGCTGAGCCGGAGCAGCGGGAGCCTGCTTCTCACCCGCCTTCTGGATCTCGGTAGAAGAGCCGTTCTCCTTGGCAGTCTCGTCGGCCTCGTCGGAGACGCTGGCGTGGTGGCTCTCCTTCTCCTTCTCTCCGGCCTCGGTGATGGCGCCGCTCATCTGTGTGTCGCCAACAAGGCCAGCTGGTGGAGTGCCGGCGGTGTAGGTGCGCTCGACGCGGCCGCGGATCACAATGGTCTGGGGCTCGGTGAACTCGATCTGGACGTTGTCGCGCTCAATTCCAGGGAGCTCGCCGTGCAGTTCGTAGCTGTTCTCCGTCTCGCGGACATCGAAGCGTGGGTTGAAAGTGCGAACTGCGTGCTGACCGCGACGGCCATTGTTGCCCTCTTTGCCTTGGACCTCGCGGGAGTAGTTGTCGAAGTCGTCGAGGAGGCGGAAGAGAGGAGTGAAGGAGGTCTCAGGAGAGAGATAGGATCGAGGGAAGAAAGCCATGGTGTTTGTTGTCGAGAGTGGTCGTAGAAGGTTGACTTGTTGATTGCGAAGTGCTCTAGGGAGTCTTCTTGAGAATGTGTATTTCGCAGGTTGCATTGAACTCTTTACTTTTTTGATGTCTGATGAGAAGAAGAGATGGTCGAGAGTCAAGGCAGGTTAGCCAAAGATTTATAGTTTGAATCCCTCATGATGGGAGTTTCTCCCAGTTTCGGGAACGGGAAAGAAGCTGACAATCATGGAAACAGACACGTAATTACAGGCGCTTCGAGAAGCCTAGCGAATGTGCGTGCAAAGCATAGAAACTGCAATGTAACAGACATGTCGCATCGCAGTTGCCTGTGGTGGAAAGGAATGTCTGACCACGAAGCTATCGCGAACTGCCGCGATGGCACTGGAACCTTCGATGGGGTTCTGTGAGGCGCGACCTCGGGCGCTTGTACCATCAGGTCAGAGAAATGTCAGGCAACTTGCCCAAAACCAGTTCTCTTCACTTCCTTTGCTTTGCAGCCTCATTTGCTGAGGTGACGCCACCCGACTGGCGCATATGACAGTATTTGCAATGGCTTCATTGACATCAGCGTCGTTCCTCTCCTAGTCAAGGACCGTAGCTGCGATGTATTGTGGAGGCCGTGATCTCTTAAATCCAGAACGCCAGGGGGCAGGTTGGAGACACGGCGTGGGGTGTTCAATGAAGTTAGGGCGTTGCCATTGGCTCCGAGCTAGATGTACCTCACCAGCCAATCTGTTAGACAGGGAATCCCAGGAAGCTAGTCTCCATATTGGTAATCCTATAAACTGGCAGGAGAGGGACCAGATCTTCAGGTCCACCTTTCATTGATCTTAGCAGGTCATGCGATGCAGTACTTTATCCTGAATCTTCAACCACCTCCATCAATTTGTGGCTCCTTTCACCAACCAGAGGTTGCCGGAACCAGCCTCCGTGCCTTGCAAAGTCATCAGCCACATCAGATTCGCCACCTGTTCGATCTCCACATAGAATTTGACGGGGAAGACCGTTTATTTCGACGAGAGTCTGACCGAACCGGCTGGTTCATATTGGGGTATCCTGGACGGCTCTTCACGAGCACGAGGAAATATCTAGTAGGAAGGGTTTTCAGATTTTTGCCACCGCGATGGGCAAGAGAACAGGCATATCCGCGGCGGCACTTGACGGCCTCGCTTAACACCGGAGTGCAGATCTTAAGGTGAGGAGCCTACGCTGAGATCGCCGGGGAGGCAGTGGATGGGATTCTGCTGGAGAGTGATGCAGACAGGAGGGAGCCAAGTGACACACCTGGGAACTGAGGCATGCGAGCATGATCATGTTCACGATAGGAGGGGTGCTTCCCTGGAACAAAGAGGCTACTCAATGTGTTTGCTTGTCTCTATTAGGTGCCAATTACATTAGCATTGAGATCCGGCTCCGGCTTCCAGTAGTCATTCCTCTCCTCTCAACTCAAGCCCCTCTCTAGACTAGTTATGTCCAGCATAGCTGTGTGTTTGTTGTTCGTAGCTACCATAGTCCGAATATGCCGCCCGTCCGCGGTGGTGAGTCTTTTGCTCCGCCAGCCGACAAAATGATGGTGGTCCAGATTAGACAGACAGGAAGATAGAGAAGCATTGAAGACAACTGTAGGGCTAGACTCGCTGGCCCCTCTGTAGATACAATGGAATAACTCACATATTCCCCTTTGAAAGCAATCCGACCGAAATAACCCTTTTCAAATCCCCTCAAAATCCCCTTTTCACTGCTGGTACGGTGGTCGGCCGGCCATAGGCGGGTAACCGACCATTATGGGCGGCATTCCCTGCCTCATGCCAGCCATTGCTCCCGGCGCTGGGCTCTGGACGCGGTTGAAAAGCCCAATGAGTCTTCGACCGACCGATGGTTCTAGCTCCGTGCCGTCTCGTGCAATTTTGACCTCTCGGTTCGAATTCCAAGGATTCCGAAGGCCTCGTGTTCTGTAGAACGGGAGTCTGGTTGTCGACAGCCATTCCAACTTGAAGGGCTTTCCCCACGCCTTGGATTCCCCGCCCTCATGTCCGCTCCCTGCGGTGCTCGAGTCATCCCCTTCCTTCGTAGACCCCACTTCCTCTGAATCGGCTGCGCCATCGACTTGGTCCTCGCGCTCAGCTTCCCAGAAAATCGTACCTCGTGCGGAGTCATCGATAATCCGTCCCTTGGGCGCGAACTCCGTGGCTTCGGTGGGGATGGCCTTTGGCAGGTCCAAATCGCTGGCGGTCTGAGCTTTGGGCGCAAACTCGATTGCTGCAGCTGGGTCCTCATTAATTGGTGAAACCATTCTCGCGTAACCGAAATATTCTCCTGATTTGTTCGCAGAAAACACCAAGTAGACATTGTCGACACTCTGCTCAAAAGTGACGAGTTAGTACGGTCGCTCTAACCATTCTCGTCCAACAGGAGGCTTCATTACCTTGAAAGCAGTGTTCAGTGTCTCTTCATTGTGTGCCTGAGTAGCCCATATGCCAGTACGAACGCTCAGCTCAAGATCCTCTACCGTAAGACTCTTCAGAATAAAGAACTTGTCCTTTTGCGGAGTAGAGGACTCTGGGGAGATATCCCTCTGCTCCACCGGGAACGGTGCGGCAACAGGAGTTACCTTTGCACTCTCTTCGGGACTTTGGATACCTTCACCATTGACTTGTGGCTCAGGTGCTGTTGTTTGCTGAGGCGTCGAAGCCGCCGGACCTGTAGGGGCCGTAACACCAGCGGCGCCCTCCACGGTGCTCTTCCTAAGTCGACTTACGAGTCTAACCGACTGAAACTTTGAGTCATGGAGTTTCTGCTGTGCTCCCACACAACTGCCCTCGTCCCTAAAGTTTGCAAAGGCGCAGTTGCTCTTCGAAATGAGGAAAAGAGACTCCAAGCCTGGTGTCTCCTTGCAGACGTGGTGTACAAGGCTCATCAAGTCGGTCTGAGGCGGCAGGTTTCCAATCCAGATGGCATGTCCTGGACGTGGTTTAACTTCTATTCCAGTCGTTTCTAATCATGCAAAAGGGGTGCAGGTACTCACCGCTCTGTTTCGGTTTTCTAGGGGGGCCTCGAACCACGCTTAATCGGCTATCTGTTGAAGCTGTTACCGAATTAGTTTAATCATCTGACACGAGTTTTTGACGTCTCACGTTGTCTTTGTTCGTGCGCTTGGCTGAAGGCCAGGCTGCTGGTATCGCTACCTGCCGACTGACCGAGTCTTGGATCAGACTGCGCTGCATTTGATGCAAGATATTGCCCAGGAATCATTTGTCCCTGAAGTGCCTGTCCTTGGCCAGGATAATGAGCGGCCTGTGTGTAGTAGTAAGCGGTCTGGGGATGAGCTTGCTGCTGGTTGAGGACGAGCTGATTTGGATAGTATCCGACATTTCCACGAGGAGACATGTTCGCTTGCTGCTGAGATGGCGAGATAGGCGTCCCGTAGAACTGTCCGAGGTGAGCGTGTTGAGGCATATAGTACTGTTGGCCTGGTATAGGGTTTATCGTAGCCTGTGCGCCGTACTGAGCAGGCATCTGCCCGACTACATTCTGGGGAGGCGCTGAGGCGTTGAATCTCTGTTGTGTAGGATACTGCCCGGGTCTGAAGTTCGTCTGCGGAAGGGCGCCGGCCATTGCGCTCATGTTGTAAGGCCCTGATCGGCCTGGACCCTGTGGTTGTTGTGACATGTCGAACTGTGACGAGAAGGCATGCTGGGGCCCGTAAGGGTGTTGGAACTGATTTGGGAACGTGGATGACAAGTCGACTGCTCCCCGTCCCTGGGCAAAAGCCTGTTGGCCCTCCAGAGGGTTGATCCCAGGATAGGAACCCGCTATCGCGTCTTGAGTCGGGTAGTCGCTTGCTGAAGTAGGTTGAGGTGGAACATCTCCCATTTGTGTTTCTATAGTGCCAAACAATGTTGGCTGACAAAATCCTAGCCCTAAGTCGACTGTCAGTGTGCCCATCCAAGGCATTGAACAGAGCTCAGACCTTTGAAACAAACACACTCAAAGTCTTACTTTTTTTGCTAGGGTGGAGCAGAATTCAACACACACGAACAAAGCCCTAAGTCAGAGTTGGGGTCGAGATGTGGTGGGAGGGCTTTCTGGTAGACGCGGCGCAAAAGAGATGGGCTGTAAGTCTGTGGGGAAATGACTTGGGCAGGATATGCTCGCCAAATATCAAGCTTCGCTTGTCTTTTCGACTCTGGGCAGCGGCTACTGAGAGCTAGGGGGGGATGATGTGAGTGTGCTTCAGCTCCCTATAACCTTTAACCTAGTTAACACCCAGGCTGGCCTCTTCTGGGCCGTTGACACCGCTTCCGGGAGGCGATCGGGCCTTGTTAGGCGTCCAATACAAAAGCAGAGAAGACTCCGACGGGCAGGGGTGCACTGGTCCCAAGGAGCAGAGCTGCAGGAAAGCCTGAATAGAGGCAGTGTCTTGAAACGATAGAGTGAAAGCGAGGCTCCAATTGCGGCTGCTCTTATCCCTGGAGCTTCGTGGCTGGTGTGTCCAACGTTTGCCACAGCTGTCTGGTAAAGAACGAGCAAACGATAGAGTGATCGATTCGATATGAGTTTAGCTTGCACTCGAGTGACAGGGCAGGCGTCGCCGGGTTGGGCACTGCCGACGATGACAGAGCCAACTACGACACTGGAGACAAGGTATAGAGCCAAGCGAGGTTCGGATGTGGCTGTGGCTTGTTCGGGAAGACGTCAAGCCAGATGAGAGCAACGACGCAATATAGACGTACGTACGGGCTCTTTTGGATCAAAGAGGAAGGGGAAAGTATAAAGATAGAAACACGTCCCCTGGTCGATCTGGATGTCCGGGCCAGTTTAGGTTGTTTAGGTTGCGGTGGTGTTCCTGTTGGAGTAACGGTAGGGGCAGCTCTGGAAAGCTGGCTGGTCGAAAACGGTACTGAATCTGCCCTCAGCTTCGACAATCACCTCCCCGAATCCCAGTATATTTATGGTGGAATATGGTAGAGAAGACATAGGACGGGCCCGGGTTTACAGGGAAGATGACGAGCCCGTGACAGGGACCGCTGCTGCGGGTGGCTAAAATTCCGTAGGGCTTTGGTCGGTGGCATGTCCGTGTCTAGCTCTCTCTAGACTCGAGCCTGGGCCAGATGTATCGCAGGAACAGGACGAGAGATCGGGGGACGCCTGGTGGAGCGAGAGGACACTGGCGCTGGGAGACCAGACGTGCAGGAGGACCCCGGCTCTCGGCCAGGGTGCAGCAAGGGAGCGGGCGTGGGAGTGCGAGTGGGCAGAGGCGCGCACCCAACGGGCCCAGAGGGGTGCTGCTAGGGAACAACACCAGGAAGAGAAAGACTGCAGTGCAGAGCCAGGCCAAGGCAAGGTAGTCAAGAGACGGACGGTCGCGCCAGGGGAGAGGCCCAGGGTAGCGAGGCCAGGTATCAGGCATCAGGTACAGACTACATGGAGTGCTGTGCGGGCCGGACTCGACTGGACTGCCTGGATGCAACAGTCCGGTACAATGCTGTTCTGTTGTAAGTTGGAGGGCGTCGAGTGGCTTGAAAGGTACCGTGGATGGGATACCCCGGGCAGGAAAACGGCCTGATTCGCATGTTGGAGCAGATGGGGAAAAGCCATGGGAATCTCTTGTTTGGGATGCTTCCGCTATTGCGGCCGGGGCGAATCGCACCCAAGCAGATGGATGGGTGTGGTGGACGGGGGGGACCCAACTCGACTCTAAGAGCCGTTTTCGCCACCCACAACTCCCCTTACACTAGACTCTTCAACCCATCAAGAGACCCGGTCGCTGAGCCACAATCGTTCTAGCCGGCCCATTGAAAGACAGGCCCCTTCACCGGACTATCTAGGCTCTCTAGGTATGGGACTACATACCTAGGTACGACCTACTTACTCATCTTGGTACTCCAGGTGGGCAAAGACTGCAACTACGGTACATACAGCAGGCGGAGGATGGCTACTAGTCTTACCGGGTCCTCAGACCCATCACGCGCACTCTCAGTAGGGGTAGGAGGAGGAGAAGTAGCAGAAACGTATTCCTTGCAATGAAGCGTCTTGCCCAAGGAAAAAGCTTTGCTCGAGTTGGTAGAGTACAGTACTTACCGACAATCATGACCAAGTATGGACGTGCTCAGCCCCATAAGCAGCCGCATAGAGATATCGCATCCCGAGAAGATACCGACTCAGAGCTCGCAGCAAGAGGAAAACGCCACTCTGGGTTCTTAGAAAGTAGCTCCCGCCCTCGTTGGCAAGCTATTATTAAATGGAGAACAAAAGCTCGTGATGGCTCCCAGAGAGGTAGAGATCGTCGTGACTACGGAGAAGCTCGTGTCCGGTCTCTCCAACAGCCAGAGCGATGGCTTCAGGACCTGTCGAGGCTACTCCCTAAGCGTGTAAGTAATATGGCCACCAGACAATGGCCGAACGAACTCTGCATCATGGGCGCAGAGCTACGGCGAAGGCGAGCAAGTCAAGCTGAAATCAAGCATCCAGGGCAAATAAGCAACCTTCCTCGATCCCGTCTATCTATCAATGAATGGTCCTTCAGCCCAAGGAATACATAGGTTTCAACCTACATAGGAGACCCGGAACAGAGCAAGCACACTACGCAAGTTGCTAACTGACTGATTGACAGTGTGGCTTGACAAGTACAAAATACATGCATACGTTTGGCAAGTTGCTGCATAGCACATGCAAGTTCAGATGTTGCCGCTGCCAAATCTGTCAATGATGAGTTTCAAGAGTCGCCATTGCCCAAGTGGGTTTTCAGTGGCCCCGCGAGCTTGTTAGGGTTGCCCAGCACGTCGATCCGACTCGCATCATGGCATCTGATCGGCGGTACAAGGCTAACCGGTTCTCCCATGACGAAAAGTTGCATCAGTGATGAAATGGCGTCCTGTTTCAAATGGGATTGTGCATGTGCCCAATGCCTCTTCTTATTCATCAATTGTCTCTGGCTTCCCTTGGAAGGGTCTTCGTCACAAGCAGGGTTTCGGAAACAAAACTCTGGGGCAGGATATAAAAAGATACGCCCAGATCCCTAGTAAGAAAATATACATGTACATTGACTGGCCTAAACTCCAGGGTCCTGCGTTCAAGACGTCCCCTCAGGATCGTCACAGCGCATCTCTGCCCACAGTTGGACCACAGATCCAATGCAACGCCAGTGTCAATCTTTTGCTCGCCGGCCGCTGAGGTCAGAATCAGGGACCAAGCCTGGAAGTTGGCACTGCGTATCACCACACCGGTGCCGTCGTCGTGCTCCTCCATAACCGCAGGCTGGATCTTTGCCGGACATTGACTGGTCAGAGACATAATGCAGGGCGTAGGTAGTCCCCGTTTTACTCGCAAGTGCTCTACGGGGTGGCGTCCAACAAGCTTGCGGTCCTTGCACACCTATCAGGGTCAAGCAAGCTTTGACCAAGGTTTGGTGCATATGACAGATCAACGAAGTCCTAATGACCTCTCGTGCTCCTGTATATCACATCTGCGCCTCCACTACATCTCCCATGCCTTGCCATCAAGGGAAAAGCCACCATGCAGGTTGAGAGACGGGGCCAGGGACCAAGGATTCCTAGCCGGCCTTTCTGGCAGAGACAGCGGTGGGCCAGGCTAAGTCGGACCCTTCAGGGCCCTTCTGATGCTGTTGGCACTGGCACGCACAGGTTTAAAGCAGGTGTCGTGCAATCGCATCCGGCGTAGTAGCTTCCTGCTATTCTCCAGGTTACGTACTACAGCTTCAGGTGTGATGCCGAGCCGGCGTGGTTCGTGCCGGGAATAACTCCGAGAAGGTCCTTTGGCATGCTGATCATTCTGGCTTGCCCCTCATCGAGCCCCTCTTGAGAAAGATCCTCTGCCTCCTCAGCGGGACGGCCAAGCCTTTGAGGGCAGGAAGAGGAGAGGTACATCGCAAACTTTTTGCAAGTCGCCAGAACCACCCGAGTCTCAAAGCCAACGCCTTTACAGGCAGAGTTGGTGCCACAAGAGTGGGCAGGGTTGAGCAGCCTCCCGCAACTGGGGTCCAAGGGTGGCGTTCTTCCCATTCTTCGCCACCCATTATTTGTTTCTTCCCAGCACTTCGGCTTGTTATTTTCTCGCTAGATTTTGTCTAAGGGACCACTTTGCGGGTCACACACCCCTAAGCTGCGAGGAAGCAGGCCAACTCGACCTATCCGTCCAGAATTTGGAGGCTCTCCTGCCAGCTGCTTGCAAGCTTCATGCACCAATGCTTACTGTCAGCCACTCTAGCAGCTCCGCGAGATTCGTACCCCTTGATGACTTCGCGCGACCTCAGACAGAAAACCAACGGGTATAGCTCATGGCTGGCCTTGAATGATCAATGGCAGCCATTCGCGAAACTAAAAACATGGTGCTTGAAATCCTGTGAGACTGCCGAGAGTGGGAAACCGCCTGGCCCTTCTAGGCATATCAATCCAGTCTCGCCAGCCTCGACCAGTCTCACAGGCTAGCTTGCCGTGCCCATTTACCACACTTCCCCTAGCCAGTCAAGAAATGGGAGGCTAGTGGCTGCTAACCAATAGGCGGGCCAGTTGATCAACGATGCTCAGGGCATCGTCCGTGAGCAAATGGCAAGAGAGGAAGTTCCTTAGCTGTGGCATTCATTTCCCATTTGCTGCTCGTAGACTATCCAGACAATGATTTCATTACGGCAGGCCGACGATAGCATTGCTAAGGCTTAGGCAGTGGTATCAAGAAAAGTCGAAGTGCTGAGTATGAGAGTAATTGCAATGTCTTAGCAAGCAATCCGTAATTGCAGACAAGGAGAAATACTGTAACACAAGTCAGCATTCTCAAAGCAATGAGCAGAGTCACAGAGCGTGCCGACCCTTGCGTGTGATCCTGGACTGCTAATTCCATCGCCCCACTGGACCGCTCACGGAAACTCATGGCTGTCTCTTAGAACAGGGCTTTACACAACCCCATGCTCTCTACAACGTCACTTTCCCGGACATTTTAGTCCGTAGGCACATGGGTACAGGTCTCTATGTACTTGCTCTGGACGCTGTTCTCGCTTCCAACTTCTGCTCTTGCAGCGTTGATGAGATTGAAGACGTCATGATGCTTTTGCGGGGGACCGAAAACGCAGCAATTCGAAGCCGCCGAATAAATGTGCTAGAGACGTAAAAGCCTTTGTGGAGGTTGCCATGGAGCCGCAATACTGATGGAGATTCATGGGAGCCCATGTAACCACATCCTAGGCTGGTAGAGGGGTCTCATAGGGGTTTGACAAAATGCTAGACTATGGAGCAAATGTTTCCTTCACGATTATGAGGTTCTTCAGTGCCAACAGGATCTTCGGCAAATCTTGCTGCATGAATCATGAGAGCACCGCGAAGTCTGGCAGTGATCTTCGGTCCCTATCCGGCAAAGAGGGTTCTTAGAGTCCTGACAAGCGGAGATTCCTGAGGTGCCGCGGCTCGCGTGGCTGCCATAGTACGCAATAATGTTTGCCACGGCTACTGGGGTTCTAGATTTTGGCTGCCGATCACTTCCCTATAAGTTCTGATATTCAGCTTCTCTTTCCCCATCGAAGCTACTCCCGCCTCCCGCGCGCTTGTCATTTTCAGTACTCAAGTACTTGAGCTTGCCTTTTCCTTGGAAGTGGAGCGGGATGTGGTGTCTTTGGGGGAGGAATTTCGCACAGCCCGTGGCTCTACTCGGTGCAGAGTACCCAGACACTGTGCAGATCTACACAGATCTCTCTGGCCCATGCACAAAGACGGCTCCGCAGCTGGGGGATCGCAATTGGCACTCGCTCGTCCAAAAATTTCCCGACACCAGATGATGCTCGACAGGAAGGGGAAGTCGCTCTGCTGATGCTGCTATCTTTGGCAGCTGGTGCCAGCAGCAGCGGGGAGAGATCGTCAGGTTCATTGCCCAAGCGAAGGACGAACCTCTGCCGGTAATGCTAGCTTCCGTTGTTGTCTTTCTCTGCTTTCTCTCTCCTTCTTTTGCCACCGCATTATGCTTGGGGATGTCCACGATGGCCTCGTTGCTGGTGGTCTTGCTCCAGCCTCAAAATTGGCCAAACCCACCTGAACCACCGCCGCACCTAACCCAGGAGCTCGGGACCGACCAAAACGGCAGAATTCGAGAAGGGTGCAAATGAACCATTTCCCTTCTTGGCGAAGCGGAGTGGCCCGAGCTGGAGGGCCAGAACGGCCTTTTCTTCTCCACACATCGTTCGACAATTTAAGCAGCCGCCGCCGCTACGGGCCCGGCAATCACGATTCCGAAGAACTCCTCCGCAGCTCCTCCTCCACGGGCAGACCCATGTGCTGCTGAAGACTTGAATTTCAAGCCTGTATATGTTATTTTACGAGACTCCATGCCCCATTTTTGCCGTTCGATTGCGGCCAAACCAAGAAAACAAATCGACGTTCGGTGGCGATAAAGATTGGAGCACGGGGCCGAACTGCGACCGTGCGTACTAAGCAGTGAAGTTGACGACCCAAAGGGTCTCCGGCGTTTACCGTGAATATCATTGCTCGATGCCAGAGGCACGCCATAGCGGCCCTAGAGACCGAGCCGTTTCTCTTGTCAAATCTCCTCAAATTTCATCTGACAAGCCAATCGCAAGGCGCAAAGCACAAACTGTGTGCTGTACGGCCGACAATGGTTACAATGAGATTCTAGGTACGCAGTAGCTCAGCCGGTCTGGTACAGGTACCCGCACACACTTCTCTCTCTCCGGAGTCTGCTGCTTTCATCTCATCCCCCTCCTCATCCCACACACCCCCGTTCTCCTGTCCCACACCTGAGTGATTGACTTGATTTCCTCTCCCATCTGTAGGCAGGTGGGCTGGCGGCTGCTAGGTACACCACGAATTTTCTGCGGCTGGCTTGCTTGCCATCCGACTACATGAAGATCTACAATAGATCCCTTCCGGGCTGCCTCCCGGGCACACCGAAGGAGCACAGGTTCGCGTATTCAGTCAAGAATTGATAATAATCAGATTGTTTGCCGGCGGGATTCTCGCATATCGAGAATGCCACATGGCATATCGGCTTTGTGAGATCCCGCGCCCAGTCTGCAACTATGATCACGGCTTACAGCTCAAGCCTCTTAATCTTACCCAGGTACTTAATACTAGGTTATCGAGGTTATGATATCTAGGTAACTAGCGACATGCCTCACATGCTTTAGTGCCATTCTAACGGTCGAAACTGGCTTAGCATGCAAGCACTCTACGCTTACTGGTAAAATCCCTTTCATATCTGCCACCCTTGATGAGTGACCCTACGAGGCAAACGCTTCTGTCACCAGCGTCTTATAGAATGATATACAGAACCACATATTTGCATCATCCCTGCCCCCGTTCTTAGATACATGACGTGGCAAAGAGGATCCAAATGCTTAAATGGCTGCCTACGCGGACCTGGTACCCGATACTTGGTGATGGCTCTATCCCCAAGTCTGCCAGTATTGTTTGAACTGGGGACGACCTGGCGGAGCGTCACGAGCTGCTCTCCGTTTCTGGCAATCCATGGGTCCGTTCAAACTGTTGAGCCTCGGCCGTTTTCTCGTGGCTTGCAATAATTACGGCTAACGCTTTTGTGGAAGTACAAGAAATGTCTCAGAACGGGGGACCGTTTCCCACCTGGCGTAACATTACTCGCGCTGGTACCGCTGTGCTGGTACGCTGAGGAGCCTAGGATAACCCTTTCAGCTGCTTGACCTTTTCCCCCTTCCAAGGGCCTACATAGGAGGAAATAGACTTTTGCACGTCCCCCTCGTCACAGCTCTAGCTCCATGGTAGCTGTTCGATGCGTAGACTAAGAATGCTCTAATTGAAGCCTTCGCGCGCTGGTCTTTTGCCTTGCTGATGTTCGCCCCTGGCGTCGACTCGTTAGGACGCTTTCATGTTGGCTTTCAGAAACCGGACCAAGTTGTGGGATGCTACATCTACGCCTATCCTCCAAGTAGAGGCGCTCTACATATCACTAGTGATGTTGGGGAGTGGGCAGGGCTACGGAAAGTGGGAGGCACCTGGCCTGGGACTGGTGACACAACTGTGCCTGATGGGAGTTCGACGCGTCAAGCGCTTGATGGTGCGTGATCTATATTGGATGACCAATCCCTCCCTTGGATCGATTGCAATCCTCGATGGACAGTCCATGGATCGATGGATCGAGCCATCGGCCAAGCGCTGGCTTGAAACCGTACGTGAAATCATACGGTAATCGCTAAGGCAATGGCAATAACATGTTGGTTGATAGTTTGTATTCTTAGCACCTCAGAAACGAGCCGGATCCCAAAGATGCAGTATTGTACAAGGTAGCCCCGAGGTCTGGGCGAGCACGCCCTGGCCCCAAGCTTCTTTAATCCTTCTTCAGCGGCAGGTAGATCTCCTCAATGCCCTGTGCCGTGACCACCATCATCTGCAGACCATCACCGACCTCAATGTGCCGTTCCACTGCACCATCAAATGCATCCTTCACCAAGATCTCGACCTGCTGTCGTGATAGCGGTGCGCGGGGGCGCTCCTGAAGGGCGTGACCCTCGCCGCTGCCGGGCACATACTGGTTCTTGAAGTTGACCTGGTTGTCGAGGAACGGCATGATCAGGGACGCCGCAGCACCGCCAGCTCGGCACATCTCGCGCTCGTAGCTGCCAACGGGGTCGTAGCTGTACACAGCGCCCTTGCCCTCCTCGTCGAGGCCGCCGAGGATGGCGTATGCGTAGTAGGGGAAGAAGCGCTTCTGGTAGAGGATCGTCGAGAGGCGCTTGGCGCAGGCGTTGACGCTCATGGGCTTGCCATGGCGGTATCGGTACATCTTGCAAACTGTGTCCAGCCGCTCCTTGAGGGCCTCGCCGTCCGCCATGAATCCGACGACTGACAGCACGAGTGTGGCGTCTTTCTGGTCTGCAGTCGTGCCGCCGATCTTGAACACCTTTGGGGCGTATCGTGTGTTGATGCTGTAGCCTGCCGTCAAACGGGTGTCGCCTGCCATGATGGTGAAGTCGGCGCCTGCGATAGCAAGCGTGGAGCCGCCGTTATCAGTGTAGCTGCAAGGAATGTAGTCAGTATCACCGGCTAGAAACAACTGAGTAGATCCCATCCTTACGGATCAAAACGATGTTGCCGGAACTCGCCAGCAGCTGTGTTCTTCGGGGCGTCGTTGAACGAGTAGTTCGGCCCGTTCATCAAGGGGTTCTGGCTGAACATGGCAGCCATCTTTGCGGTGTCGGGAGCTCAGACGGGTCCAAGAATGACTGTAGTGCTAGTTCGAGATGTGGTTAGGGCGACGCCGCGCTTCGTCTTCGTCGCTGGTGATGATGAGGATTGATTCAGGTTGAGCTTGAAAGGCTGATGCTGTTAGGTGAAGTTGGCGCGCGTCAGTCTGGCAGCCTTGCTGGCTGCCAGGGGAGCTCGGAGCTCCAGATGACTAAGCTAAGCTGTGGAGGAGCCTGGTAATCTGATTGGGTGGACCTGCAGGGATGCCGTCACTGCCCTGAATTCGCGACACCTCATTTTGAGGCAACAGGAAATGATACTGGAAGTCTCGCTATTGAATCCGTCCAAAACACCTACGCGATCCATATAACTCTTCCGTGATGGAGAGCGCGACCTACTAACGGCTCTTCTTCATGCTACTCGATTGTGATCCGGCGTTTCCCCCACAGCGTGCGACCCCTTTTCCGCAATCATGTCTCGCGATATCCGCCAAAAGGCGCTGCAAAAGATTGCAGCGCTCTCAGCATCGAATACTACTACTTCCTTCGACAAGTCTGACCTTGACCGTCTCTGCAAAGCTTGCCATAGTCATTCAAAGGTTAAAGAGAGCACCAATGGCTATGCTTCAAGGCAACCACAGCTGGTGGCGCGTGTGCCAATGGTACGCACAAGTTTCCGTGATTAAATCCAAAGATTCTACTAACAGTTATGATGATAGACCATTCGCGAATTCGAAGTGCTGTTGGCACTATGCAAAGCCGCGCCATTGGTTCAGACTGCCACAAGTGCCCAGAAGCTTGCGAGGCAATTAACTCCGTACATACTCGACTCCCATACCCAAGTCTTCGTGCCGTCCCCCTTTTTTCGCAAGGTTGAGCCGTCGCCAACGGAGGCCCTGACGTTCCATGTCACCGCTGCCTTGCTCTCCCTAGGCATACAACACGACGATGTACATGAAAACGTATCAGCAAATATCTGGGCGTATCTCAATGCATGTGATCAGGCCACCGAGAGTGTAATTTCTACGCAGGGAGATGAAGATGATGCCAGCTTGGAAGATGCCATTCGAACGGCAACAATTGCAGTGTCCCTTCTAGGCTTCTTGGATGCTGCTTCTGCGCAAGCCGAGTTCTGGAGGTCTGGTGGACGAATGGCTTTGATCCAGCGGCTTAAGGAGACGCTCTCAGAGCCATTCTTGACTGCGGTGGAAACGGCATTCTCGACGATTCGTAATGCACATGCTCATGAACGTATAGCAAAAGAATGGAAGCGATACATGCGCCACTATTCAGAGTTAGGGCGACCACTAGGAGCGATGCTGCTCCAGCAGAGCTTCATGCGACTCCTTGTCGCCGGCACTTCACTCCTGGTAGCCGAAGTCTCCGCTTTGAGGAGCTCTCATATTCTCGACTTGTTGATGTCTGGCGAGGGCCTCTTGCGTCCTAGAACGGCGGCAAGTGGCGATGCCAATTTCAAGTCTGTCGAAACGTATGCTTCGATTGTCATCGACCAGATGACATTCCTCGACGCCAGCGCCGATTATACTCGTCTGGGCTCTGTTTCTCAGCAGAAGCTCGCCTTCGGTGTCAAGGCTGCTGCCCTGATCAGCTATATCAACTGTGCAAGACTTAATGAGGATGCAGCAGATACAGAGACTCTCATCTCCTGGCTTGAGGATGCTCTCGCCGATCACATTCAAATGGCCGACGAGAACCTGGCCTCTGTTGTTCTTCGTTCCATGGCCCTAATTTGCCGAATCTCACCACCTTACTCTGCGACTGTCTGCCGCCTATTGCCTCGTTTCATTGTGCAGAGTGGTGCACAGGGGCATATCATTACAACTGCTTCACAGTCGCTAGCCTATGTTCTCCAAATGCTTTCCACAGATGCCGTGATTACTACTCTTTATACTCTGGGCAATGTTCTCAGCCCAGGTGGTGAAAGGGGGCTGACCAACGGGCTCAATGGTAGCTCAGCTATCGATGGCGGGAGCAGTTCTGAAATTTATAATGGGAGGCACTCGACCGGGAGCTCCATTTCTCTCCAGATTTCAGGCGAGGAAGATACATCCCATGTCTATGGCAATGTCGTAGAGGGTATATGCGGAATTGCAAGTGCGTGCAAAGACGAGAAGATCTCCGCTCTGGCTCAATCAATGCTTCTTCAAAAGTACGACAAGATCAATAGCCTTGTCGACGCACGTATCATTACTGGGGCCGCTGTATTGGCCCTGAATGGAGGACAACTCGAGTTCCGCTCACTACTAAAACTGTACACCCGAATTTGCCACGATGCAGTGGTTGAGCACAAGGACCTGATACTCACCGCGGTATGTAACCCGTATCGCCTTTTGAGGAGTCTTCTAATAAGCAACAGGTCATGAAAGCTAGAAACTACATCTCCGCAAATCTTCGTCAAGGTTCCCCGCTCTATGATATCTATTGGGAACATATCCTTGACAGCATTGTTTCGAAGGGCGATGTTCACCAGACAAGCCACGCCAAGGAATCTGATATTGAGCTCGCAGCTCGAGAGATCGCTCAGTTACTACAGCCGCTTGCGATCTTCATGTCTACCAATGATATGGCGTCCGACGACTGGACAGATGATGACACTCACTCTCTGCTCCGTGATGCTTGGTTCAACATCGTTGTTCATGGCTTTACACCAGGTACAGACCGTGGCAAGAAATACGTAGATGCATTGCGCATTATAGCCGTTCATTCACCACCCTTGGTTGCCGAGCAGCGGGGAGAACAGGTCGAAAGTGACATTGAGCTTAACACAGTGCTACGAAGAGGCATGAGCTCCGACCGAGAGTCTTCAATCAAGAAGCAGCTCAGTACACTAGTGCCCTCTAAAGCCTCTGAGATTAGAGGTCTTAGCTACAGAAAGGTCATCTTCCTACAAACCGCCTATCTCGTGGAGAGTCTGAGAGCCGATTCTGGTGACTGCACCAAGGTGTTGTCATATTTCCTTGAGCCGAGCATGCGCCGGGGCGATATCAGTAGTGTCATGGAAGGCATTACGGGCATGGTTGTCGACAGATATCTCAAGAAGACTCTGAATGGCAGCCATGTTACATTCTCCGCTCAGTATGCGGCGTCCCAGCTGGCTTCCATCTTCACCTGCTGTTGTCATCGTATCGAACTCGTCCAACAAGCTGCCTACGCTTGCGCCGACCGAATTGTCCGAGATGTTCCTTCCGCGCTCTGCCATAGATCCTCCCTGTTTGCCCTCTTGGAGCTTCTATCGCTCATGTGGTCGAGTTGTCTTGAGGCAGAGACGGATTTGTATGAACCAAGGTCTGTGTTCGAGTCTGCTCGCGGCAATGTTGCGGTCGAGCTCTCTGATGATTACGCATTACGCAGGTACACCCTTGACCGTCTGTACAAGAAGGCTAAATTTTGGGTCTCCTTGGTGCTTGATCTCGCGCCGGCAGACATCAAAGGGCTGTTACAGACGTATCTCTCAGAGTTCGATGACGAAGGGGCCTACGGTCATATTTCTCTAGGCAGATCGTTCGCTTTAGAACTGGGGTCAGCCATCCCATCAACGAACCAGAGACTCAATTCTCTCGATCGGGTTGGGGACTGCGCGATCAACACAGGCTCCGACTTCGTTGCCCAGTATACAACTCGCCAGGAGTATCGTTATGCAGAGGCGCTTCCGGATCATAGTCTTGAATGGCTTACTTTCATGAAGCTCGATCGTAGAGCTTCTTTCTTACCTGGATCGGAGAATGACAGTGCAGATGCAGTCACCGCTCTGGCTCATATTGAAAGGCGCATCCTTAGCAAAAAGCCAACACCAATTGCAGATGTTCGAGACATTTTGCGCCGGGCTGCTGCCCTACTTTGCCGGAGTGAATCCGGTAATGAATCTGCAGTCGCGCACTACCTCGTCAGTATTCCCTTTGCAATGTTCACGAAACAATCCATTAAGCTCGGAATTTCACTTTGGCTTGGGGTCATGAATGAGAATACCAGTTGGGAACCAAGAATTCTTATGGAGATTGCCCAACATTGGGAATTCAGTATCCAAAAGAAGCAAGGACTTTTTAGTAGCACAGTCACGTATGTATTAATCTCTCTGTCAAACATCCGAGCTAACCATACTAGAAACCCCGACCCCTTCTTCTTGAAAGAAGAATTCGCTCCTAGTGACATTGATGCCTTGGCCAAGCGCAAACAGCTCGTTCACAATCTCCTTGCTCCACACACGCGTCTTTTGCAATTCCTTGCAAGTCACTTCAATGCAACTAGGCTTGGCAGTCCAGACACACAGAAGATTTTCCTTCGTCTCCTTGATCTCACACTAGATGCCATTAAGACTGCAACTTCACACCCCATGGCACGAGAGATCAGGTTTCAGATCGTGTTGTTTGGTCTCAAGGTTCTGCGAACCACGTCAATGGGCGCAATCGCACAATGGCGTCTAAAGGACAAGATTCTATCAGCAGCTCTGAGTTGGTTCAGCGGTGCGCCGAAGTGGTCGTTTGGCAGCAATAATCTTCAGCTCAAGACGGAGATACGACTGCTGTCAGATGTGATCGCTGCTGTCAAAGCCGTCTCTTACATCAGTGCTCATCAAGTCAACACTTTGAGATCACTTCAGTCTAAGGAACAGTTACTCTTGTTACTACTTGAAAACGAGCAGCAGAGGTTGACAGTCTGGGTTTACCCGCTCACTGAGCCTTCAAAAATCGCGGGTACGGCGGCACATCCGAAGGGTGGCCTTGAAGTGAGTGCTTTGCAAATTCATATAGATATTTGCTAACGTTGCTAGGCTGCTGTCGCTCAATACATCCGGACTGCCTGGGCTGAAAGCCCATCCCTTGCTATTGAACTGACAACCAGATTCCAGTTCCCTCGCATTCACAAAGAAGTACGCTGGCTCTTGCTCAATTTCCCATCGAAAGCCATCGACGAGCCTGAGGCTCTCACAGTCCTTCTTGGCGGCTCACTCCCAGCCGATGTGAGCTTCCAACTCAAGGTAAGTCGATCAGCTACTTGGCATGACCCGCTAGGATGCTAATTCGCCTAGTATCTTATTTTCTGGGCCCCGGTCAACCCAATTACGGCCGTGACGTATTTCTTGCCACAGTATCAAAACCATCCATGCCTGATCCAATATGCTATGAGAGCTGTGGAGAGCCACTCTGTTGATGTAACGTTCTTCTATGTTCCTCAGATCGTACAGACCCTTCGTTATGATGCATTGGGTTACGTCGAGCGTTACATTCTGGAGACTGCTCAGTTCTCTCAGTTGTTTGCTCATCAGATTATCTGGAACATGAAAGCAAACTCTTACAAGGACGACGATGCTCAAATTGTACAACACCATCTCTTACGAGCGTTTGGATGATGTATACTAACTTCTGTGCTAGCCCGATGACATCAAGCCAACGCTTGACAAGGTTATGGATCGCATGGTTGAGAGCTTCTTGCCTCACGACCGCGAGTTCTATCTAAGGGAGTTTGCTTTCTTCGATGAAGTTACTGGCATTTCAGGAAAATTGAAGCCCCTCATCAAGCGTTCGAAGCCTGAGAAGAAACAAAAGATCGAAGAGGAATTGCGTAAGATCAAGGTCGAAGTCGGAGTTTACTTGCCTAGTAACCCCGATGGCGTGGTCATTGGAATTGACCGCAAATCTGGCAAGCCGCTTCAAAGTCACGCCAAGGCACCATATATGGCTACCTTCCGAATCAAAAAGAATAAGGGTGGCGTTGAAGAGACAGAAGAAGTTGTTCAAGAGACTGCCGCGCACCATGGTGAAGCTCCTACGCAGAACACCATCGAGGTCTGGCAGTCAGCTATCTTCAAGGTCGGTGACGACTGTCGCCAGGATGTTCTCGCCCTGCAGATGATTGCTGCTTTCCGAGGCATCTTCCATAATGTCGGACTGGACGTGTATGTCTTCCCCTATCGTGTCACAGCCACTGCGCCTGGCTGTGGTGTGATTGATGTTCTTCCCAACTCCATCTCCCGAGATATGCTCGGCCGAGAAGCTGTCAACGGTCTCTATGAATATTTCATTTCCAAGTACGGCAACGAGGATTCGTTGCGCTTCCAACAGGCGCGCAACAACTTTGTCAAGAGCATGGCCGCTTACAGCATCATCTCGTTCCTACTGCAATTCAAGGATCGACACAATGGCAACATCATGGTCGATGACGCAGGTCATATTCTGCACATTGACTTTGGCTTCATCTTCGACATTGCTCCTGGCGGCATTAAATTCGAGCGTGCGCCTTTCAAGCTAACATCTGAGATGGTCGCTGTGATGGGCGGTAGCGCAGAGCACCAGAGCTTCAAGTGGTTCGAGGAGCTATGTATCAAGGCTTTCCTGGCTTCACGCCAGCACATCGAGAAGTTGAGCCAGATTGTTCTCCTCATGATGGACAGCGGCTTACCTTGTTTCAAGCCGGAGACGGTCAAGCATTTCAAGGAGAGGTTTGTCCTAGAGAAGACGGAACGAGAGGCTGCGGATTTTGTGAAGATGTTGATCAGGAAGAGCTATAGCAGCTACTCCACGGGCGTCTATGATCAGTTCCAGCTGATGACAAATGGGATTCCCTATTAGTCTAGCTTATCTTAGAATTCAATTCGCTATCAAAACAGACTGAATTTAGGCAAATAAAAATGATTTGAGTACTTCATCAAATTTGAGACTTGGCTCCGTTCTTCAACAGAAGCTGTATTAGCGTTTGGTCCCCTCTCATATTGGCAAGCTGAATGGGTGTATGCTGCGAGTCATTCTTGGCGTTGATGTTTGCGCCGTAACGGACCAGAGTCTCAACCATAATCGTGGTATGTGATGAGTGTGTGTGCTCAAGTCCTCGGCAGGCGATATGTAGAGGTGTATTTCCGGCTTCATCCTTCGCATCAATTTCTGCGCCATGCTGCAGAAGTATTTCTAGAACCTCCGGATTCCGACCACTATTTGCCAAATAGAGAACTGTCTGACCATTGTTATTTGTTACCGTCAGGCTGCCATCTATCTTTAGAAAGCGACGCACTAAGTCAGTCCACCCATCATAGAACTCTAATTGCACAAGGTAATGAAATGGGGTATCTCCCTGGTCATCTCTAGCAAGGGGGTCTGCTCCGTGTTTTAGCAGCAGTAAGGCCGCTAGTGTAAGATTTGTACTGGGTTTTCGGCATATGATATGTAAGGGAGTTTGCAAGTTGACTTCAACCTGTTCATTGACATCAGGTTTGAAACCTAGCAAAGTATTGAATGTGCCAAAGTCGAAACCAGAACGTGCTTGAGAAAACTCTCTAGTGATTTGATAACAAGCCTCGTGGAGGACCGTTTTACCAGCACACCTAGAGTTGATCGACGCTCCTCGCCAAAGAAGTGCTTTTATCACGGAATATGTCCATTCGTTATTGGTCAAAGCGATGTGAAGTGGTGTGCGGTCCCGGAAATCGCGAGCGTTCATAAGAAGCTTGATGGTAGTGGTATCAAGTTCCGTATCGAGACAAGTCCAAAATGAGGTGATGTATGTCTCCTGATATGTGTCGGATTTTTCAGCTAAAACGTGCAGCATTGACCTTTTATCATTTCCTTGAAAGTGCAAGTCTACTTGACGGCGTATAATCACAACTTGATTTTCGTATGTCCCGTACTCGACGGCACCTGCAAACGCCCAGGCTAGATCATCTCCGGTCTTCAATGAGCTCCAAAGCCACGAATTCAAATTCTTCCGAATAGCATACTCGTAGACTGGCATGGCAGGAAGCTCAGTGAGTCGTAGCCACCGTGTCCAGATGTCTTCTATCTCGAGCAAATCGAAGAGAGGTTGACAGTACGAACCTTCTTCCTCCGACTTTCGTGCGTGGTAATTCATCATGGTAGTCGCGTAATCCAGGAGAGCAGGGTAAGCTTCCAGAATCTGAGAGTTACCTGTTACAGACGGCAGTCTACTCTGAGTATACATCTGGAATTTTCTGTTCTCGAATCCTTCTGGGTCGTCCTTTCCCAATGCGCTATGCTCAATAATCGACTCCTCCGGGCGGGAAATTGTCGCTTCTGGCCTGTTGTCGGTTGCTAAATCTATACCAAGAGACTCAACTTGAGTTGGTCGACTGGTATCTCTGTCATCGATCTCCAAGTGAACATTTCCTTCACGTGCCGTGTTCAAAGACCATGAACTGATGGTATCGATTGAATACCTTCGGAGCACTTTTGCCGAATCCTTGCTCAAGCCTGCCAGATCATTCCTCAAACTGAGTGCTGAATAGCTAGAGCCAGCGGAACTGAAACTCGCAATGCTTGATCTTCGCCATCTTCGATTTTCCTTGGAGTGACTGGTTTTCCCCCTTGCATCGACCAAAGCATCCAATTCTTCGATGAAGATATAATGCATACAGGTTGTCATGATGAACACATGGCCATCCCGAAGGGCATCAACCCCAGCATGAGGGTCGAGTATCGAAAACCCATCTTGCTTAAAGAAAAACTCACGGACGGACTCATGGATGAACTGTACCGTTCGCGTCTCTCCAAATTCCTGATCAAGCGACCCGGCTCCTGCACGGATAGATCCATCGTCGTCTTCGTCGTTTCGAGAAATGTTGCTATGGTCAATCGAGTAAACCTCGACTAAGCCTCGAGAAAGAGTACGAATTTGACGTTCAAGTTGATCGTCGTTCTCTGTAAAATATACCGAGTCTTTCCACTCTCGCAGCGACGACGGCGGCTTGTGTCTAATGAAGGCGAGGATATGATGCCATTCACGAAGACGTAGAGGCCCCCGAGACAGCAAAACCCACTGGAAAAAGTGAACGGCAAGTCTTACATCATCTTCGAAATAGCTAGTTAACAGTTCTTTGAACAGCCCTTCAAGAGCCTGAGGGACCATTTGAATTCGTTTGGTGAGGTAACTCATGCTCCTACCACAATCCCTGTCTTTGAGCACCATGTCTACAACCAAGACTACCCAGAGAAATACACCAGCAGCTTTGTTTAAAATGTTATCTTTGAGAATCTTGAAATCGATACTTCCTCGATTCATTGCGACTGCAAGACTCTGGTCGATGTAATGATCGATGTCAATTTGGTTGTGACTGTGTACACTGACTTCGGAGCAATGTGTCAACGTGACGTCTGGGAACGGTCGGCTGGAGATGCAGATGTTCAAAATCATTCCTGAGGAGTATGCGGACTCGGAAATGTGGGCAAAAGGATACGCCACCTCTCTCATATTCTTTTGGTCACACTCGTCGAGTGCGTCCACAAACAGTATTATACGCCTTTCCGGCTGGTCCATTGAAGCCGTGGTGCCTGTATGCTTTATGAAAAGTCTTCGGAAACAACTCTTTAGTCGATCTTCCGACAGACGAGATTCTAGGCTCCCCGTATTTTCTATCAGCTCGTCTTGGATATTAAGTTGAAAGAGCAAAGACGGTGCTTGGCGAAATAATTGATAAAGCAGAGATCTAAGCATTCCCGACATGTTGTGTTCGAGATCTTTGCCACGAGCATTGAAGAAGAAGGGTGCGACTATATGATCTCCTAAACCTTGTGAAAGTTTAGTACGTTTCATGGCTGCATTCAAGAGTGTTGATTTGCCGCAACCAGGTTTGCCCTTCAGCCATAGAAAACCGCGGTGATGATCCATGTTGATCCGACTCCACCAGTCTTTATAAGAAGCATTCTCGAATAGCCATTCACAAGTGCCATCAAGTGGGGTCTCGATACTTTGTTGGCGCGAATTCATATCCTCAAATGGTAGAAACCCAATAAAGGCAACCAAGTGAAGAGGCAATGGATGGCTCTGTTGCGGTCCAATGTCCTGCGTCTGCCTGTCTTCAACTGTCCCTGTCAACGTTGAATATGTCTGCTGCAATACTCCCCAAACCTTTCGGTAGTTAGGATCATCAGCATTCGAGAAGCGGCACATATCCGTGTGGTTTGCTTGGAGCTTCTCAGCATGTTCCCTATGGTCGCCTAACGATGAGGAATAATCGGGGACGACCTAGACGAGATATATGAGCTCTATTCGTGTCTATGCTCCCTTAAGCCTTTGAAGCATACCTTCTTATTTAGAGGACCGATGTTCAGCCCGCTCATGGGAAGCGCTTCTTGAAATGTTTTGACACGAAAACCGTAATTGGCCCAGGTTCTGGAGAAGGACTCCTGACAACGTTCTAGGTCCGAGTTCTTCAGGCCGAGACTATCAAGTGTTGCAGAGCTTGTGTCCATCAGCAAAGCGTTTGCACTCTTTCTAGCCTTTTCCCCTAAGGCAGCAATATCGAAGCTGCCGCGATGTGGTGTACCTAAGAAGATGACGGCTTTGGTAAATTGAACGACCTCGTTTAGGTCATTTTCTCGCGAGGCAGAAGAGTAGTTCAACAGCTGGCTCCTGATCAGCCTCCTTCTTGGATACAGAGAAGCGTTTCATACTTCTTTTACCACAATGCCGCCCAATGAGTGCGCTACGAAGATCAGTGGGCGATGTTTTCCCGCTCTATCCCTTTGCAAGGCGAAGAGAAGGTCCTTTCCATGGGAATATGTACTGCTTTTGTTCGTTGGTTTTATCATATACTTTGTGATTCTTGTATCGTAGCCCCACACCAAGACCCTCGCATTCTCGAAATGGGCCGGTAACAGGTCAGCAGGCCAGAACACCTTATCGGAAGATTTCTGACCTAAATAATTGTAATTTGGTTTGCCTGACCTCTGGGTTTTCTCAGCGCCTGATGACCGCCATTTCGGAAAGTGTCTGCTTCGCCAAGTATCAATGAAGCTGAAGAAATTAGGAGGCCGTTTGGATTGCTGCTTTTTGCCCGGAACGCTGGGATCGTAACTTTTCTTCACTTCCCTTTTGGCAGCCCAAGTCTTGTATGGGTGGCCTTGGAGGCCATGCACGAACACAATACTGATAGATCAACATTTGACTACAGAGTAGAAGAAGGCTGAGAATAAAGTCTGAAGGCTTACTCAACAACTGTATCCTCTGTTTCTGGCTCGTAAACCACAGAGAGTCCAGTATCAGATATTCGATGCCCGGCCATATCAGCAGGGTCGACAGACGTATGAGATGGATGACTTTAGATATCTGGGACGCTCAAACAAGAATGAATACCTGGTGAGCCATGCCGCAACTGGAGGTAGCTGGGTAGCGAGGCTGAGAGGTACGTAACTACGGTCATGTGAGTCGACGATGATTGGCACATCCACCTCATTGGTAGGCAGCGCATCGACATCAATTTTTAAGTATACGTGCCCGAGCGGACTTAAAGTGAGAGTCATGAACATATTTGCTTTTTTCCTATGAAGGAAGAAGAAGAAGAATGTGTATGACTATGCTGCCTGCTGTTCCATGTGTGTTGGCAAGTTGTAACTAGCATAGTCAACATGCACAAATGCTCGATCTACGATAGGAACAGACTCTAATACATATTGTAAACTCTCGCTGCTCTTCTGTTAGACTCATCCTCGTTCTTTTTATCAACATGTTAAACTTACCTCAAGTCGTGACTGTCTTTGAGTGATGTGCTGGCGTCTAGAACGATATCAACCTACAGAGCATCAGTGTCAATGAAGCCTTTAAAACGCGCTAACTTGATCTTACCTCAACATTAAGCTTGTCGCCAGCATGATAAGCTTGTAACCCCTGGATCTGTCTGATTGTCTTTGCAAATCGCATAGTCAAGTAGAGTACTATATGCGAGTTAGATTCGTTCTGGTCGAAACGGGTTTCAGACTGACAGATATTTCTTTGGTCTGCGGTAGCCGAGAAGCCCGAGAGGTTCTTGATGTGCTCCATTGAGGTGTGAGACCAGTTGAAGATAACAACCAGCGACAGTAATAACCCTCCTAGAGCATCGAGCCACCATACTCGTGCGTAAAACCCAACTAAGCAATTTGTAAGTGACGTTCTTTACTGACGGCATGAAACTCTAGCATTACCTATCGGGAAGGCTATTGAACCGGCATTGAAGATGACATCTGAGGTAAATTAGAGTTTACAGACTTCTTTCGAGTCGATCAATGGGTACTTACCAGTCGCCGCATCAGAAGCCCTAATAAGGATGTTGGTTAGTAAGTAAACATCAATGAACCATAATATAAGATCCTTACAAAGCCTGGACACTCGAGTTCTTGACGAGTCGACACCAAAGCCAGCACAATCCTTTGATAACGATGGTGCTCAACATAATAGCTATTGCTGGTATACCGCTGCATTCGGGTTAGTTATTTGTTGGTGCAGCCGTCTACTAGATTACTTACAGTTCGATAATAGAGTTGTCATCAGATGCAAGGCGTTGGATTGCTTCTAAAGCTACCTGGACGAACGATGTTATCATAATCACGGAGAATACCAGTACTCCTAGAGGCTCGAGTCTGTTTCGAGGATTAGAAGTTGGGCCTTCAAGCTGTGAAAATACGGCACTTACCTTCGTCGGCCTACAGGATACCTGTATTGATCCTGATGACCTATCAACCATGTCGTAACCCATACTATGACTGTCGACAAAAAGTCTAGGGCTGCATCAACCAGACTAGCCAAAACCGAGACTGAAGGCACGGAGATGATGACTGCAATCTTTCCGGCGAGCAAGATTGCATTTGCCGCAAAGTTGAGATAGATAGCCACCGTCACAATGCGGTCGCCGCTATGCACGTCGTCATCCTCGATCCAAGGAATGTCGGGCTTTGGCCTATCAGTCTCCTCATCCTGATCCTCATTGTGATCCGCAAAAAGAGGTGTCGTCTCTGTGGGCCGGTAGATGTCCTTCGGCGTGCGTTTCACCTTTTTTGCGACATTAGTGGCAGAGTCGCTGGTGGAAAGCGTCTGCGAGTTGCCATTCGAGCTGCTAGTCAATGGAGCTTCCTCTGAGATGGTATCGGGGACCTCGACTCCGCGGAAGGCAGATGCCGGCATGTCATTGTACTCGTTCAAAAGATCGTGAGGTAGCGACGAGTCCAATAATCGGTCAATGTACCTAAACAAGTTATGTTAGGGATACGATTCCACTGATCTTTCGAGGTCACATCATGCATATGCCAAATCAAATTCAGTGCAGTAACTTACAGATACTGCTGTATCAAATAGTTTGTTCGCTCATAGTACTTCCTTCTGAGAGGGGTGTTAGTGTAGGCACTCAAATCCAATCGGGGATTTCTGACAAGTCCTACATATTCTTCTTCATCTGCTTCAGATCCTCAGCAGTCTTCCAGTACCGCTCCCACTTATACCGCGGATTGTTCTGTCCAATGAGGCGCATGCTGCGCATCTGTGGGCCGTTCAGAATCGCGCTCATACGACGCTCTTCAGAACGCCGCATGTCATCTTCGTCATCATCTCGAACTCTCAGAGCTGGCCAATCTGTGACGCCCGCCTCTTCCTCATCTCCTCCCAGACCCCAGTGAGAGCCGCCACGGTGGAGTGATGCATGCGACCGGTTCCTGATCAGTGTTGCCAACGCGCCATGACCCTTCGCAGAAAGCGGATATGAATCGTCCTGTTGCAGCGCGAAAGAGCTGCGTCTTATGGGGCTGACGGGATTGGCGCGTGGCAGGTTGGTCCCTGGTGAAGACATTACCACCTGCTGTAAGATCGGTAAAAGTCCTTGCCGTGTCAGACCGACATAGCACAAAGCTCTTGACAACGCGAGAGTTTATACAAGAGACACAGTTTCGAGTTTTTATATGCCCAAAGCAAACCGAAGCGAAGGATAGGCCGGGATGTGGTGGCAATGACTCAGGCGAATTGATGTTTATGTAGCCGCAATAGGGTGAGTGTCGTGAGACGGCGGCTCGCTCTAGGAGCAGCAATTGTCCTGGGAAAGCGCGATCTTCTCAAGGCAGGATTGACCTGAACAGAGACGGCGGATAACTGTAGAGAATAAGGCCGTCTATAAGCTGTGTCAGAGTGCAATGGGCTCGAAAATTCAGATGTTGGGTTGTTTGATGGCGACCTACATTAGCTATCGCTCGATGCTAATTGGCAGCTTTGAGGCCTCACTGTGACGAACAAGGATTTCAATTGCCGCGGGTGCGAGGTGGTGGGGACCTTGCTGGCAAGCTCCGGCAAAGTAGCTAGCTACCCCTGGAAAATGTGGTCTGCGATGACTTCATAGGCCAGGCTCACAAGCCAAGACAGCATCGCCTTCATCTGTTCATAGCGTTCACTAGCTTCACGTATGCCTGGTATGCTGAAGGTCCTCAATGGAGAAAACGATATCAGCGATGTACATCTTGACGAGCGCAACTATTATTATATTCAGCAGCAGCGGTGACCAGTGTGATGAGACGGTCAAGGGACTTTTTGAGCCTGCTCTGTGTACTCCAGCACCACATTGTAGATGGGTCAGAAGACTTAAAGCCTGCATACATAGGTTTAGTTTATGAAGCAAACATCTTTTTAAATGCATTTTATACCATATTAGCCAACTATCGGCGGAGTATAGAGCAATTGGCTCTTCAACTATGAATTGATGTCACAACAGTTTTTTGGGGATGGCTAGTAGCATGAAGTCAGGTTCGGCATATTAATTAGAGATAACTTTTCATTTAAGCTCTCTCAGCACTTGAGATGCTTCTCTGGAATCTGTCTAGGTAATGTTTTCGACTTCAGTAGCTTCTTCTAAGCCTTACTTTTGTTTAGTTGTCTTTGAACCGACCAGCACGTCTCATTCATGGTCTTTTGCCTTCATGCAAACCTGTCTACTCGAAGTGTCACCTCCGAGACTTATCTGCGAGTATACCCTCGGCAATCTTAGCGGTTGCTTTGACAATGAGCTCATGCTCGTGCCCATGTATCCTTTGCTCTAGATCATGTAGTGTCTCACCTTCGCGACACTCTATCTCTTGCACCAGGATCGGCTCGCCGCGGTCAACTTCTGCTATCACGTAATGTATCATAATTCCTGTCTTACTGTTTTCAAGCTTGCCAGCCTGGAAGTCTTCGAAAGCTCTTCCGATTGCGTTTGCACCGTCATATTTGCCTACAAGATGAGAGCATTGGCTATTAGTCTGAAAAATCACAAACCCGGGCTGTCTCTCAGAAGAGAGCATGGTTTGGGACCTACCCGGTAATGCTCTGCGTCCGCGATTTAGCATGTGTTCCAACTCATGAGGGACTTAGACTGAGAGACTTACGGGTGCAAGTTGATAATGGGCACTCCCTTGGCTGCAAAGGGCCGTAGGAACGACTCTGTTAATATATGCATCCATCCTGCTAGAACGATGAGGTCCGGGCTCTGTGCCGGGTTCTCGTTGAGGATCTTCTCCGCCAGCGCAGCGTCATACTTCTCGCGGCCCTCTTGCAGCTTCTGAGGATCCTTTTCGCCCTTGGCCTGGTACCCCTCTGAGACCATGTTGAAGTACTCCGATGGGATGCCCGCCTTCTTCGCTCGCTCCGTCGCAAAAGCGGTCTTCCGGTTCACCACGAGCCGGGTGATCTTAGAGTTCGCAATGCGCCCGGAGGCGACAGCATCAATCAGCGCCTGAAAGTTGCTGCCATTCCCGGAGGCCAGGACCACGATGCGGCAAGGCTCCGCCATGGCTGTGGCCAGAGCGCGGGGTATCTGATGATTTGTTGTAGAATCGCTGAGGCTCCTGCTCCGAGCCTCGCCCTGATGTCACCGACTAGCCCAACAAGTTGAGGTCCGAGTTCCTTGTCCAATGTGATTTCGAGACAGCTGGGTCTCTTTCGTGTTCTTGTTGCCTGCTTCGTCACTGACGAAGTGGTCCCATATCAGTCGCAGAGCAAAATCTCGAAGTGGGTTCTGCCGCAAGATTCCGCCTTAGCGCATTAAAAAAAGGTCGCGATAAATTAACCTAGTCAGGGTTCCGAGCAGATTTGAAAGATCGGCAACAGTAAAACCTGGAAATGCTGCAAGGAAATCTTCGATGCTGCAAAAATAGAAACGGTCACCTCGATCTCTGCAACCGCATTGAGAGCATTCTTGACACTCGCCAAGACAGTAATTGGCTCTGAGAGAAGGGCATCTAGTCTTTTGGATTGATGGCTCTGACAACTTAGAAGTACTTACAAGAGAGCTCAGGCTAGTAGCTACTTGATAAGAGGGACGATAGGCCTGGTCCAAGCCCTTAGTCAGCTCAGCCAGCCCCCAAACCGTGATCGGCAATGCGCTGAGGCAGCTGGCGGCGGCGCCTCATAGAAGGTTGATGTCGGTTGATGTCACTGCCGCTCAGCTGCCCGGGTGTGTAAAAGCAAGGAGAAGACCCTGACTAAACCTGACAGCATGAGCCTAGAAACCTCGGGAGTGGGACTCGGTTCACGCGCCGCCAAACCCCCTTTTCTCATGCATGTGAGCTTCTGGTCGTCTTCACTTTAAGTTCTCTCGCCGAGTATGGAGTAATTATTGTTCTGTTCGTTCTGTCCCCTCCCATTTCCGTGTGATCAGAAACGGTCTACGTACTCGTCGCAACGAGAATATATTTTGAGTTAGCGCACAGCAAATCCGGATGACGCGGAGCTTTTTCGCCAACGTTGCACTGAACCATCGGCCCCATTAGGCGCAAAGTTAGGGGCGAACAGGAGATGACAACCCGCAGGGCTTGGGAAATAATGAGATGCCCTCTCCGCCCTGTTGGCGCTGACGCGGGCTCGGAACCCCTGGCCGCCCGTCAGAATCCGATCTCCAAGCCCTGCAAAAGGCCCCTGCTAGAGGCCGCTAAATGGTGGAGGTGGCTCCTGTGCAGAACAGGGGACGGGCCAGTCTATTGATTCTGGTGAATGAGGAGGTCCAAACGGGTTCGAGCCTCACCAGACTGAGGTAGGTAAACAGTGCGTGCTGGTAATTAAAGATGGCTGCGCTCGCAATTGTCGACCATAGAGCCGAGAGAGAGAGGAGAGGCACCGCCGAGATTCCAAGATCCCAAGATCCCAAGATCCTCTTGGCCGGGAGATACGGGAGACTGGGCGAAAATCATAATCAACCCTCATTCGTCCCGGTAGCTGCTCCAGCGGCTTTAGGGATGAACCTTGTTTGTTTGAACACAGATTCTGGTGCGATTCTCGAAGCGCTGACTGAGGCCCGCGGCTCCCAAGTATGATATGTCTCAGACTCAAGGGAAGTGTGGATACAGCGCAAACTCATCGACAAGCAACATTTTCATCAATGATCTGATCATGCCGAGAACACGAGGGCGACGGAAATTGCTCATTCATTGATCACAAAAAAACCCGCCTGTCAACCCCGGCGAGGTGTGGACACTGAAGGCGGCTAAAGCAAGGCCAAAAAAAACCTTAGTTTATGCACATCAATGATGGACCCCGTATTCGAGATGTGCTCCCCGTGCGAAAGTCCAGATTCGTACAGTGATGTTCAGAATACCAGCCCCTGTGCAATTTGTCGCCGGATCGTCGATGCAAAGCATTTCGTCAGCGATCTTCTGTCTTCTATTGAGGTGTATCCGCTTGGTGAAGACAGCTTCGTCACTGGATATCCCACAACTACAACAGATGAAGGACGGTCTACCCTGATCCAGGTACCACGACGATTAGCGGAGCCGGTACGAGCTGCAAGCTCCGACTAAGAGCCTTAGCTCATACCTAATTCACATGCTCCCAGCTGAGGACCGAGACCGAAGAGTCTAGCACGGTTGTTCTTAGGTATGCTCATGAAGTCAATGATAACGGCTGCCCTACCGTTAGCTCCACCGTGTCGGTGCAATTGAGACAAAATGCTCAGTTGGGCAACTCTCGAAAAGGTTTCTTCAGCTTCAAGTCTACATGGAGACGGTGTCGCGGAGCTTCCCCACGCATCAGGGTCGTTCCCTCGGAGCTCCACGAGCTGGCCACGCCCGATGGTGCGTAACTGTCGTCGTTCCGCTGGCACATAGTCGTTGCACCTGGCGGGAGTGTACGCTTTACAGACTCGGAACTAGACTAGACTGAGGTGCCGTGTAAGGTTACAGCAACGTATAGGCAAAGATAATATCGTGAGGGGCAATGCATCCTCTGGAGATATATCCGATATTGCACGATTAGATTTGCCGTAGAAGCTCGCGACGCGTCAAGAACTCCCTCGTAAGCGCAGACGCTTCTTATGCCACTTCGTTCAATGACCTTTGAGAACCAGAGCTCGTGGGAAGCCAGGGTTCCGAGAGCTAACCCGGGTGGATTGCCCTGCACAATGTCAAAGCCAAGACGCTTGATCGGTCCCCATCTGTCCCAAAGGACACCATCTCAGATGAAAATGGTAAATCTGCAGGGTGACCGAGCGCGAAATAGTTCTGTTGCATTTCTTGGACGAGACTTCCTCTCCCACCAATCACTCGAAATCCAGCGTGGCCACCGAGATGGCCTGGAAATAGCTTGCCTGCTCCGGCACCTCGTAGCTTTACAAGATTGGACGAGGCCTTTGAAGAGCTTCGCTCTTCGCGCCGGCCCGTTATTTGCATCCTGATTGAGGATTGCTGGGTTAAACATGTTCACCATGGACGCTCGAGCTGGACTGTGGATTTTTGTCAAGGATTTCACGACAGAGCTCGACACTCCTTGACGATATGTCTAGGCGAAATGCATTGTATACAGTATAATTTACCTACCCACATATAGTGTAGTGTATATAGTATGCAGCTGTAGGAGGAGTATTATGCCTGCGTTCGATCGTAGCCGAGTCGGCGAATCCACAATGATTGACACGCAAAGCAGGCTACAATGTGGAGGAAATGCTGCTGCCATGCCAAAAAATCAAGGCTTGAAGGCAGTAGCTGCATACCGCTACTCTGTTTTTGTTGGCTTGTGCCGACACCACTGGGGAAGAGCCATGCTGGTCCATGTCGAAAAATGCCACCCATACCATTCCTCGAAGGCCCTAAACAACACGGGCTGCGGTGACTGAGTGACCGGGAGAAAGCCACAGCAGCGATGGAGGCCCGGTTCATGCCGCCACGCAGTAGCTGGAGGCAGGCGATAGGCCACCATGCAGTGAAGATCTAGCATTGGACCGACTGCATTGGTGCGTGGGCTCTGGCAGTGGCTGCTTGTCCCCAACCATCTTCTCGCGTCAGACGTCAGTCAGACAGCCCATGGAACCAACCCACATGGCCTGTACAGTTGGCCTAAAGTCGAGCCGAGCTGAAGAGTCGACATGCGACTCCCTGATGGGTCGTGAAGAGGCGGAACCTGCAGAAGATCGGAGAGGCAGGGCTGGCCTCTGCCACTCACATTTGCAGGTGAGCACGTAACATGATGTCGAAGGTAGTCATGGTGTTTTCCGTTTGCAAGCTGCAAGAGGAAGCCATCCGTACCAAAACCGTATGTCCGTGTGCTCCATACCTACCTAAGGTACCTACCTACCCACCGTGGAGGCAAAAAGAACGGCCCTGAGAGCCGTCCGTCACTGCACCACAGATAGGTGCCACAGTGCTGGAGCAGGAGACCAGCCGGTGGTTACTGTGTCCGTTGGGAGACGGTGGCCAGCTTTGTTCCAACGTCCACATTCATTCATTACTAGAGTACGTAGGTAGTGTAGTCATGGGCGCTACCTCCCTAACACTTAGCTCGGACACATGAATGTCTTCCAAGATGATCCGGGCTTAGGTATTTTGGTAGTTCTACACTACAAGTTAGTCTGGTCTCTCCACTTCTTGGATCACTACCCTGAGAAAAAGGCACAGTACAGCAGGCTGCCGTGCCTGGCCGCGACGGTCTGGTCTGGCCTGTTCGGCAGTAAAATCATGAGTCCAGGTAATCGGGCAAAAATTTCGAAGGAGTAGGTAATAATAGACAGGCTCGCCATCGCACTTGTTCCAAGTATACCTAGGTAGGTAGGTTATTGCCTGTGCGGTATGGTTGGGTCCACTAGCTCCCTCAAGTACCCTCCATCCACCCAGCATCCCCTGCCACTCTTGGGGATACCCTTACTGTAGCCGTACCCGTACCTTGCCTTGCCTTACCTCGCCCTCCAATTGTTATCTGCTACGGCTTCCAAATCCTTCTCCTTTCCTCTCCAACCACATCATTTCTAGCATCATCGGACCAGACTCCCTGACCTACCTGAATCATCTCGATCGTTTTCCGTGTCCGTCGTCTTCTTGAGCTTACAGGCCGCTGCTTCCAATCGTTAGAGCGTCTGCTATTTGCTGAGGCTCTCGTTGTCTTTGGCTTCCGTCTTTCATTGAGCACTCTCGAGCATTAGCATCAGCATTTCCATCATTGCACGCTTCCATCACAGCATTCAACCCCGAGTCTTCACGTCTTGCTTCCTCCTCCACGGTTCCGCTACTTCGAATTTGCCTCTATATTATTACATTTACTCTTAGTATAATCGAGTCATAGCCAGGATCAGGCAAGGGACCCGGATCCAGTCATCATACCTTGGCCTTCTTGTCTTTGTTTACTCCCGTCCATACAAGCCTCTACCCACGGTCACGGCTCTGTACAACGTAAGTACGGGTTGTTTCGTTCTTCTCTCTACTGCATAAGCCCTTGGCTTGATCTTAGAATTGCCTTCGTATCAATTGTTCAGGATCGAAACGGCCCGGACCAACTATAGACTGCCTAGAACACCAATGGAATGAGAGACCCCTAGCCGAAAGGCTTCAATCACCTACTAGCTACAAGTCAATCCCGTTGGCGCCATCGTGTCTCGCAAGCCGTTTCGGTTCTGCTAGACCCTTTGTCCCATCGAGCTGAGACTGTCAGAGATACAAGATCTCTGCAAGCTTTCGTCGTTGGCGGCTCTCCATTAAACTGCGTCGGAGTCGGAAAGCAACATTAATTCAAGGAACTCTGCTAACTCAATTCCTCCCTATCATGCAGTCGACCGGCAATCCGCGTCATAATCGAGGCCTGTGAGACACAAAGCCCTCAGGCAGTACTTAGGCCCGAATTGTTCACTGGCATTTTCAGCCGTCATCCGCCCTTGCGCAGCCCGCCTCGTATTCTCACCGGAGGCCACCGATTCCGCGTATTTATAGATAGTGACCTCGTCCAGCGTCTCGACGTCCTGGATTGAAATTTATGGGCTGCTGGTCATTCTGTCGATAATCCCGACGCCAATTTCTATATGCCTAGATTCCCGGTCGCTTTCGGCAGGCGGAAGTCAACCGCAGACAACCTCGAAAATGCCCCGGTAGGGCCGTCTTTCCGCGTCCTGGAGAGGACTGAGGTTGCTGGAGGCAAGTCATTCGACGGGGGCGCTCGATTGTCCGCAAAGACGCACCACCTGCCGAAGACGAGTGTCGAAAACATCAATGTGGAAGACAATATCTTCGCCGACCTAAAATCAAGCAATCGGTAAGTTTTGGCGTCTTTTTCCGGGTTCTAGGTTCAACGGCGACACAACTTTATTTGCTGTTTGTACGCTCTCTTGACTGGCATGAGCCTTCGCTAGGATGATGCCGACAAGGTGCCGTCCGGGGGAGGGTCGATGTCTCAGCTACATTTGGGCCCGTTGTTAGGCTATTAGGCATGCTGTGTAATTGCTAACCACCAACAGTGGCAGTGGATCGACCAATACGACAAAAACAAATTCGACAGACAACTCGTCTCGGCATAGTAATGCGTCAACTGCGCCATCTTCAGCTGACTATGGCGGGCAGGAAGAATGGAAAGGTGTACACAGGAAGCCTGTGGGAGATATTCCCGTTCCACCCATCCCCAAATCGGCTTCTTCTAGCTTTCTAAAGTCAGCTGGACGATCCTTCTCATTTGGTGGACAGAAGAAGCATTTACCACCAGTTCCTGCTGCGGACGAGTCACCAATACCTTCTCCGACGGAACCGGATCGTTTCACAGCTGGGAGGGCACGAGCAACGACCACGTCCACATCAACAACGGTCACACCACCGAAAGTGGATGAGGATTTCAACCTTGATCTTGGTGGGGACTTTAGCAAGATGCTTTTGGGGTATGACAAGCGAGCCAGTACGGCCACAATGCTAGACGAACAATCAGGGAGACAGGCTTTGCAACCCCGAGGTCTAACCGGCAATCGTTTAAATCAGCCTTCGCCGATTCAAATCGACAAGACATCCAAGATTGAAAACTCGCCTTACTCTTGGAACAGCCATCACTCCAATGACAATTTGCTGACTGCAAGCCCTCTATATGCGTCACCGATCAATGAAAACACTCCCCCACCGCCTGTTCCACCACATGCTTCTCCACTCTCAAACTCGCCTCAATTTCCAAAGCCTATTGAAGGAAGTCTGAAGAGGACCAGTGCAATCTTTGGGAGACGCAAGTCTCAGGCGGAGGATGGTGAGGGGGATGATGAAGAGGCGAGGTTACTCAAGGACACTCTATCCGCGGTCAACAAGTTCATGTCTGGCAACAAAGGCTCAACACCAAGCCAAGGAGCGACTGGACGCTATAGGAGAAATGAAGATACACTAGGCTCAGGGTACAGAAACTTCTCTTCGGAGTCAAAGGTGTCAAGGATCAACCCGAAGGACGAGGAGGATAATTTGTTCGATAATAACATCGCTCAGCATTCGAGACTTGCTCAGCGCTACGTTACCCGCAAGCAGAGTCCGGCTCAAACCAAGGTTATGACACCTGCCGAGTTTGAGAGATATCGAAGAGATAAGGAGCGGCAGGATGCCAGCTCAGATACCAACAAGTCAGAGAAGGATGAGGATGAAGACGATGATGAAGATCATTACGAGGATGACGAGGATGAGATTGAGAAGTCGAAGCAGCTTGCAAAACAAAGGAGAAAGCAGGAAGCACACATGACAGTATACCGACAACAGATGATGAAGGTGACTGGCGAATCTTCCAGTGGCATCGGAATGTCTCGGCCGGGCATCCAAATGTCATTCAGCACACCGAACCTATCGAACCTCACTGTCCCAGGTCCTTCCAAGAATCCTTCGTCTGAGAATTCCGACGAAGACGAGGAGGTTCCCCTTGCGATTCTGGCAGCGCACGGATTCCCTAATAAGAACCGACCGCCAACTCGCCTAAGCAACATGGGTTCGAACCCTAATCTTCGCGAGGCTACACAGCCTAGCTACCAACGTCCAGGGTCTGCTGCAGGTGACGCTCCGGCGGCCAGCGGCGGCCGGCTCCCTCCCTTTGCACGCAGGCTGCCTCAAGACCCGTATGGTCTCGTCAATCCATCCGTGCGTGAGAGTTTCGCCCTTGGAGGCGGTGCCCCAGCTCCAGGGCAACAGGCTCCGCTGCCTCCTGGTGGTCTTGTTGGTGTCATTGCTAGTGAGGAACGATCGCGGGCATTGCGCCGAGGCAGTCCTCAGATTGATGGTGGTCGGGGAGTACCTCCCTCAGGACCTGGCGGTTTTGATCCCATGGCAGGAATTCCTCCCCAGATGATGTACCCACAGATGCCCCAAATGCCCATGCTTTCTCCTGGCGACCATGCACAAATCCAAATGACGCAGCAAATGCAGCAGTTCATGCAGATGCAGATGCAGTTTATGCAAATGATGGCAGGTAACCAAGGTGGCAACGGTCCCCCGCGCTCTGCCGGCCATATGAGCCAGCAGTCCATGGGCGCGGTAAATGGAATGCCCATGTCTATGACAGGTATGGATATGCTGGGACAGCGCGGCTCATTCCTTGACAATGGATCAATGCTGGATCTCCCACGACCAGACATGCATGGACGGACGATGAGCATGGTGCAGCCAAGCTCGGCCTCGTGGATCCAACCGCCGAACCCTGGGTACGCGCCATCCATTCGCATCCAGGGCGATGGTTATGCGCCTTCAATTGCTCCATCTGAGCGCAGCAATGTTGGACTCCCTGGTCGATATCGTCCAGTTTCACAAATGCCACCCCCTCCTGGTGCTGAGCACCTGAGGAAGTCATCGACAATGTCGGGAGCGCTCAGTGGTTGGGACGAGGCGCAAAACCGTAAACTAGCGAACAAGACACCTCCCAAAAAGTCGGGCAATGTGTCGGATGAGGATGATGAGGAAGGCTGGGAGGCCATGAAGGCGAAGCGCGACAAGAAGAAGTCACTTTGGAAAACTAAGAAGACCCTACCGACTGACCTTGGCGCCCTAATTAGCTGATCTTGGGTTTACAAAAGCATAACGGTTGGGAAAGGGCATTCTATAGGAAAACCATCATTTCGTCCATCTTGAGGACATTCTCATATACCGGAACCCCAAAAGAGAACGGAAATTTGTTGTACATTCATTGACTGAACATGGCTTGACCATTCTATAAATGGCGTTGAGAAACGGAACAAGAGATATAGGCATGGGTTATCTAAAGGAACGACTCATGATAGATATCAGTACCAATAATTATAATCTTTCAAGAACAGTTACAAGGCCTTTAGGATTTACTTCATTTTTTTCTTCTTCTATCGTTGTAGGGCCCAAAACGTAGATCCCTGTGATGAAAGTGCTTACTACTGTTGTATGCAAAGCATCCAGACTTACATTTTGGAGAATTTGACCTAATGCAAGATGCCCTCGCCGATCCTCAACGCCGGGTTTGTTTTCCTCACGACAGCTCTGCTCAAGCCGTCTTTCCCGCAGCCCAGCCCTTCCTCTTGACACCCATCTCCACAGCCGCCAGGCCCCAGTCCTCGCCGTGGTTGTGGCTGCCCTCGATGACACCCGCGCGGGCCTGGGCCTGCGTCTCGCTGAGCACCGTCAGGACGCCGAAGATGACGGGCACGCCCGTGTCGAGCTGCACGCGCATGAGGCCCTGGGACACGGCGTCTGCGATGTACTCGAAGTGCATGGTCTCGCCCTTGATCAGCACGCCGATGGCGATGAGGGCGTCGAAGGGCTGCGAGGCGGCGGAAGTCGTCGTTGGCAGAGACGTCAGGTCGGTGGTTGAGCCGCCGAGCAGGTCGCCTGCGGAGAGCGAGGGGCCGCCCGAGGAGCTGGAGGACTGGATCTGGGAGGCGGCGAAGAGTCTAGATGACAGGGAGTGTCAAAAGTCAGTTGGTCAAGCGTCATTATGGAGCTCCCGGACGGAGACATGCTTACCGCTGGACGCCAATTGGCAGCTCCCAGGAGCCGGGCACCGACTCGACGATGATGTTGGACTCGGGGACGCCGCAGGCAAGTAGCTTCGCCTTGGTGCCCTCTAGGAGCGGGTCGATAATGCTCTCGTTCCAACGGGCGTGGACGATGCCAATCCGGAGGCCGGAGCCGTCATGCTGCTCGGGGGTAGGGCCCTTCATCTTCACAGGCAATTGAGGAAGCTGACGATTGAGGGGCAGGGCAGAATCGAGCTAGAGAGTTGCGAGATGGAAAAGGTAGGCGCGATGTTGACCTTGGGGTTTGCAACTACGTGGAAGGTGAGGTGAGGTAGCTGATGGTCCTCCTTAAGCTCCACGGAATGGAGGGGCAGAATGACGGCTTATAGCGGGGTTGGGGCACCTGGGTTGCTTTCCCTGCCATTCTACGAGTGCAAGAGGCTAACATAAGGTCAGTTCATTGGTGCATTGGATTAGTCACGGTCTTGAGTGGGCATGACAACCCCTTAAGAGGATAGCATCGTCCTTACCTAAAACCGCTGGCAGCTCCTTCCGGGTCAATGTTGGTTGCCCCTTCCATGATGATGGACTGCATCAGCCAAGACCAGTTTGAGCAGTTGCGAACCATGTACGTAAGACGCTGGTGAGTACCTACTTCTCTTTTCATGAATATCGCCTTAAGAGTCGACACTTCACCCATATCGAGGTGAAGTATCGCGTTGATCTTTCTTAACATTCCTTCAAACTGTATGGTAGGACCAAGGAGTCGCTGCTTCTTCATCGTATCGAACTCTCTATGTCACCATACAAGAGACATCACAGTCTTCCTATGTAATTTCGCATCACCATGCCCATTCAAGCTCTTTCCCAGAATACAATTCGCCTATTAGGCTCTCCATTGGTTGTCACTTCCCCGGTGTCGCTTGTTAAGGAGCTGCTCGAGAACTCCATTGACGCTGGAGCTACTTCCGTTGAAATCTTGATTTCGCCAAACACTGTCGACAAGATTGAAGTCAGGGACAATGGAGAGGGCATCTGCTCTGATGATTATGATACCCTGGGTCGCCGAGGCCACACAAGCAAGCTCAGCTCATTTGAGGACTTGCGAACGATAGGTGGTAAATCTTACGGCTTCAGGGGCGAGGCATTAGCCGGTGCCAATGCACTAGGCACTGTTGCCATCACTACGAGGACTTCTCGGGATCGGTTGGCAACCACTCTTCACCTCGTCCCCGGCGACGGCGGTATCGCGAAGCAGCAATCTGCGTCTGCCCCAGTTGGAACAACAGTAAGCGTTGCTGCTTTATTCGCTCGACTGCCCGTCAGAGAACAGCTCGCAATGAAGGAGAGACAGAAGGCGATCATGAAAATCAAGGAACTGTTGCCTTCGTATGCTCTTGCGCGACCAAATCTCCGGATTTCATTTAAGGTGCTGAAAATGGACAGGATGGGCTGGTCATATGCTCCCCGCCCGCAAGCCCGTGTCCAGGAAGCAGTACTCCAAATTTTCGGCTCGGGATTGGCGTCACAATATGTATTTGTGACCAATTCACTGCCTATCGAAAGCTCAGGGAGTGAGGACGGTAGTATCATTGGCGATCTTGAGCTGCGAGCCTTCTTACCCAAGCCGAAAGCGGACCCTTCCAAACTGTCCAAGGGAGCGTACATCTCTGTTGACTCGAGGCCCGTGAATCCTACCAGGGGCACCATGAGGAAACTTGTATCCGCTTTCAAGACGCATTTATCAACAGCTATGGGAGATATTGATAGCACAAAGCCAGTGAGAGACTCCTTCATGCAGCTCGACATTCTGTGTCCTACTGGCTGGTACGATCCGAATGTTGAGCCGTCCAAAGACGATGTCATTTTCAGTGACGAGCGCAAACTTCTAGACGCGTTTAATAGTCTATGCGCCCAAGTATACAGTGAGAAGCAACCAGTGGGCTCATCAAACAAGTTGCAAGACCAGTGTATTAGTAGGCATGTCGGGGCTCATGATAGGACAATGGGGCCAACTTTGCCTCGAGATGCTTCAGAATTAAAAAGCCCGAAACGTACTCCTACTGGTCAGTTCCAGCACACAGGTTCTTCTACGAGACACTCATTGGCTCCAGCAAGAATTACTCCTCCCCCGGTGGACACAACCACGAAGACGTCACCCGGATCCTCAGCACCCCCGCGACATTTGAATCTCCGTTTAGAGGACCTTCGAGTGACTAATAACAGCCCGGAATCTACGCACAAGCCTTCGCGTGGACCGGAAAGGCTTGCTCGCTCGACCATGCTCCAGCCAAACAAGCAGTCTTCGTCGCTGCCCAATCCAGACTCGCGTCAAGCCCTCCAGATATGGACGGTTGACATGTCCGCAGGTCTCGATACGTCATCAGATGAAGACGATGAGCTACTTGCTCAGCATTTCCGCAATCCTAGTACGAGGGAAGATGACGCTGTTGCAGAAAGCTCTGCCAGTACTAAGGAAGCGTTAAACCCATGGACTATTGCTAAAATGGCTGTGTCAGACAACCCTAGACAGCCCGCTCTCCCTAGAAAGATGCCTCCGGTTGTAGACTGCGGGCTTGCCACGTCAAGCACGGCCGAAGATCCCGATCCTGAACTCGAATCTTCCATACTACGGCATCCGGCAGCACCGCCTGGAGATCTGGATTTCCCTCGAAACGAACGCCGCCAGCAGCCATTACAGATCACTGTCCCGGGTGGCCCATATCAGAGCCCTCTCACAAACAGTCATGTTCAGTCTTCTACTCCGCAATCGAGAAAGGCCACATTAGCCTCGGATGTCTTGCAGACGCCTCCACCGTCCTTGGGAACTGAGAGACATAGTAACGGCCGCAGAGAGATTATTGAGGTAGACACAAACTCGTCAAGACAGAGGGACGGATATGTTCAAACATCGTTGTCGTTCGGAGATCCACCCATGCCCGAGAATAGGATTAGCAAAGAACTACCTGCTTTGAGAAACACAGAAGTCGAGGAAGCAGGTTCCCAACCCCTGAAGAGGGGCAACTTCACAAACTTCTCATCTAAATCGGCGAGAAATCGACGCCGGGTATCGAAAAGCCAGCAGACAGATGTCCAAAATCATCAACGTGAAAGCGTAAGCCCCCTTTCCACACGGAATCTTTTACCAAAGGACTTCAACTTTCAACGGCATCTTCGCCCGGCGGCCCCTTACAATACTGGCTATCCAGAAAGTGTAAGCGGTGAAGGGACGGTAGCACAATCAAGTGCAATAGACATACTTGGAAACACTAGTCTACCGGCTGGTGATTCAAGAGCCTACTTGATCAGGAGACAACGGTCGCTAAGCCGAGCTGGGCCATCATTGAGAAAGACACTGACGAGAGCAAAGACGGATCTACTCCCTTTGGAACGTGCTTCACCAGAGCAAGAGACATGCAAATTTATACTTACGATGAGCATCAATGAGCAAGCGTTTTCTGAAACTCCTCATGAGAAGATACCTATCGACAGCCCTCACCACTCTGAACTTGCAGGATGGGGACTTGATAAAACTAGAAGTCTCAACGATGTTGCTACGCTTGAGTTTCGGATCAAAACCATCTGCTCTGAATGGACCGAAAGGCTTTTTGGCAAGAGGACCGACCTCGACATCAATCTACTGACGGCTTTTGAAAGAATCTGATCTACGCTTGAGGAATTATCGATTAAGATTTCCTTGAAATCTCGATTTTCATACTCGCTTTGGCTGTGAAATCTAGGCTTGTACGATTGATGGGCTAGGCGTGGAAAAATTAAACGAACAATGTCTAAATGTTTGAAGGCGTCGCGGATAGCTTGAATTGCTACACGATATGGCACAAGCCGGTATGTCATAACGTTACATTTCGCTGCAATCTTGCTCCGAGATCTCGATGATGCACAAAATTGGGGAAACAAGGAGGCGTTGACGACCCTGGTCATTCGTATTGCCTGAATAGCGTTGCTGAGTACCGAAAGGCATGAAGATCTACAGTGTCCTGAGGGGAAACATTGGGAGATATCTCTGATCGACGCATTCTTTCTAAGGGCGATTTCCTTGAAACAGTACAGCCCCCGGTTACCTGGACGATCATGAACCGAGACGGGAAATCATGACCAGTGGGGATTGCAGGAGTTGTTCATGTAATACATATGAGGTTGTGATTATGTTGCAGTCGCCAAAATCTCCTTGTTCGAGGTCCGACTATGAGTAGGCGGCTCTGTGCAATGTCGTTTTACCTAAGTACCTTAATTAATTCACCCCAGATTCGGCAGGCATTCGCACTAAAGACTGACGATTCAAACCGTGTGAGGCTAGTGAGGCGTGTCCGCTAAAGTAGCTGCAGATGGAGGGAGCGCCACGAGGAGCTCTGACAGGTCAGGCCTTTTTGTGAGCTGGCATGGGCTTGTTTCTTTTTCTTCGTGTTCTGAAAATAGCCACCACGCAGAGCAAAGGGCTGAACAGGAGAGGAGAGGACCCAGAGGGCTCCAGTTCGTATCTCGAAAGGATAACCTGTCGCTGTGCCACCGGCCAACCAACCGGGACCAGTCAAAGGAGGAGATCCACCGCCACGGGGCAGAAGAGACAGCCCACACGCACTCGCAGACTGCAGAACGCGAGTTTCCTGTCTCCGCTGCTTACATTATACATCCATCCATCCCTCCATCCCTCCATCCCTCCATCCATCTTGTTCGAATTATCTGCTCCGGCCTGGCATAGACTGGACTAAGTGTGTATGGCTGGATCGGGTTTCAGTACAAAACGGGGGTCATAAGGCGGTGATGTGCGACGTGACGTGCGCCTGGCCATTGGACCGGGAGCGCTGGCCTCTCGTTCCCAATCTATTCCAAGGCGTTTGCGGGGTCGCTGTCAAATGAAAGCATATGCGTCTGGCAATATCACCGCAGTTAATCACCCAGCATTATCACATCGGGCGGGACCTTGCCTGGCGAGCCTGGGTACGGTACATCACGCAGTACAGCACAGCACAGCACAGCGCAGCACCGTAGAGCACGGTGCAGAGCCCGCCTTAGGGTGGGACTGTGGCTCTGCTGGCATCGCTGGTTCTTTGAACCCATCTTATAGGCGAACCAGACCTTCTTCTCTCGACAAGACTGGCCGATGTGACGCTTTTGTTATGCGCCGAGTCGGGTTCCTGACGTAGGTCTCAGTGAGGATAGCCGGCTCTCACCAAAAATCAGGAAACCGTCGTTGTCCATCTGCCCACACGTATCTCGACACCGTTTACTAGGATACCTTGAGTTGGTAGCTCTCCATACCTGACTGACGTTTTGTCCTGCAGCTATAACAAGAAGGAATTGCACTGAACACGTAGGAAGCACCATTTCCGTTCCGTCTGCGTATGTTGCCGCCCTCGTCCTACTTTACAATGAGACGAGGACGGCCGTCCATCATCAGCTGTGGACTTTCTTCCACACATGTATTTCCTAGGCTTCTCTTCGACCGATCCGTGTGGGTTAGAAACATCGTTCCTCCTTATTGAATCTCTCGTTTGTAGTGAAATAGAACCTCAAAATTGGGCCCCAGGACAGAAGTAAAGAGATAAGCGATTGGCCTAGCCTAGGGGTGCGCCGTCCGTATTTGATTCCTTCGTCAGTTACCAGCAGGCAGCGGACGTCAGTCACTTCAGTTTGCTTGGGCCAGCCCTCTGCGCGCGCCGTGTTGGCCTAAACTTTACCTTAAAGGCAGCACCTCCACCGGGGCCGCCGCCTGTCGACAACCTTTTGCGTTAGCTAAGTCACCTAGCAGGACGTCATCAGAAAATTCATAGACACCGGTTTCAGACGCGAGACGCAATCGGGGCTAGTAGGGAAGTCCAGTCAGTGCTAACACCTGGGCACCAGAGTACCTAGCGAGCCTAGGTATCGACTTATCTAATACGGCACTGCACTGCGCTTGCACTGCCTCCCGCGGCACCTTCCATCCTGTGAACGGCTTCTGGAATTGGTCTGCCCTCCCACGCAATCCTCCCGTCTGTTCTCCCTCAGCAGCCGCCCACGCGATCTCGCGCACTTCACCATCAAACGAACGCAAGAGAGAGGCCTGGATTGAAGTGGACTGCGTGCATTAATCCAAGTCTCGTTTCGTTTGACTCGAAAAGCCCAGTGACCGGACGACAATCGCTATACCACCCAAGATGTTTGCAAATTAGCCGTCCAAGCATCGAGCCTTCCTCTCTTTTCCTTGCGTTGCGTGGAACCGCCTCAACCATGCGGATCGTGGATGCGCCCGTTTTTCGAGTCTCGCCTGCCGCAGAGAGCGACCTGCCTCAATATGTAGCTTCGAGCCGCCGCCATTACCATCACGGGCAGCCGCATGGCAACCAGGTCGCCGATTCGTCTGATGCTCTCATCTCTGATAACGAGGTCATGACATCGGCCAGCTCAACTGACAACCACCACCATCCCGGCACTCTACCCGAGATGACGCCTTCACTTAGACACCGATTGTCTAGCCTCTCGCTCTCCGTATCTCACTCGATGATACTCATTATCGCCTGTCTCCTGCTGCTTCAGCCGGCCTCGGCCGTGCTGATCAAGTTCGAGAATTGCCTGCCCGATTCATACATCTACAATGTCCCCAAACCCCTGCAATGGGTCCCGCTCTACGTCGATGCCGCCTTCGATACCGATAATCCACAGCACAATTTGAAAATAACATTGTGGGGGAATGTGACAGGCTCATGGCTAAACGTGACGCTGCCGCCGTCCACCAGTCCGGACTGGAGCGATCCGACCAAGCTGGACGGAAAGATTCTCGCAGAGCCGGAGCCAGATGTTCCAAACCCAAAGCTTACAACACTTCATAGCAAGGTTGATTTCCTCACATACGAACCCTTCAGCCTAGACACGGATTTCTGCAATACGTCGTTGAAGAACGGGACATGCCCACTTGGTCCCGTATTCAACGAGTCCCTCGTGTAAGTCTACTTGATGGGACTTTTAAGATTTGACGGGGCTGGATACTAACACGGTTCTCAATGCTCTTAGCTACAAACCCACATCTCCGACCGATATGCCATACGGTCTTCCCTGGGTACAAATGACCAATGACTTTTATTCAACTTACGCCTTCACTTCGTTGTCTGCCACTTTCCTCATCAAGTACGGCGATAGCAAGATCACTAATATCGGCTGTGTTTCCACGACTGTCACTCCAGACTTGGGTGGGCTGGGCTGGATGCTGAAGATTTTACCTCTTCTAGTGTTACTCTCTGTTGGATTCGCGACAATTTTTGCCAGCATATTCAGTCCTTGGGGTACAACCGACATCTTCCACTGGACTTCCAACTATGGCCGCGATGGGGACTTGCTACGCTTGGTGACACCCGGCTTTGGCGATTGTCTTCAATATATACAGTTTATCGCTTTAACCGGCGGGCTTACACTCAACTATCCCGGGTTCTACCAGCCGATTGTCAGTCAAGCATCGTGGTCGGCATTAATGTTCAACGAGAGTTTTGTCAGCAAAGCTCCGGAATTTCAGGCCCTCGTTGACGGCATTTACTATACGAATGGGACTTATGGCTTGCAAAATCTCGCGCAGCTTGTAGGCATGGGGCATGTTGAGGATATCTGGGCAGGCATGATGGTCTGGCTCTTGGTCATCATCGCCGCTGTCTTGGTGATTACCCAGATAGGCTTCGGGGCGCAATGGATCTACCGAGCCGTTAAACACATCCCCGAGGAGGATCTTCGAGCCAAGAACCTACCATTCTCAATTGGAAATGTCGTCCGAATTGTTTTCAACTACTTCTTGTTCCCCATTGTGGCTCTGTCGACATTCCAACTTGTCGTCACCGGCGACTCACCAGCTTTCACTGTGGCACTGGCTGTGGTCACCCTGGTAGTTGTGATTGGCTTTGCTGTTTGGCTACTATATCTTATCACAACGACAAAACCTAGGGCGTTCTTGTACGACGATTTGCCGACTGTCTTGCTCTATGGTCCATTGTACAACACCTTCTCAGATGATGCCGCGGCCTTCGCTCTAATCCCTGTACTAATGACCTTCATCAAAGGCATTGCTGTGGGCGCTGTACAGCCGTCAGGCATTCCGCAGGTGGTTCTCCTTGCCATCTGTGAAGTCATCCAGATAATGACCCTCCACGCCTTCCGACCATTCCAGTCCGCGACCAACATGAACGCATACCATAGCCTGTTCTCTGTTCTTCGGCTGATCTCGGTGCTCCTCATGACAGCCTTCATCCCAACTTTGGGGGTGACGGAAGGAACAAAGGGATGGATTGGGTACGTCATCTTGGTTATACATGCCGGCGTCCTGATATTCGGGTTCTTCTTGAACGCACTGCAAACGATCTTCGAGGTTGTGGCTCGCTTGATGGGAGTTGGTGGGGATGATGCTCGAGGCCTTCAACGCGGAGGTTTGTCCAAGATCTTTGGAGCGCGCCAGCTCCAGCGACGCTCGTCTCGTCGTGGAACCCAGTCAAGACAGAGCCAGCTCTCTAGCACAGTGATGCTGGACGCTGATGAGGCTTCTAAATCCGGCTACATCATGCCCGGTGGTCGTCTTAGAAGTGAGTCCGCTGCCAGCATGGGCGTTCTCCTCAACAACCGCCAGAGAAGCTCGTCTGCATTGGACAGTCTTGACATTACACTACCACCTACGCGGCAATTTGAAAGTGGTGCGAGCACCTTTACACCTACTACCCCTGGGGAGGCCAGCACATTCTCCTTCTTGCCATCTCCTGGCGCATCAGCTCGCCATGTTGCCCCGCCTATGGCTGTTACAACAGACACAAACAACGGTGGCGATACCTTCTACCGGCCACCCAGGAGGCGAAGGCCAACAGTCGATGCCATGGCGTCTCCGAGCTCCAAGGTCCGTGGCTCCTGGGGGAGTGAAGTCCTTTCACAACAGAGAAATGCTCGGCCGACGGGCCCACTGAGTGACGCGGGGGACTTAGAGGATGGTCAACAGATTGAACGAGGGGCAACGCCGGCTCCATATGCCAATCCTGACGTGAACCTTACCCCAAGGGCTGACTACTCGACTCGCGAAGTCGATTTCTATTATGGGGTGAGTCGAGGCGAAAGGCTGAACTCTGATGTTCCCCAGAGAAAACTTGGTACAGGGCCAGCCGATCCGACTGGACCGATGGCTTCGGCAGCAGGCTGGTTCAGGAACATGCTGGGTGGCAAGAGCAAAGAGAAAGGCAAGGGCTTCGAAGTTGTGCGGAGTTCGAGAATGCCGCCTGCCATGAAAGCACGCGGAGGTGACTTCGGTGATGAAACGCCACCTGAAGGTATACCAGTAGCCATGGGTGTCTTGCGAAATGGACCTATCGAGTCTGATGACGAGGATGATACAAAGAATAAGTCTCCTCGATCTCCGCACAAGCACCATCCTGGGGAAACCGAGCTGCTAGCTAAAGATGGTTCTCCACAAGATGAGGATGAGGACGATGTTGAGATCGTGAGGGTATCTGATGCTCCCCCTATGCTCCCTGGAATTGACGCAGGAGAGAGCATACATCTACCCAGCCGGATAGCATCCAAGGCGAGCAGAAACCCCTCACAGAAAGGCGAGGGTCGTCTAGAGACAATGTCTCCTATACCTGATTTACCACGGAAGAGCTCGCGACGTAAGTCGGATGCTATCAGTGGTCATTCCCGAGATCCCTCGTTCAATCTCGCTCCTCCTGGATCGGCCGGACTAGGAGGTGAGGGCACAGGGTCCATAAGATCGTCCCGGTTGCCATTCGATAGGAGCAATTCACAAAAGAGAATTTCGTCTGCTTCGTCGATAGGTGCAACCGAGGACTTCTCGCAGATTGATCTTCAAGAACCTCCTGCAAGGCGTGAAGAGCGTCCCACCAGCTATGGATATGTCCAGAAAGGAAGCATTAGCCGAATTGATCCAGAAGCACAACTGGACCTGCTAGGGAGCTCTGCAGAGTTTGTTGATAAGTGATCAACCTGCTATGTTCCTCCGATACGAGGCAATGCATTTTTACAATCCGCCAACTTAACATCCTCACCTCAGTATATTGTTCGACCTCCTACTTTGCCTCCACAGTGTACACGATATATAGAATTTGCGAACCCTCACGCTCTTCAGATGGTTTGCGACTTGGATTGCTTCCAACGCCTTCATTTGTGATGGACTGCCGGGCAACATGGAGCTACGGGGCACTAACGGGCTGTCGATACGGAACATAGGGTCGGCACATATTGATTTTTGATTACTCTTCTACGAGCGATGGCGTATCAAAAGCTGGGAAGACTGTATTGCTCTTCCGAGATGGTCTCACAAGCGGAGCGAATTGAGTTTACATTGCTGTCAATTAATATAGGGACAGAGACACTGGTTCTTCAGGGATAGGACCGGCCGTAGTAGGCCTGGCTGTATATATTTAGGTCGGGTAGATGCTGATAGCTCTAATGATTATGATCACTCTTAAGGTTTTGGAAGCTCATCTATGATTAAGCTCCCTCAAACAAGCTTGATCATGACCGGGAGGTGATGATTGACTTGATTTCTCGATCCGAGTGGTTGCGTCCGTCTTACACCTCACTTCTGAATAGCCGTATCCTTTAGCTAGACACCATGCTTGCATGTAGACTTACTAGGAGAGGCCAGGTCTAACAGATACCTACTCCTAGTAGTTTCGTTTTCTATGCTGTAGTGCGGTGTATTGTAAAGGTCTCTTATGTTAAACATGTGACATCTGGATTGAACTACCGGACTTTCTGCTGCCGTGGTGCTGAGTTTCATATTCTGTAGAGACTTCTACAACAGCAATCATCTCGAAATATGAATACGTATTATAACTTCAGCAGCAGCATGTCCAACTCGCTCTCAAATTCGATTGCTCAGGAAAGATTTGCCAGAGCTATTTAGAAACCTTGTTGAAGCCTTTCATGCACGAAGTCCACACTGGAGCAACGATGCACCAATCTTATGTTGCAAACCCAAAAATTGTTGACAACAAATTCCTCTTGCTCGAAGAACAGGTTTTTACAAGCACGTTTAAGTTCCTTCCACAGGCTATCCGTCAATTCAACCTCTGGGTGTGCCCACATATCCATTCCCCCCCCCCGTTTCCAACTACTTCGGAAACGACTCGCGGGGAATCTTAGCGTTGAGAATACTAGAACAGTCACAAAAACTGAGCGGCATTCTCGAGATGGCTTTTCAGACACCGGGAGATGAAGTACAAAGCTCGTGCGATCGCTGCCCTACAAACCTCTCTTTCCTTGTCAACAGCAACGTGGCTACATTGAGAGCCTGGCATGACTTCGGATCGCATGGCTCATCTCTTGATCTGAGTTGGAGGATCCATGTGCGTGATAGCGAGAATACGTCCAAACGGGGCCCTTCGGTTGATCATCGTCCCGGGGCTATTCGTGGTCTTTATAGCGAGGAAGGACTTTAAAAAGACACGGACCAGGAAGCTGCCTATGCATACCTATGACAGATCCTCACATTCCATACCTAGGTACTTATGGGCATCAATAATCATGATTCTTTTCACATTAACACATCATAAGCACTGACCATTTCTTTGCCTTTCGGATGCTTAGTTAGTCTGCTCAATCATGAAATAGCTTATCGAAGCTGGAGATCTGAAGCATGATGCGTGTTCTCATAATTTCGCCCCAAACATTTCCACGTGATACAGTCACTGCCTATCATGGTGTCTATATATCTGGTGTTGAGGTTGATTTCCAGAAGCTGTCGGGATCCAGCATCAAGCACTGGCCATGTGGGGGCCAGGTAGTCTACCTAGGTAGTCTTATCCGACCTTATCCTTATCGATCGCGCTGATAAGAAAAATTTCCAGACTTGCACCCTCAATCAGATCGCTTGAGGCTTCCCACTTTCTACAACACATTATTCCCATAATATCGCGATGGCACCCACAAGACCAAGTAAGAAAATAAAACAGAAGAACCGCGGCTCCCAAGCTAGGAAAGCTTCAGGGCCGCTCAGATCGCCCAAACAACTACTACAAGATGCCATCGCAAAGCTCGAGCAGGGCGACGCTCTAGCAGCTGCGGCGCTCGCCAAGGATGCCCTCACAGCCACTGGTGAGGACGGTGACAGAGCAGGTGCGGCATGTGCGCTCCTCGGTGAAATCTACGTCGAGCTCGGCGAGATTGAAAAGGCCCGCAGCTTCTTCCTGCGCGCGGCCGAGGTAGACAAGGAGGGCACGCTGCCCGAGGAGCTGGGCGGCGGGCCGGAGAAGTTCCTGTGGCTAGCCCAATTGTCCGAGGACGGCGGGCAAGACTCGGTGTCGTGGTTCGAGAGGGGCACGGCGGCGCTGCGGCACCAGATCCAGGCGGCGACGGAGGCGCTCGCGGAGACGAGGCGCAAGGGCGGGCCGAAGTCGGTTGAGGAGGCGCTGGGCGCGCGCGAGGACGAGAAGAAGCGCAAGCTGGCGGAGACACTGTGCGCCGTCGCCGAGGTGTACATGACGGACCTGAGCTGGGAGGCCGACGCCGAGGCGCGCTGCGAGGCGCTCGTCACCGAGGCGACAATGGTGGCGCCCGAGCTGCCCGATGCGTGGCAGACCGTCGCCAATGTGCGCATCAGCCAGACCAAGGTGGACGAAGCAAAGGCCGCGCTGGAGCGCAGTCTGGCGCTATGGGAGGACCTTCCGCCTGAGCACCCTAGCGTACCGGCGTTTGCGACCAGGGTGGGACTGGTGAGATTGCTGCTCGAGGTGGAGGACGAGGATAAGGCTATCGAGGTCGTCGAGAGGCTGCTTGCTGAGGACGACGAGAGTGTTGAGGCGTGGTATCTTGGCGGTCTGGGTCTATTCACGACAGGCGAGAAGGCGAAAGCGAAGGACGTCGGCGACAAATGGAAGAGCCATTGGAGAGCGGCGAGACAGTCACTAAATCAATGCCTGCGCCTGTTTCAACTCCAAGAATACGAGGATGACAGGCTAGGAGATCATGCGAAGGAGCTTCTCGAGTCCATTGCAAAAGAGCTGGGTCCGGCACCTGCTGATGGAGAAGAAGATGATGATGGTTGGGAAGACACAGATGGAGATGAGGATGATGAGGACGAAGATATGGAAGACTGATGCAGACATTCTGCTACCTTCCCAACATTCGTCGGTATCAATGATTGTGATGGTTCAGGGGCATTCACCGGAGTTTGGTTCGGAAAAATGGTTCATATTTTAGGTCCTCATGATCCCACAAATGTGCCAAATGGCTTACAGGTAATATAGACAAGACATGTCCAAGCGTCTTTCCATAACGCCGCGCAATGCGATGATGTAACAAAGCCTTGTGAAGAGCCTACAACTGCTCTGCAATTCAAGGTGTTTAAGCAGCAACCTTGAGCTTTCCCACATCCTCCACCAAACCCTCTTCCCCTTCCTCTTCTTCCCCTCCTGTAGCGAGACCTCTCTCCCATAGTTGCCGCCCAGTAAGTCGTGTGGGCTCCTTGATCTTGGCCTTCTTCAACTCTGCGAGGCGCTCCTCCTCCTCGCGCTGGCGTTGCTCTTCCATCTCTTTTATGAAATCCTCGCGCCACTTCAAGAACGTCTCAGGGTTTACTGGTGTACCGTGAAACTTCTTGTTCTCCTCGCGCTCTGCGGCTAGCAGGGCCTCCTCATGCACCCGCGCAGCTGCCTCCCTGCGCCGTACAACTAGCTGTTCAGCCTCTTCCTTCAGAGTTGTGACTAAGGTAAACACCATTGCCATGCCGAGGTTCTCCTCGATTGTTGCCGTCAGGCCGGACAGTAGCTCGTCCTTGTCTTCGGAGATGTTGAATAGAGGATGGGAGGCGCTATTCTGCGCTGCTGAGAGGTCCAGGTGCGGTGCCTTATCTGGGTAGTCTTCCGGATAGCGCACGGTTAGAAGCATTGTGGGAGCTTCCTCGGACTCTTCGTCATCGGGGATATCGAGGGTGATTGATATGTGATACTCCGTCTCTGAGATGTCTGAATCTGATGTTAGCATTGCGCTGTGAGATTCGCTGGTAAGGTTAATCACCTGTGATTTCATCGGGAAAGATGGAGTCGAGAACCTCCCGCTCCTCTATCTGCTCTTCTCTGCCCATTTTGCATGCACTATAAATCTGCGTTCTAAGTTGACTCGGATCAGATCGTTTTCTCAGGTTGGTCCTCTTGAGCCAGCGAAATGCAGTTGAGAACCCTGGCGCCTATCACCATGTGCGGGACAGTGAATCACTTAGTGGGATGGTGGGGTATCCATGGATATCAGCGGGCGCTCTCCAGAGCCAATGGAAGCAGTCCCGGCTGGAGCATGCTAACTTCACCGCCTAAAAGTGCATGGGCAGAATTTTTAGAGAGAAACTTTTCTTTGGCAAGTACAGTCCGTATCTTTTGCTGTATCGCACTCTACCAACACCAAGCCAATTGTTGCGCCAGCTCTGCCACAACGACACCGCGCAACACTCGCAACATGGCTACCAAAGGTGCAAAAGTCGGCGACAAGAGGAAAGCCTCGGCTGTTCATCATAATGGAACAGACAAGCGCGTGAAAAAGGCTGCTTTTGAACCCAAGAGAAAGCCATTTGAGGAAGCGGACGGCTCCGACGAGGCCAACGACTTCGAAAGCTTTTCTGATGAGGAAGATGGCGGCGCGAAGCTGAACGATAACAAGGCTGGGCAGAAGGATTATAAGAAGAATGACAAGTTCGAGGCCAATGGCAAATCCCAGGCAGACAATGGAAAGACATTCGAGCGAGGTTTGATTAATTTTCACTTCCTACATGCAATCTTGTAATAACAGTCTTTCAGGTCAAAATTCTAGAGAATCACATATCAAGCAGAAGCAATTGGCTCAGGAACGGAAAGCTGCCAAACCTCTCGCCGACGAACTCCATCGAACAAAGAAGCTCTGGGAGAGACTGCGACGAAAGTCCCATGTCCCCAAAGAGGAGAGGCAGAAGCTTGTAGACGAGCTATTTGAGATTATCACGGGAAGGATCAAGGACTTTGTCTTGAAGCACGATGCTGTTCGAGCTGTGCAGACAGCGATCAAATACTCCACCCCGATTCAGCGCAAGCAGATTGCGAAGGAACTGTCAGGCACATATGCGCAGCTCGCCGAGAGCAGATATGCAAAGTTTCTGATTGGCAAGCTTCTCGTCCAAAACGACGATGAAATCCGAGATTTGATTGTTCCTGAATTTTACGGCAAGGTACGAAAGCTCATCAACCATCCAGAGGCATCTTGGATTCTGGACGACATATATCGAGGTGTGGCTACCAAGGAGCAGAAGGCCAAGCTTCTGAGAGAATGGTACGGACCGGAATTTGCATTGTTCAAGGATAGTGGTGACGGCGAAGTTACCGGTGAGCTTTCAAAAATACTTGAAGCCGAACCTGGGAAACGTGGACCGATCATGAAGTACCTCATCGATATGGTCAACCAGCTGGTGCAGAAGAAGTTGACTGGCTTCACAATATTGCACGATGCCATGTTGCAGTACTACCTCAATGTCAAGCCTGAAACTGAGGAACACAAAGAGTTCCTTGAGATGATCAAGGAGGACGAAGGCGGCGACCTACTCAAGAATATGGCATTTACAAAGTCAGGTGCTAGGTTGTCATGCCTGTTGTTGGCATATGGCTCAGCGAAGGACCGAAAGCAAATCCTGAAGACCTACAAAGACACGTTCCAACTCATGTGTGGGGATCCTTACGGGCATGTGGTTATCCTCACAGCGTACGATGTTATTGATGATACCGTCTTGTCATCGAAGGCCATCTTTCCAGAGATCTTGGGCAAAAATGATCAGAAGGAAGTCGAAAACGTCATATTTTGCGCCAATGACCCCTTCGCACGAACAACTATCAGGTACCTCTTCGAAGGACTATCAAAAACACTGTTCCCCCCAAATCTCTCCTCAGACCTGGAGATCTTGAAGGAAGTCCACGAGATTCGTAAGACAACAAGCAAGAAGGACGCAGAGACTAGACGCAAAGAGCTTGTTACCGCTCTGTCGCCTCAACTTCTTGCTGCTATCGCAGCGTCTCCAAATGAGCTTGTCTCTAGCTCCTTTGGCTGTCAACTAGTGACAGATGTTTTGTTGGACGCTGTTGGTGACAAAACAGCTGCCCTGGACGCAATTGCGGCCACAGCTGCAGGCAACCCACAACCAGAAGACTCTAAGGAAACTTACCCCCCACCTATGCCCCATATCTCACAAACGCCACATGGAGGACGAATGTTCAAGACTCTGATTCAGGGAGGTCGATTTGACAGAGAGTCAGGTCAGGTAAAACCTGTAGACCCACCTCTTAACTTTGCAAACATCCTTTATCCTGTGATTAAGGATCATATTGTTGCATGGGCGACTGGATCCAGTTCATTCGTCGCACTTGCGTTGTTGGAGTCAAAGTCCTTTTCTGAGACGGAGGAGTTGAGGGGAAACCTACGCAAGAACAAGAAGGCCCTAAAGAAAGCTGCAAGTGAAGAGACAGCAGAACAAAAGGCGAAACGGGAGGCCACAGAACAAGCAGATGCGACTAAGAAAACCTCAGGCAAGGGGAAGAAATCTGCTGGAAAGCAGGAGAGAGCTGTTGGGAACCAAGGATCGAAGTTGCTCCTTGAGAAAATTTGAATTTAAAGCAGGCATTACGAGGCAGACGGTCCCATCATTCACGATTCTTCAACATGTTATACTGGCGAATACATGTTTATAGATTAAGCTGAAATAACATTGCCGCCAATTACAGGCCAAAACTAGTAGCGATTGATCATTGATCGGGTTGTCTCATGTGCCGTAAACTCCTTCATGTCTTGAGGTGTCAGAAGATTCGTATGCTGAGCAGGTCTAGGGAAGTTGAAGAGTCTTAAATACAACTAGCCATATTTGAAGGTTTCTTGAGCCACAAGTTGACTCTCTGAAACGTCACCTATCCTGCAAAGATAAGGATCATTAAGCAGCATGAGAGATGTGTAGATCTGGAAAGTGCACGGCCTCAGGGGTAGTAGCCGATCTATGCGAACCACTATGTATTGCTAAAGGTTGGCAAGTTGCACGAGATTTGACTACCGGACCCGGTCATGAGTAGCACACCACACTGTTCACGACCGTGACGATCGGCTATTATTTTAAGACGTGTTGTTAGTGCTTTGGTCAAGATTGGAACCTAAGCCAGTCGGCACCCATGGCATAAGTCTGTTTGAGGCAATGCTGAGCTGCATGGTAGATCAATATGCGGCTCTGCGACACGCACCTGCAGAGTTGATTGGGCAACAGGTCTGAGATCTGATCCGGCTATATGGGCATTTAGCATGTGGCATCCTACATCTGCTTGCGCTCTGTGCGGGCTACCGAGATCAGAAATGATACATTTCAGAAGGTCCAATGATGTTGCAACCCGCGGCTACATACTTGCAACTGACAACTGTAGCAGCTCCTTGGCTACACCCTCAGACCTGAATCGTGAACGGCACAGATACAGACCAGCTTGCGGCAATGGTGTCTAGGCTTTTGATGCGTTCGGCCGTAATAGTATCATCTTTCTTTCACGAATCATTGGCGGCTCTGGCTGAGCAAACGGTGCTTAATATGAGCATCTCTCCACCATGTCTCTTGATTTCTTTCATTGCATTCATGGGACGAACTAAGACCTATTTTACATGGTTCTGTTCTTTCACAAGCGGTGGAAATGTGCATGTCCGAACAGACTGTGATGTTTGGTCTCAGTCGTCCTTTGGTTGGTCGTACCTCTTGAGAAGGTCAGCAAGCATTTTGGCAGTTTGTTCAGGAAACACTTCGTATTTGTATAATATATTTTTCCTCCGGAGGCCGGGTCTTGTCAACTACTCATTCAATTGCTATTGCAGGCTCGGGCCATCGAAATCATCCTGCATCGCGGACCACGTTCTTTCGTTTGCTGGTTTACCTGATTTTAACTATGGCCAACGCCAGGATCTACGTTGACTGTCCCCCAGGCTTTTGGATGTACAAGTGCGCTGCAATTGGTCTCGAGGCATGTTGCTCTGTTGATGCTTGTCAACTGGGTGGGTGCCCAGTTAATGCTCAACCATCTTCGACACCTGGTCAGCAATGGGGAGCTGTTACTTCGTCCACCTCTACGCCAAATAAGGTCGCAGATCCAACATCGACTCAAGGCGTCGCTGTGTATTCTGTCCCAAGTTTGGAGGAGGTAGAGGCACAAACGACCAGGACAAAATGGGTTACTGTCCCATCTACGACTCTCACTGCTTGGGTTACTGCGACAGAATCAAGCTATCCCGGCGCCACTGATGCTGTTGCCGGTGCTGCTCCTATTCTGCCGTCGCAGCCAGCCTCGCCAACTCCATTGGCTATTTCCAATGGTGCCAAATCCCTCCAGCCGGGTGCAGTCGCCGGTATCTCTGTCGAGCTCGCAATTGGGCTTGTCTTGTTTGCCGTCTTGACGTGCGCCTTGTATTGTGGACGCAACGATCAGGTTCATGGGCAACGAAACCCCCCGAAGGACTTAACTGATGCTAAGACCTACCACGATTTGGAAAAGCTTTCAGTCGGCGGCAACATCTGGCCGCAAGTATCGCCCAGATCTAGAACACATCGCGAGGCAATGGAACAAACCAAGTTGAAACGCCTCATGAAAAATAATCCCAAGATCGTGGTCGAGCGGTCACTATTGGAAGGAATGAGGGGGCCGCTTGTTGTTGCTGCACTTGCAGGTACGTCTTGATGCATTACCATGGCAATATACTTCCCTCCTTTGACTCTTGGTACCTCGATTGACACGCTATATTCCCTCATCTAGAGCGAAACGATAAGCTATCCCTTTCACCTGGTAACATTGTTGAACAGAACCCCGTGTTTCGCTCGCCATCTATCTACAACAGCCCGGCCGTCAGCCCCCTATCAATTTACTCGCATGCCAGCAATGGTGAAATTTCACAGCTCGATTCATCTCCCCTGGAACCTGAGTTCAAGCTCGAAAGGGTTCCTTCCATAAGACCAGGGTATGCGGAACTCGAATCTCCAAACATGCCTTTCTTCAAGCTCAGCCCTCCACCCCGCAGGTCCGAGAGGCCATATTATTCTGATCGCAATAGCTTTATTGCAACTCCCAGCAGCTGTTACTCTTCTCCGGCATCGAGTCCTTCCCTAGATACACCGCTCATAGAGCACCCAAGAGCGACCTTGAGTCCAACTGCTGCGGAGAGAGCGTGGAAGATCCCTGTAAATAGCTGGGCCACATACAAGGGATAGGAGGATGTAATGTTTGCCTGTACTTGTCCTTTGAGCACGCTACTTGACGTCAATGGCTTTGGAATGACGGATAGTCTAAAAGAACCTCTAGTAGGATCGAGGGTTTGGAGTTTGGCGCTGAGTGAAATAAACTGCATTGGGTGGTGTACGATAATCAGAATCACAACAGAAGCAACAAACACCTTGTTGTTAAAATTTGCTTGACTTTCTTTTGGTCGCCTCAGGGGTATTCAAGTAAAGAAACCGTTACCTTTCCAGACGCCGAACCGGTAATGCACCTTTCTCCTCTCTCGTCCTCCAAAACATTTTGATACTCATTCTGCATAAACCCCGTTCCCTGACCACTGATGCTCAACCTAGGGCTTTTCTTTTTTGTTTCTCGTTGCCGCCGTTTTGTGTCTATATACTGTCTAATCGCTGGATGATAGAAGATAAATGCAGCCTATGAGGCTCAACCCTGGAGCTTGCCCATTTGGTCGAGCAGCTCCTGCAGATCTTCGTCTGTGATCTTGTCCGCAATGGAAGGTATGAGGGTCTTCGCTTCTTCTGCACTGTCACAGCAGAGAGATCCTATATTTGAATTCGCGGTCAGCGATTGTTATCTTGGACAACCAGTTCTCATCAACCTGGCAGAGCCAGGACAATGCGCATGCTCATTTTCATCCGTACCTATCTGAGCTCTCTCGAACTTTGTCAATTGCTTGTGACTGCTCAGCAGACGCTCTACGGCTTCGACATTTTCCTTCTGCTTGAAGCGGGCAAAGGCGTCCAGGTAGTCGAGCGTTTGGTTGAGAATGTCGGTGTTGTTCTGGTGCCGTCGCATCTCGGCGCGCCGTTTGGCCAGTAGGGCGTTGATGACGAGCGACGCCTCCGACAACGTCAATGTATCGACATCCTGGAACTCTCCCAGCTTGAGGGTCGTCCCTGCTTCCTCTTCCGTCGGCGGCGGCGGCTTAGGCCGCGACGTCGGTTGGTGAGGGCGGGACATGGCGGTGGTAGATCGCGACAGGAGAGCTGTATGTCCGAGATAGAGCTCTGTTCACAGGGTGAGATGTGGAATCGCGGAATGGGTGTGGACGGTCGCTGGTACTGCGCAGTCGCACAGAGCCGATTTGAAGAGTGGAAGCCCAACTTCAAGTCGCAAGTCGCCGAGAAGCCCTGGAAGCGATGTCGATGAGGCTCTTTGTTCTTTGGGGAATGAAGGGTGGGACCGATTCAGCCTCAAGTCGGTGCTGGAAATTTAGGCGGCGCTCACTGAACGAATCGCGCCTCAGGCACCAGGAGCCGCTAGTGGAGGAGACCCCCACCATGGGCCTTTGGGTAGCATCCCCTATCAAAAGGTAAGCGATCTGAGTTACTCTTATGTGAAGGTGGCATCTGGCCCAAGTTTATTGAGTGAGAACAAGGCAACAAACATTCCTCAAATCACAAGGCGAACTCATTCTGCTAGAGTCAACATCGAAAAGGCAGTATCTGGACTTGCGGAGCGTTGGCACGATTATCCAACCGTCAAGGTCTTGCGGCCGTTGTTTTTGAATGAAGCATTTCATTGACGGATTTGGTCTCCCACCGCCAGAATGTAAGTGCATATACATTTGGTCAATCGAGATATGTGTCCTGACACGGAATAGGACTGTATTTGCTCTCATGATCATCAACAAGGCCGGAGGTCTCATTTACAACCGGACTTTTCAGGATGGTGGTCTCAACAAGCTATCGTCAAACGACTATCTGGTGCTTGCTGGTACATTTCATGGTGTCCATGCCATAACCACCAGGTTAAATCCCGTCAAGAGCTCTCAATCAACGGCGGCGGCAAACGCCAGCGGTATCCCTAGCCGGCCAGAGCCGCCTTCCGGGCTTGAAGTGATGGAGACGGAGAACTTTCGGCTGCAATGCTTCAACACTATGACGGGCATCAAGTTCCTAGTGTTCACCGACACCACACAAGCGAACGTGGATGTGACGACACGGCGCATCTATGAGCTATACTCAGACTATGTCATGAAGAACCCTTTCTATCAATTAGAAATGCCGATCAGATGTGAGATTTTTGACAGGAAACTGACGAGCTATGTCCGGGAAATCAATAACAGGTAGAGATACAGCAAAGCTGGTCTGAGTCTGGGCTTCAGGAGAGTGTTTAGGTTCATTTTCTCACGATATCTGCATGACATGAAGGCGTTGGTGGAATTTTAGCGTGGATTCACCTTCTCATCGATAGATGAGATATCTAAAGGTTTCAAATGAAAGGCCTTGATGGGTGCTCTCAATTCACCGGTCTATTGTATAATTACAGTGTGCTACCTATCCGCTTTCGAGTTTCCGAGTGGCCAGGGATAACCAATGACTATGAGATGTCCATCTTATCAGTCCCGCTAGACTTGTCTCCCTTATCATCATCCTTCTCCTCCTTCACGCCGCTACCACTGGCTTCTCCATCTTTATCCAACAGCGGAGCTGACTCGTCCTCTTCCTTGACAGAGTCTAGTGACGCCTTCTTGGCGGCCTCGGCCTCCTCCCTGGCTTTCTTCTCTTGTCTTGCCTTCTCTTCTTCCATAGACATGCGAAGAGCGAGTGCCAACTCCGGATCGACGGATGGGTCGAAACCGAATTCGCCAAAGTCTCCATCGCCTCCGCCCATGCCGCCGCCCATGCCGGAGCTGCTGGCAGCATTCTCGCCAAGCAAAATCGGGGTAGAAATTAGCTGGTCGCTTAGAAGCTTGCCAGATGGTGGGATAACAACGAAATGCGAACCCTCCCCGCTCTTGACGGCCTCATTGAACTTCTCGAGTTTCTTGTGTGTTGCGTCGTCGTCAAGCTCGCCGAATAGGATGAAGTCGACCGATGTGTTAACCTTCTTCAGCTTCTTTGCCAGCTGGACGAGTGTTTTCTCGTCATCCTCGACCGGAGAACACACAAAGACAATGATCCGTTGCCTTTGGGTTTTGTTCTGTCGATGCTTGAGTGCGAGCTAGAGGGCAAAGAGTTAGCATGCTGTTGAGAAATTGAAAATATCACCACAGGCCAACGTACACTTGCGACCTGAATGCCAGTTGCCAGATGGGATGAACCTCGGATCTTCTTCTTTGTTCGGTGCAGGCCCTCCAGGATCTTGCCTTGATCTGTCGTCAGGGTTACCAGTACCTCCGGTCCCTTGCCACCCATGCTCATCAGGCCGACGGATGATTCTGGATTTCCTTGTGTAATGGTCTGGAAAATGATGTTGACAGCATCCGCTTGGGACTCGAATCTCGTCGGTGCATAATCTCCATTTCGACTGCTCTCGCTGTTGTCCACAACGACCATCACCGCCTCGAGAACCATCTTGACACTTTGGTGGACTCTTTGCCGAATGTAGGTAAGATTATTTGAAAGAAGAAGTGTGATACTGTTCGCGGGATGTCTTCTGGACTCGGAGAGGTAGATGGCGGATGGTGTTTGCGAGATGAGGTAACGGAGCTGTAGTTTGGAGTGTGCAGGTGGTGGAGGAAGGTGACAAGGCAAGCTCCAATTCGTAAGGCGGTTCAGCCTGCGCAGGTGGTAGCTGCGCCAGGGGCGGGTACTTGACTGGACTCAGAAAATAGGTGGGAGTAGAGGTACCGTGGCACCTGGTGTGTGATAAGCGCACCCCCTGGCAGCTTTAGCGAGCCTGGGATGTGGGTACGCTGGGTACGCCCGCAGCTCCCCCAGCTTTGTTTACTTTCGAAAACACAACCTACGTTATCCCGACTTCCACATTGATTCCGCACCATACCAAACCACAATCTCGCACCAACTCCCTGAACAGTGCTGTTTGATGTCGATTGTCTTCGCATACGATAACCTGACTTTTACCTCAACGCACACGTCCTTGCAACCAAAATGTCTGCTCCACGAGGAAGGAAACGCAAGTCTGACCAGTCAACGACATCAACGGCAGACAACCATAACATGACGGTTCCCACCAAGACAGGAAGCCCAACAGAGGAAAGCCCTCGAAAGCGGAGGAAAATTGGAATTACCCTTACTCAAAAACAGGCTCTTATCGACAACCTTCAGCTAGAGAGTACGTGAAGTGTACAGCCTCTGCAAGTCCAGTCATATACTAACGTGCGCGTTAATAGTTACGGAACGTGCCCGAAAGCTTCGTGCTCAATATAATCTCCAGGCACAAGGTCTACGGACGCGCATAGAGATACGCGTCAATCGCATACCGATGGCTCTTCGGAAGGCGAAGATGGCCGATCTACTCCAAAAGCACTCAGATGACCGGAAGCAGAAGCCAGCGGCGCCGTTGTATGCAGCACCTCTCAACGCGAGACCGCCACCGGTCCCTGAGAAGGATGCTCATATGACGCGTCCGCTGTCACAGCGATCTGCCCCTCCTGTGAAAGCGCCAGCAACGCGTCCAGGACCGGGCCGACCACCCAAGAGAACGAGGTGCGTGTGGTGTATATCGCTTGAGCAAGATGATGGACTAACAAGATTGCTCAGTGATGAGTTGGGAGACACCAACAAGGAGAATGAGATTGAGCATATTGGGCCGAAGAAGCGCCTCCGCGGCCACCCGGGTCCAGAAGCTGCCCCTAATCCGTCACAGGTTTTGTCGCCTCAGTCCTCTAATACCCGTGTGCTTCCACGCGATCGAGCTCCTCCTTCACCGGCCAAGTCGATGATTGCCCGACCAGTGTCGCCGACCAAGCAGAATAGTGCGACGAACATTATCAGCAACATGGTCGAGAAGGCACGGTCAACCCGTGCTGCCGCTACAACGCGAAAGACGACTACATCGTCCACAGCGAGCTCCGCAGCTGGCAACACTACAGCTGCCACGCGTGCAAGGAGAGGGGCGGCGGCAGCTCCATCCACTACCACACGAACGGCTACCACGCGGACCGCAAAGAGAGTTAGCGGCATCAGTGAGTCTAGCGATGGGAGCACATCAACTGTTGTGAGGAAACCGACAGGACGAGCAGCAGCGGCCACCAAGTCTACCACATCAGCTCCAGCCACGAAGAGGACTGTCATGAGCACCATTCGGAAGGGGGTCACAGGAGCAACTACGAAGAAGGCTCCGGCGGCAAAGGCAACAGCCCCCGCTTCAACAGCCACAGGGAGGGTTCTAAGGAAGAGAAACTAGAATGACAGGAGTTTTATTTTTGGTAAGGGGAATTGGCGTTCCGGTATTGTCATAGCATATGTTTTGAGGATCACGGGTTGTCTAGGATATTTGTCCGAGAGTCACCGCCACGAATTGAGTATATATTGTGTCCAAGATCATGTCGCTTAGCCTGCTGCTGCTGCTGCGGCGGCGGCGGCTGCCTTCTTCTTTGCCTTGTCATCTATGAACTCGATGTTGTCCTCGGGTATCTGCTTGTACTTCTCCAGTAGAAACTCTTCAATCTCGTCACTTACGTCACCCTGGACGACGATTTCTTCGCCGCCACTGGCCACTTTCGTGACAGATGAGCCCGTGGCGAACTTCTTGCCAAACTCCTTCGCAACCTGCATGATACGGTGTCAGTGATGTCATGCCCTTGCGCCTCACTCTAGGGATAAAATTATGGGCTTGACTGACCTTCTTCAGATCTAGGTCGAACGCCTCCAAGCCGGACACGGCCGTCACGAACTTCTTCTTGTTTCTCTCGATGCGCTTGATGATGACGGTGCTATGTGCGCGCTTGTCGGCCTGCTTGGCCTCGGCGGCCTCGGCTTTTGCGGTCTTCTTCTGAGCATCCTTCTCGGCGCGCTTCTGGGCTTCCACGGACAGCGAGGCAGTCGCGGCTGCTAAGGCTTCTGTGACGAGGGAAGAGCGTGTCAGAGGTCGGTTCAAGCTGGACAGGAAGGGAGAGAGTCCATACCAGGCGACCATATCCTGGCGTACATGGCAGGGTGGTTCTTTTCTAGCCAGTCCTGGCATTTCTTGACGGTGCCGCCATACTCGCAGTACTATTTGCTCGTGTTACTTCTGGTGTCCTGGGAAGCAGGAAATGAGAAAGGGCTCGATCGCCATTGTTCGTACCTCGGGCGGCAGGGTGCACACTGAGGAACAGAAGGGTTAGCAATCTCCAGAGTGAACTGTGGTCCAGTGTTGGACTGAGACGTACCGCCACAGTATGTGACATGACGAGCCTGGGGCTCGATGGAAGCCGAGGATTCGGCGTCAGCCATTGTACAGAGGAAGAAGGTTGGCAGGCAAGATCTGGTGAGTGTGTGACTGAGAAGACCCCTGGATGTCTGAAGTAACGCTGGGAGAGCAACGTGTAAGTCCTCAATACAATGGTATGTAGCTCTCTTCGTAGGAGGAGGTGGGTATGCTTAAGGTACAGCTTGAGTTTGTTGATTTTCACAAGCAGACAGACGACTGCGGGGTTGAATGTTTGGCAATGGAGGGGCAATTGGCATTGATGGATGCAGGCAGGCATGCATTGAGCCTGGAGGGGCTGTGCAGTTGCTGCCGGTGGCTCCCGGCTGCGTGCGTGTGAGGTCACTGAGGTGTGCTGACCCCTCCGAAAAGCTCCTTGCCTGAGGCCCAAAAGGCGGCCGTGTGGTTAGCTTTTTGGGCCTGCTACCAGCCGAGTAGCAGCTAACTGTGGCTACCGGCCAGCCAAGTCCTCAGCGCTTCCACCCATCTCACGTTTCAAGCTTTAGCACATTCAGATCTCGGCTTTTACTAGAAGAACCTCAGGTGGCTCATCACGGCGCCTGGAAAACGCGACGATGTGATGAGACGACAGTGATACTGAAACTCTCGGCATATTCACGCTTGTCATCTCCTTCGTGATTGATCCTTGGGGTGCTCAGCCCTGTCGATAGCATGACGTGCCTTGTGGGACGATCAAGTGATGGGTCCTCGGATACCGCCCGTCACAACGCGCTTGCTTGGAGGGTTCACATTCAGGCACCGCTCCGCTCATCACAGATGGCCCCCGAGGCCCCCAAGCCATTCTTACCGAGAAAGGGGACACGGCGCTCAGCAGTGGACCGGATGCGGCAACAGGTCTGCCGCATTGAGGCAGTCCTGCCAGGTGAAAAGCGACCATCGACCCGGATCATCAGGTAGGGCGCGAGGGTGGATCGATATTCGGCATATTGCCGTCCCATATATCGCCAGGCTAATGAGCCATAGAGTCCCATATAGCATGACTCTTGCTAGTTCTATCTCATTATCTTCCTCTCCCAAGGCTCAGTTTCCTCGTCTTGTCGATGTTCCGCATTGGACGGCCATTTTGCCGACCTCCTATGGCGTCCAATGACAGGCCGTGCTGGACAGTCGATGTCTGCAAGTTAAGCGCCGAAGCCAGCGCTGACCCGACACCGTGGACTACCATTGGGTAGGCAGTCTGCACTCTTTTCCAGATCGAGAGTTAATGCCAGGTCGAGTTGGCGCGCGCCAGCCAGTCGTGTGGACAAAGTCGTCTTGTTGGCTTTAATTAATGATCCTCCTGTAGGTGCTGATTGGCCGTTTGCGATTACCTTGTCACCCTCCTGCCGGATGGTTGAGCATCGCGAGAGCCCCCAGGCGGACGCAGTCGATAGTTCCCTCGCTCCTCTGGGCGCTGCTGCAGGCGATTGCATGCTTCTTACCGGGCATCGAGCCAGGGTGCAACGGGTAAGGATGCTCGTCTGTCCAATGTTGGGCCATGCGACCTGCGGACCTCGCAGATCTAGTCACATTCCCTTTACCATTTCGGCCGAGGGAACAGCCAGTTCACCCTGCTAGCCGCCCCCATGCTGCGAGAGGCAGGCGAGTGCTAGTCACATCGTGGCCGCGGATGAGTTGGCCGCGCCTCCATACGACGACTAATAAACCTACTTCCCTTCCCCGGTCGTCTTGAACGGTCTGGTCCCTCCTTTTCCCTCTCTGTTGCCTTCCCCACGCCTCCTGCGCTTTTGCAAGAATAGATAGCTTCGCTGTGCGAAGCATTCCTATCGTTTAACACACTGCTACTGTTTTCCTAGTATTGCTATTCTACGACGCAGGACGTCACTTTCAGTCTAACGAGGCTACGTCTATCTTGCCGAAGGATGACTACCCCCAATACGACGGCTTTTTAAAACAGACGATCGGTATCATTTCGAGAAAAGAAAGAAGGAGAGAGAGAAAATGGCTGAACTAGCTATGCTGCAACAAGGGGCATATCAAGCACCCGCTCCCTCCCCTCCGCAGGGCCGGAGATCGGGACGGGCTGCGCTTAATACGATAATCGAGGAGGATGAGAACACCATGTCGCCAATACGGTCACCCATGAAGAGGAGAGGGGCAAAGAGAGTATCGAGAGACAGAGATAGGCTGCAGGCTTGGTTGTCGCCCGTGAATGATGCCTTTCCGACACCGAGAGGCTTCCACTTTATGGTAGCTCCAAACCTACCATCATCACCTTCAGCGGCGTCAGCAGATGACAGCATTTCGCCTACTTTGTCCTCGAACCGCACCAATTCATGGAATCGACAGAGTGTGATGACTGATGTTACAGACTTTGACGATATTTATGATGTTTCTTCCGAGGAGGATGAGCCAAAGATTGAGAGTATGAGACGGCCGGGGTCTTCAGGTGTTGCCTTCAAGGCAACTCCGGAGCAGACACGGAGAGCCCTCCCTCCGCTAGTCATCCCGACTTCAAAAGGAATTACGGCGGCGAACAACTCACCACCGGCGTACATGAAGAAGAGCCTCACTTCTCCTGTGCCACCAACCCCACCCTCTGCGGTGGCCATGTCGCCAGCCATGCTCTCATTCATGCAGGCACAGCAAGCTCAAGAAGTGCCGACCATTTCTGCACCTCCGTCTCTGGATGGGAGCCTTTCGTCCGAACAACTAGCCGTTATGTCTGCTCCGGCTACGCCTATCATTGGCGGTCAGGACTCTGGGGATACAGGCGACTGGTCAGGCATTCACCTTCAACCTGGTGCGCTAGCTACACTTCAGGCCCTATCTGGTCCTGGTTCCGATATTGAGGAGTATCAAACACCTGCAGACCAGGTGATTGAGGTTCCTCAGGAGCAGATGGCCGAGGCCAGACCACAACCACCACGCCTGATCACCAACCTGCCACGAGCGTCGATCATGCTTTCGCCAGCTCAGCAGCGATCGCTTGCGGGCTTGACGAGACTCGAGATTCCTTCCCCAGGTGGATTCTTCTCCGGCCTATCACCACGAACCCGCAACACATGGCATTTTGGCGCCTCTCCCGCGGATGATATGCCCCCACCCACGTCAACAACTGCTGAGCAGTTCTACAGAACGCCATGGAACATGGAAACCGCTCCTCCCGTCCCACGTCCAGCTCAGATTCAACGGCCACTGCACATGGCCAGCGGCAACTTCTCGTCTTTACCAGTCGAGCAGGTTGTTGAAGCCCCTGAGAGTGCCCAGGAGGACCTTCCCACTGCATTCCGTAATGAAGACACCCCAGTCCCGAATACCGCGAAGCGTATTCCAGCCCCACCATCAGCATCTTCGGATGATGACGAAGAAGCTGCATCGCCCGCATCACCAAAGGAGATGATCAAGGAGATAGTCGCTGATGTCAACCCAGAATACGCCCGCAGGCAGCAAGAAGTTGCGCTCTCGCATCTCGATCGCACAGAGATGTGGTTGATGGCACAGCGAGCTTACCTCAGAGGGCCTGGTGATTTTGAGGAGACAGAGGATGATCAATCCAATGAAGAAGAACCCAACTTGAAGGCAAAGGGCAAGCAGCCAGAATCCCAGCTCGAAGTCCAGACGCCTCCTGAAGTTCCACCCAAAGATAATGAGCCTGAAAAGACTGAAGTCGCTACCTTGACAAGGAAGAAGACTGTTCGATTCTCCGAACAGGTCAAGCCAGAGCCAATCCCGCGCTCCCTTCCTTCCAAGCTTGTACGCCAGGAGAGTGCATACTACCGTGCCTTCCAGGACTACACGGTGCGCTCTCTATCGCAAGATGTCTTTGTTCATCGCATGCCTCGCTTTGAGGCTCTCCAGGCACAACGTGTTTCGCTCCGCGAGGCACACCGCAATCAACTGCTCGGCAAGTACCAGCTCAGCGTCCTGCCCCAATCTGCCAAGAAGCGTATGAGTGCCAACGTTGTCCGTGGAGATGACGTCCTTCTTGATGACCCAGAGAAGCTTAAGGCTGAGAAAGAGGCCGAAGCTCTTTCGCAGATGAATATGTCCACTTGGCATGTGGCTGCCACACGCCTACTCAACGGCGGACGACTTATCGCAGCCCCAGTGCACAAGCGTCTCGCACGCATGTCTACCCACGGCGCTGCCTCAAGCGGCCGTCGTGAGCGCTCGCGCATCCTTGACCTCGGCGGTCAGTCCACGGGCGACTGGGCCTGGCATGCGGCCCTGCAGTACCCTAATGCTAAGATCTACACCGTCACAACCAAGGCGATCCGTCAGCTGTCCAATTCCAACATTCGCGGCCCACCAAACCACCGTCAGGTGGCTGTTGAGAGGCTGGCGCGCCTACCATTCCCAGATGACCACTTTGACCTAGTTAGCGCCCGGGAACTACACTCTATTCTCAAGTTTACAGGAGAGCACGGCGAGGACGAGTGGGAGAGCTGCCTGCGTGAGTGCTACCGCGTGCTCAAGCCCGGTGGCTATCTCGAGTTCCAAGTCCTGGACAGCGACATCGTCAACGCTGGCCCTCTCGGTCTCGCCAAGAGCGTCGAGTTCGGTTTCACCCTCAAGACACTCGGCTATGATCCCAACCCCACTCGCATGTTCCTCAACCGCCTGTCTCGCGCGGGCTTCGAGGATGTTCGCCGCGCATGGATGGCACTACCCATGGGCCCCAAGCCCTCGCCCAGACCCGGTGCGACCGCCACTGCGGCCCGCCAGTCGATGCTGCAGGCGCCCGTGCTCGGCAAGACGCTCGAGCTCGAGGCCATGGTGACGGGCAGCGCCGAGCACGTTGCCGGCGTGACGGGCCTCGCCGCGGGCTGGAGCTGGGAGCGCTGGCTGCTGCGCTGCGAGATGGAGAAGGCGGCGGGCGAGCTGCGGCTCGCGGACACGGTGACGGCGAGCGACGCGATGCGCGAGGCCGGCAAGGGCGTCGACAACGTGCACGCCGTCGTGGACGAGGGCCGCGCGTGCAAGGCCGCCTTCCGTATGCTCAAGGGCTACGCGCGCAAGCCGAAGCCAGATATGGGAACCCTCACCTTCGTGCTAGACTTTGATAGCATGATCTAAGTTCTCTCCCATAACTTGATGGAGGAGGTGGTGGCGGTGGTTGGCTTGCTTGCTAGCTTTTGCGTGCGCGGTCTATGGTCGGATAGATACCCTTCACTTTCTCGTTATGTGGTTCATTTTACCAATGTTTCGACCAACACAGCTCCTGAAGAGACATGCTTCCTGTTCTTTCCTTTGTCGAAACGGGTATTCTGGATGGGTCATATGATATATATATGTCTTGTAATCTGTATGAGATGAGATATACATGTACGTGATGGGAACTGGGCCGGTGTATATAGGCGTTGATCAATCAAGACGATTAGCATTGAGACATTCACCCTCTTCTGAAGTGACATTATCCAGAGACCAGAATTAGCAAGCTGACCCGTTGGCCTACCGTGAATTGTCTTTACGCGGTACTACTGGTAGCAGCCCCTTCTTCTATTTCCTACAATTACTCACACTTCGTACTCGTAAATGCTTGTCCAATACAAGCGTTGACCCTTTTAACGCAGTACATTCTGCGTAGTCTGGTTCGAAGTTATCCCAAATGGCAGTCTGGCATTGTAATAGAACCGTCATCGCCCACAACCTTAGTCTATGTCCACCCAAGTTTCTGAAGCTTCTAAGTCTGCGAACTGCTCTCCTAGTCCCGCTAGCTCACTATGTATACCAATATCAAGCAAGTCACCATCAAGTATCCCATCAACCATCTCCGCATCCAGATCAAACCCTCCAGTCAAGTGTAGCATGCTTGAAGATATTGTGCAAGCCAAAGACGCCTCTCTGCCGGATTGACGTGCAGTTTCGAGGCCAAACGGACGGTTCAGCTCCAACCACGGAATAATGAGAATCTCGTTTGCAGTCGATGATGTAGCTGTTTCGCTGGAATAGAGTAGGGGTAGCTAAGGCAGCACACCGAAGGAACTGGGTAGATTTGACTGGCCCGTTGGGAAAAATACAATCGTCTGAGGCCCCGAGAAAGCATTAGACTAGACTACAAGATAAGGAATGTAGGGCTATGTTAAGAGATCGCATATTGTCAATTGTATGATCAGAAACTGTCACGGCCTGGTGCCGAAAGAAGCCCAGAAGCCGTATAAATAGAATAAGAAAGACAGATAATAGCATGGCAAGGCCGAGACGAGCGAGAGGATTAACGTGTGAAATGTCTTTCCACATGTATAGGTTCATGTCCCAAGATGAAGGTAGCAATAAAGCACAACTTTTCAAACTGCGAGTATTCGGAACTCCTTGAGGATGTCGAGGAATTAGAAAATACGAACAGGCAGGTACCTAGGAACGAAAAGTAAGACGTTAGAGAGCGAACATGCTCTCTTCAAGGCTGGGAATGGCTCTTAATCTGGAGACCTCCACTAGGGAACATCAAGCCTATAGCCTGCAGGACCGAGAACCCCGGGAACGCAACACCTCACGCCTTCCAGACCCAAGAAGCAGAGGCAAGGAATAGCCAAGCCAATCGAGTAGTAGCAAAACGAAGGAGACACGTCACGACACGACCTAATCTGAGGACTTTATTGGGATTTTGAACCCTGTGCCCATCTTTCCGGGAGGAGGGCATAACATCCAGTATGATAGACCTCGTTTGATTTGAGAACAAGGGCCAACTCCTGCAGAACGTTGCAGATTTTCAATTAGGCACATCACGACTGTAGAACGCCTGTCTGTGTGCTTCTCGAACTGGATCCATCCATATCAAGCGTGCGGGCTCGTGCAGCCCTTTGCCCTTCGGTTGAAAATTGCATGCACCGTAGAAGCTCTCTTACTGGACAGACAGAACTGGCGGTATGCCAAAGTTGTAATAGTGACGACGGCGTACTCATGACTGTCCCAGTGGCTGAAACATTGATGATCTGGCATTGGGTACGGGATCGGGCTACGTTAGCTGAGGAAGCTGAGCGGTAGGGCGACAGACACTAAGCCGGATCACCGGTCGAGCCCTACTCTAGCGAGCTGAGCAACATGTTAGCTGTAATAGAAACCAAATCAGTGTAATGTTGGAGGGTGGACGGGGTCATCAAATGACCCCGTCACTTGACTGGCCCCCAACTCGGAGGAGGGGTTGCGAAGGTCCGTAGGGCGTTGGTCGTCTCACGCCACTTTGATAAGAGCCGTTGAATACTGCATCATGCCAAGACAAGGCAAAAGGCTGCGGCGCTTCGGCGAGAGGCCGCCTTGGGTTCCTCAGCAGTTGCATCGTGCAGGATGGACCGTGCTGCCATGCGCTGGGCTGTTGCGATGCGCTGCCCTCCACTTCTTTCGAGCCGAGGGCTCGCGTGAAGAAGGTGGTGGTGGTGGATGCTTCTTCAACGGGCCCTTTTGCAAATTGACCAGTTGGAGGCGCAGCTCTGAAGAGTGCCAGGGTTGGTGCTCACTGTTCACCATCAGCCAACCATTTCGTCTCGATAGTCAACGGTCCAAGTGCCACCTCCCAATTGCAATCCACACCAAGAAAGCTCAAAGCTGTCTCTCTTCCCCCCTCTTTAGTATCGTCTGTTTCTCTGCCGTGGATGCTGCTGCCTGACGAGGAATTCAGGATTGGCAGGCGTAAAGTCTCGAGCTGTTACTATTTTCTTTTCGCGTCGTGAAGGGTGGACCCTACCGCCCTGAATAAGGGTTGTCAACTAGCCTGCCAAGGGTCGTCGTGGGTGAGGCCATTAACCATACTTGAAATAGATAACGTGCTCCCGCTGCTTTAAGCGACTGGAAAAGTTGCGCAAGCCCACCGACAGCTCCATATGTTCTGGAGGGGTTCTCGAACCTGACGGGGCGCTCTCAAGCCTCCCTCAACCTCACAAGGCTTTGCCTCCCCTCTACCTTAGTCGACCGTTGAGAGGGGTTTGGCGGGACGAATCTCACGCCTCGCAATCGTCGACTCGTTTCGTATTTTTCCCAGAACCCCACAAGGAGGATCTTAGGATTCCTTCACCCCCTGTCTACTATGCATTTAGAAGCTTCCAAGCAGAAATCACCTTGAACATGTCAGGGAAGCGGCTTGTTTCGGGATGAAAGTCTTTTACCCGACATTTTCGGTGTAATATCCCATCATATCGCACGTCACCATGATCATTGCCGGGAATAGAGAACCCTGGCCCTGACCGTGGTAAGTCTCATGGTTCACCCCCCAGAAGAGTGTCCTCAAGCTAGGCTGAGAAGGGAAGATAGCTGGGCGAGACCCGTCGGGATCGACATCGAATGAAAGCGGCACGGCAGCAACAGGTGGGAGACGTGGGATAGAGTAGAGTGATGCATGGAGGGGCTAGGAGCAACAAGTTGCGCCTAGATTGAACCGCTCTCCATCTAAGCCATGTGCTGAGACAAATCAGCTGACGATAGATGATTCGCAGAGGCAGGCGGGCCTCGCATTTGCCGCATATCGCATGGGATGTGCATCGTCGAGTATGAGCTGCGGACGAGGAGGAGGAGTACCTGACTGACAGCCATGGCCTTCGCTCAGGATAGCTAGGCGACGTGCGGCCGCTTTTGCACGGTTGATGGCCATGGCCGTTCAAATTTGTCGGCAATACAGCCAGGTAGGATGGCCCCGAGATACCGTTAGTGCCGTTGAAAGACCATATCTTTGCTGTGAATGGGCAGCCCTCGTAGGGTAGCTCATGCCGCTGGCACCCTGTACCCTGCGACGCCCATGCAGGCCACATGGAAGTCCTGCTTCGACTAAGGAATAGCTACCTCCATATTCACCTAGGCCCAGGAGAAAAGTCCACAAAGTACCTATATCCCAGCTGGACCTGCGCTCGAGGCTACCGACCGGAGCTGATGAGATTGTGTGATTACTGGCGGCGTCTGATTACCCTGCGTCCCAAGCTCCTGTCGCACCCGAGCTGCGCAAATGGTGTGTCGAGACCGAACTCGGGAGTAGTCTAGTCTACCTCGCCTGGCACCAACTCGAGTACAGCGCGCAAAGTGCGACGACTCCCATAAGGATGGACAAGAACAAGACCGACAATGGTGATGAACGACGGATGCAGCATAATGAGGAGGGGGTTGCGCAGCTCTGTGCCTTCATATCTACTGTAGAGCGCCACATTGCGCCGCATATCATTACCACGGGGTCGACGGAGCCCGGGCAAGTGGCCACGGCCCCGGCCTCCGATTTCATCATTATGTTAGTTCCCCAGCCGATCAAGGAAAAGAGACAGATCATCTGGGCGTTCGTCTGACAATTCACCGTCATCGGCAAGGATAGGTGCCAGGAGGAGTACAGCATCCGCTTCCGGATCAGCATTAGGAGAGGAGAGAAAAATCATCTCGCGACAGTGTGGTTGAAGCTTGTCGAGCGGAGAGCATAATATAACCTAGTTGGTGTGTGTACGGTCGAGTACTTACCCATCCAGCCATCCTCCCAGCTCTCCTAAGGCTTTTGCTAAGGCAGGTAGCTCGCTCGCACCAGACCTGCTCCAGCTGCTCTCGTCCCCGCCCATCCCCGTCCCTGCGCCCTACCTCCCTCCCTACCTACCTTACATACCCAGCACATACATACATTAGCTGCCTTTCGATTTTAGCACGCTCTCTGCTACTTGCCTTACGGTGCGGCCCTTTGCAAGCCAATGGAAGCTAAGCCAGGTATTGATGATATTATTGTACGCGTAGGTAGGTACTCTACGACTAGGTAAGGTAGGCCGATCCACCGGCGCCAGCCTCGACCCTCGTCGCTTCTCCATCCAGATCCCTTCATGTCGAGTCGCTCCTTTCCTTTCCTTCCCTATCTCATCTCTCTTACTAGGTAGGTAGGTACCACTGGCCAGGTACTTAAGGCAGGAAGGTCGAGCCTGCCACAATTGACTGACAGACCGGACTAGCTAGCCGGCCCTCTCAACTAACTCCTTGGGAACGAGCTAGGTGACATGACTGGGTGAGGGGATGTTGACTGGACTGTAAGTAGGAGTAGGCGTGTAGGCGTGTAATAATGTACGAGTAGGCCGTTAAGTCATGTACAAATATTCCAAGGTCGTACCTGCCTCTACCATGAGGTCTTA